AAGGAGATTTGACTCCAGATCTGATTCCAGACCCAGCACCATGATACCAGGTAACAGCACCACATAACCTCCTGCTCTATGGTTGGATCCTTAGGGAAGCCTGTACATACTCCCTTTTTCCCTTCTGCTTCATAGACATCATTTGCATCCCCTAGCTTAATGCTTTGCTCTCCATTAAAATACAAATTCCCTTGGGGAGAAGTAAACCTCTAAGTTGTTGTCAGTCATTTATGCCTCAGTGGGAATGAGTTTCAGATTCTTCCATAGCCATAAATTTTAATTTTATGGGAGAAGGACATTGGAAATTTCAAGGAGGGCTATGAAGATGGAAAGGGACCTAATAAGGAAAAGCCAGTCCCCTCTCCATCTCACAATTGTACCTAGTCTGAGGTGGGTGCTTTTAAGATTCTTAGATGCTATTTCTGTGCAGGTGTACTACACGAGTCTCCCCATCCATGGTTTTTCTTTCCATGGTTTCAGTTACCTGTGGTCAACCATGGCCCTGAAGCATACAGTTCTCCTTCTGACCTGTGGTCATAAGGTCACTAGTAGTCCTAATGCCACATCACAGAGCCTACATCAATCCCCTCACTTCATCTCAACATATAGGCATTTTACCATCTTATATCATCACAAGAAGGGTGAGTATAGGACAGTAAGGTATTTTGAGAGAGAGAGAGAAAGAGAGACCACCTTCACAGAACTTCTATGACAATAAATTGCTACTGATTATTCTATTTTATTATTGTAAATCTTGTTTGTGCCTAGTTTACAAACTAAATTTGATCCTGGGTATGTATGTATATATGTACAAGGAAAAAGAAAAAAAAGATATGTACACACACACACACACACACACACACACACACACACACACATAGGGGTTTGGTGTATCTGCAGTTTCAGGAAACCACCGGAGGTCACGGTGAAACATATAGCCATGAATAAGGAAGGACTGCTGTCTTTTATATTGGACCCATTTCTGGGCCTGATACCCCAGTTATGTGGCTGGAGCTGTGGGTGTGATCTGATCTAAGGTGACCTGAAACTGCATACTAAACCTCCGTGCACTGTGGTCAGCGGGAGGCAGCCAGCCCAGGCTTCAGGCAGGCACTGCAGTTCCAGGCCTCAGACACAAGTCCCAGCTCAGTCTCTTGACGATTAGACCCTGCTGTGTGTATTTAAAATCTCTAGCAGATGGAGGCAGGAGAGCTTGTTGGAAAGACTTGGAGGAGTCCCTTCTGCCCTGTCTGGGTCTATTTGCCAAAATAAATGACATGTATCAGGGCAGGGCATTGGTCCAAGCCCATTGAAATTCTGCAAGCAGTCCAAACAGTGATGGTGTCTCAGATTGGTTCTATGAAATTATCAGAGTTAGGAAGAACGAAATGATGTGTGAGCATCTGGCCGCCATAGCCTACTGATGCGGACAGTCCCAGGGGCGGGTCCGGGGTAAGGGGGGCAGCCTCAAGGACCCCCTAGGACATCTGCTGCTGGCAAACTGGGAAAGAGCCACATGCTGGCAGCAGGCAGTCTGGTTTGAGTCCCATGCTGTTTTCCTCACTAGCTATGTGACCCGAACAAGTCCTACCCCTTCTCTCGGCCTCTTTTCTCCCCCATGTATAAAACAGAACCTAGATGAAATGGTCTCCAAGGGCCTTTTCTGCTCGAACATTCTGTGACTTCTCTGACACCGGTTTGATTTCTTTTTATTTGGAGTGAGAGAGGCCCACCCACCCACCGGCTTATCTGCAGCCACTGTGTTCTCACACTGACCTCTGCTGGCCAGTATGAAAAGTGCCACCTATAGCTTCTTTGGAGGACAAAAAAAAAAAAAGGCAGCTCATCATTTATTTATTTTTATTTTTTTAAAGATTTTATTTATTTATTCATGAGAGACATAGAGAGAGATGTATAGACATAAGCAGAGGGAGAAGCAGACTCCCCACGGGGAGCAGATGTGAGACTCGGTCCCAGTACCTCAGGATCATGACCTGAGCCAAAGGCAGATGCTCAACCACTGAGCCACTCAGGAGTCCCTTATTGATTTAGTCTTAAGCTTCAGTAGTAGAGTGGACATAGCGAAAGAAACCCTGTGCTCCGAAGATGAGCCAAAAAAGGACATACAGCTGGAAGCACAGAGTAAGCATATTGAGAGATGGCTGACAAAGCAACCCACAGAAAAATGCGTCTCTCGTTTCTTTTCTTTGCCATCCTCATCTGTTTCTGGTGCTCTGCGCCACTGTTCGGCAGGACCAGAGTGGGTAGGAAGATTCCTTGTCTCATATCCCATGGCTGCTGGCCCCAGAAGGGCCTGGCACCACAGTGAGGAGGCGATTCTAGGCCAGTAGTACCTCAGAGGCCTCGAGACATCCTCCAGGACACCCCTTCTGGCCCTTGGGTGGGGTCTGAGAGGTTTCTAGCTGGGGCCAGCCCAGAGGCTGTACCTCAGAGATATGCATTCCCCCAAGGGCTGCTATTTCAGAAGCCCCTTTGGAAAAAAATTTGAATCCAAAGAATCCATGAGTTCTTGACAAGACTCACTTTAAGCTCCCCATGGCAAATTCAGCATGGCTAGCCAGCCAAGAGGAAGGGAGTGGGCCAGGGAATCCTGCCTTTTCTGGATGTAATCAGATTTCCTGTTAAATCCAGCCCTAGAAATCACTGCACTCCTACCTCTCCTGGGTTACTTTGGCTGAGCATGTGCTCACAGAGGCAAGAGACCAGTGTTGGAGTGTGCCAGCCCATGTGCCCATGCCAGGCACTGCTCCGGCTCTAGTGATGTGAGCAAGATGGGAATTGGACCATACCAAAATCTGCTCTCTCAGTTCAGTGCTTTCTCATGCTCTCTACCTCCCATCCCTTGATGTGGGAAAGCTTTGGGTAGGGCTCAGATTTGGGTCAAGCATTCAGTGCCCTGCCTGCATCCTCTCTGCTAGTAATAACATGGCCTTAGTAAGCCCAGCTTGCCCCCTTATCCTCCCACTAACCAGTCTCCTCCTCCCCCAACAGCTGGTTCTTATCTATCTCCCTTGTTCCAGCCTAAGGCAGGCTGCCCTGGCCTCATGCTGACACACACATGTTCTCCTGAATGCTCATTGATGAGTTTCAGCCCTGCAAGGCTGCTTTCCTCCCATCAGTCCCCTGTCTCCAAACCTCTGAGGGTTTGCTATGTGCTACTCTATCAAGTCTTCGAATTTCCTTCCTTGCTTTCCAGGCCTGCCTCAGTTGGAGCCTACTCAGCCTTTCCAGTGGGGGGCCATGACCCTCCCCACCCCAGCCGTGGGCAGAATGTAAGCATTTCCCAATGCTCCATGGCCAACCCTTTCTTTGTGTTCTTGCATCACTTAGGCTCTATTCTGGACTTATGCTGTTTGCTCTAGTTTTGTGTACATTAGTCTTGAAAGCTAGGCCCATTGGAGACTGCTTCATTAATCCTCAACACCCTAGCATTTTTAAAAAATCTTTTTCTTTTTCATTTTATTTTGTTTCGTTTTGCACAGTAAAAACCTACAAGAGTAATAAATAACAGAATCATTATAAACAAAATTCCAATGGGAGCTAAGAGCATAAAAAGTAAAAGTTCATGGTCCCACCCTGTCATGCCAGAAATAAGCCCATTAAGCAGCCTGCGGCCCAGCACCCTTTATAGGCCATATGCTGGGTGCTGGAGAAGGTTGAGTGGTAGATGGCGCCCCCCCCAAAATTGCATCTCCTTGGGAAGAGCATCTCTGTACTTCTTTGCATGATGAGTCCTTGTCTTCGTGGGCCTAATTGACACTGGAACTTTTACTCCCACCACCCCGCACAGCAGGTGACCATTTGCATCTCCCGTACTTGACTCTACCCACTATGTAAAGCATCTGTCCTGTTTGCAGCTTTTAAAAAGTAACCCTTGAAGGTGAATACTAAAGGGCATGTCTAATGGGCTTTTCAGAGTTTTTCCCAGATCTGTAGGAAATTGCAGACAGTTAGTAAAAGGGCCGTGAGGTGGAAACAGAAAGTGTTTATGAAAACAGGCTTTCTACCTGGTATTGACGTTGTGTTCTCCGAGAGGTAATGCACATTAAAAATGCTTTTCATTTTTCTGCCAAGAATATTCAGTACCTACTGGGATTTGTTCTAAATGATAGACTAGCCCGCCTGTGTTGCACCCACCGGGGTTAATTCTCTGTCTCGGTCAGCTTTGAAATGTCAGCCTGAACTCTCAGACTTAATTGTTACAGACACTTTATAACTAGCACATTCAAAATCCCCAAGCTGCTCCCTCTTGCTATCATAATTGATACTTAATGGATATTCTCAGGCTTCTTGAATTTTACACATTCAACACTCTACAGATGGTGGGTTGAAGGGAGAGGGAGAGAAATAGAGAAGGAACAAATAAACCATGTGTGTGTGTATGTGTGCCCACATGTCTTGTCCCTGTAAGCATCTGTTTCCAGTTATAGCGATGGGGCCCTGGGATCTGCCAGCAAAGATGAGCTTTCACAGGTTGGTCAGCCCATGGGTTTCTGGGCTCTCCCCTCTTTGGACCCCCGAGGCAGTGTTCTTTAGGCATAACCATTTCTGGACTTCACTGCAAGTATGGGGTTGGCCATTTGAATGTGAATTATAAAATGTCACGATGCTCTCCAGCATCGTGTTCTGTTCTGTTCCTACACTATTTTGACAATCTGATGGATGGCCTGGCATTAACTAGGAAGAGGACAATATTATCCTGCCTGAATAACTAATCTCCTAAGAAGTACAAAGTTGAAGGATCTTGGTGCACATGAATCTTATTAAATGTGCTTATAAAATATGTTCTATCCAAATAAGCTTAGCAGCCCCGAAAATAGCCTTTTCTGATCTGTGCCTGGAACTTTGGCATGCTTTACAAGTCTCTAAGCTAAAATTATTTAGTGACGTGATGACAGTGTTCTCTGTGCATGGGAAAATAGGAAGTGTTGACTGTTAATCCCCCTTTTGGCTAATTGCACCCCTTCTCTCCATCTTAGGGGCGACCAGGGCCAATCGGAATTCAAGGTCCAACGGGTCCTCAAGGATTTGCCGGCCCTAGTGGTTTAGCAGGGTTGAAAGGAGAAATGGGCTCCCCAGGCCCCCTGGGACCATATGGACCAAAAGGAGATAAGGTAAAAACAAAACAAAACAAAACAAAAACAAAAACACCAGAGCTTGATTTTTCTTTGGGTAATGGACCACAGGTATGAAGGTGAAAGGTTCTAAATCCCAGTTCTATTCATTTATGGAAATAATACTAATCCTGAGTACCTTGGTGCCAGCCTACAAACCTTAATATGAGACAGGCTTGGTGATATGGGGCTAATGGATTGACTCATTTCTAGAGAGACTCCATGGCCAGCCAGCCATCAAGTGCAGGCGTTGGCTATTTGCTAGATAAGTGGGCTTGCTGGGGTGGGATTTCAGGTGGGTTTGAGGTGGACATGGGTCAGAAGTTCAATCAGATGGGCAAGAGAAATCAGGAATCCAAGGAAGGAGACTGGGAAGCAAGGTTTCAGAATGCTTGGGAGCAATCTGGGCCACAAAGATAGGGAAAGAGATGCAAAAAAGGAGATTGATCATGTCATGGTAGCTGGCTGGGTTTAGCAGCTTAGTTTAGGTTCCCTGCAGATTTTAATCACCTCCTATTCACCTATTGTTAAGGGAGGGATTCCCACCCTAAGGTTCTGGGGATGGCAGAAGACAGGACACCTGATACTGATGGAAGAGATTGACAGCAGGTTTATTAGTCACATATACTCACACCCCAGGGGAGAAGGACACCACACATCATGCAGGGCCACATGAGGGGTTGCACTCTGGAACAGAATAAACCAGAAGGGGCTGTGGGAGGCAGACTTTGTAGTATCAAAAAGGCAAGGTGCCTGTTGGTTCCTGAGGGAGGATGTGGTTGGCTTGTTTGAATAATTCAGTGGGCCATCAGGGAACTGGAAACCACAACTCAGGGATAAGCAGGAACTGCACCTGCTGTTTGATAAGGATGGCCACTTGCCTAGGAGACCTTATTTATGGGGGCAGAGTGGACAGGGGAACTTGTGGCTAGGCCTTTAGAGGCCCTCCCAGTTTCCCCAGATGTCAAAGTAGTGTGTAATATCAAGCCATTGTTTTAGGTCTTGCACTACATTGCTTAAGATTAAAACTGATCTCAGAACACAGACACATTTAAGACCTTGGTTAGAGGTAAGTCAGTCATCTGGACCTGGAGTAGGGAGCAGGGTGACACAATGTGGCAAGGGAGGTACACAACACTTAGCAACTTAGGTCATGGATCATATGAATGAACCCACTGAATCTAGAGGAGATCAATTCGATTGTCTCTTATGTTCCTCTTCTTACTTCTTTTTTCTAGGGCCCCATGGGAGTGCCTGGCTTTCTCGGCATCAATGGGATTCCGGTGAGTATGTCCACAGAGGCATTTTTCAATACCTCTTCTAGGTTGTGTTTTTTACAGCATAAGCATCTTGGCCTTCACCACATCTTGTTTCATGCCGGTGTGTTTCCGGGTCAAATGTTGAGATGCACATGATAAGGTGTGAAGAGAAGTGGTCACACATACTTTCCCAGGAATTTAGTTACAGGTGGCACTAAATTAGCTGGCTGGGCCATGTGCAGGCTTGGCCATCAACATCTTAGGCACAATAAGTACAGTCTTATGGGCTGAGGGGAGCTTTCATTGGGGATGATGTGTGGAGATACATACCACAGTGCATGCATACTCATATTAAGAAAATTAAGGGAAAAAAGAATATTAAGAGGATACATGAAATTAGAAAAATACTTAGTGGTATCTTGATACATTTCATTCCCATAATTTGTTCTCTTCAGCCTTATCTCATTTCACAGTGAATGTCCCTTTAGTTTTTACAGAGCGACTGACTATTCCAAAGATCATGCGGAGACAGCCCCTTCCCTTTATCCTGAGGACCTGGTTTTGCTGGAGATAAGTGAGGAATTGGAGCTTACAGACATCTCATGTTCCCATTTCATCTAGGCTGACCCCTGGGTTTCTCCAGTTTTACCCTGTATCCCCACTCATCCGGCCACTGGAGAGCCCGTGATTAACATTTTAAATGCCAGCCTTTAAAATACAGTATTTGCAACTTGCTGCTACCAGTGTTGAGCTCTGCCTTTTGGCACATGTCTATATATTTAATCTTTAGCCTGGGCTGTGTTCATTTGTAGCAGTGGTTTTTAGTCTTGTTTAAGAGAAGACACAATGTGCAGAAGCTCAGCATACGGATCAGGAAAGAGTAGAGTTTCTTTGTCTGAGGGAAGTCTTAGAGACTGCTTTTATCCTTCCAACAACCTCTAAGGGCTTCTTCTGAACCATATCTAAGCACAGTTTGGCGAACCCTCGACTTAACAACTTCTTACGTGATACCGAATTATCATCCAGTATCAAGGAAGGGGGCTTCAATCTCTTTGCTGATCTGTAGGTGTTTCTCATGCCCCTGCTAAGTACTGTCGCTCTACTCCAGGGATAGAGGAAAAGCACATGGATCTACCCTCAAAAAAATTATCATCTGACCCATTTTCTTTCCAGATCTAATATACATTTTTAGAGTTGGAGGACAGAAGTCTCATTTCCTTGTATTTGTTATATGTATCGACAAATGGGCCATCAGAATTCTGCATTTTATTCAAGTGCAGAGTCTGCAAAATGTCCCAAAATGGGCCAGCAGGGAAATGAATGGATGGGGCTGGCTGTCCTTTTATGACATCCTCTGGCATTTTCCCCTTACTCTGTTCCTATCTGCACTCCATCTTGAGTCTCCACTCAGATTGTATGTCTCCCGGGAGCCAGCAGGTAGGAAAACTAGAAAGCCGGAGAGCACCTCTTCCATTCCTCCTGTGGAGCTGAGTGGGGGATTTGGAGCTTGCAGCAGTAATATGCCCTTCCTCCTGTAGTCTCTTTTTAATGGGGGCTGGAAGGAAGCACATCCCATGATACAGAGGCTGATTCCCATCCTGAACTGGAACATGCCCCAGCATCCAGGTGGATGCTTCTGCCTCCAGCTTGTGGCCAGGAGAGCTGTAGGGCTTGTAGGAATTGATCATTTCTCTCCTTGGCTTCATTGCTTGGGAGGATGAGGCACAAGTGTCCAGATTCCTCCAAATGAATGTGCTGCTCCCAATGGAAGTCCCCACACTATTGGCCCCTCTCTTGACCAAAGGTTGTATCTGTTTTCTTCTGACTATTGATTGCTTCAGCTCCAGGTTCCAAGCCTCTCTTACTCCATGAAATTTTTCTCCCTTATTCCTTCCCTCTCTTCCTGCTGTTCAAGATATATTTATTGGGCACCTACTGTTTACTGCTTACATCTCCCTTCCATTCCTAATCTCCTAAGAGTCCTTGGTGTCCATTCCATGCACTCTAGCTCCTTATTACATATGGCCCATGGTATTTATTAGTGGTCTTGTAGTGATGGTCTTATCTAGCTTTCTTGAAATCTCAGAATACATCTTCTGCTCCACTCAGAGGCCTCAGAAACCCCAGGGCTGAATTCGCCATATACTAGGAACACTAGAAATATTTGAGGGATTTACTCCAACCCTTAGTGCCTGCAAAAGCAACAGTCGTCAGACTGGCAGGACTCTTTCAGACACTGGGAAAACATAGAGACCTTTGGCCCAGCCAGACTCATTATTTTGCTCAACATCTGGCAGCTAAAACCAACAGCTTCCTCAGCCCATCTTTACTAAACTGGATGGCTGCACAAATCTGATGCCCTACTTAATATTGGCTGATCGCCAACATAGGCATCACTGATTTTTGTCCCCAAACTCCATTTCTGCTGTCATGTGGGTAGTTTCTGTGCACCAAGGGGCGTAGCAACCAGTTGGGAGAATGGACAGACAAGCATTCATCAAGATATTCAACATGAGAATAATGTAGACTCGGGGAGGCAGGATTGCAGTTTTTAATGAAATCACAGTGGTTTTTAATGAAATCACAGCTTGGGGCTGTTGGCACCCACAAGAAATGTATGTTTATCAAATGTTTCCAGTTCACCCAAGTTGGGAGCAGAAGTTTGCAAGTTGTCCTTTGCAACGTATGTTTAGCTTTTCTCATGGAGTTCATCTCAAAAATTTCCCTTCCTAGCGACTTGTAAATGAACACACCAGATTTATATATCTTTCAAAGTGAACACATACATACCACTCGCCAAATGGAAATTCTTCCTTTGAAATCTGGTTTCTGAGAAACACTGTTTTTACAGATTACAGCGCATCTTCTTTTTCTGTATGTTCGGTGCCTTGCAGTTGTACAGAATCCTGGTTTCCTCCCTCAAAGAGCTATGTTCTCTTTGAAAGCTAGCACACACATAGGTAAAATCACTAGCTAAAACCAGAAGGGGCAAGGTGCCAGAAATACTGTGGTACTATTGAGAATTAAAAGGAGATAGAGGGACACCTGGATGGCTCAGTGGCTGAGCATCTGCCTTTGGCTCAGATCGTGATCCCAGAGTCCTGGGTTGGAGTCCTACATCAGGCTCACTGCAGGGAGCCTGCTTCTCTCTCTGCCTATGTCTCTGCCTCTCTCTGTCTCTCATGAATAAATAAAATCTTTTTAAAAATAAATAGATAGATAGATAGATAGATAGATAGATAGATAGATAGAATATTAGAGCAGCCCAGTTGCCAGTTGCTTATCCTTGCTGACTTGCCTGGGAGAAGAAGACTGCCTGTTTATTGAGCTCCTACATAGAAAGCTTAACCTTGTTTAATTTTAATCATAAACTTGTTTTTAAAGATTTTATTTATTTTATTTTATTTATTTAAAAAAGGAATTCAGGCAAGAAAACTACAGGATTGGGATCCAAGTAAAAAAAAATGTGGGTACCCATTTGCTTCGACGTGGATGGAACTGGAGGGTATTATGCTGAGTGAAATAAGTCAATCAGAGAAGGATAAACATTATATGGTCTCATTCATTTGGGGAATATAAAAATAGTGAAAGGGAATAAAGGGGAAAGGAGAAAAAATGAGTGGGAAATATCAGAAAGGGAGACAGAACATGAAAGACTCCTAACTCTGGGAAACGAACTAGGGGTGGTGGAAGGGGAGGTGGGTGGGGGGTGGGGGTGACTGGGTGACGGGCACTGAGGTGGGCACTTGACGGGATGAGCACTGAGTGTTATTCTATATGTTGGCAAATTGAACACCAATAAAAAATAAATTTATAAAAATAAAAAAAATATGGGTACCAAGAGGGTAAGAAGCCAGGCAGAGGTTTGGGTTTCAAACAGAACCAAGGCCTCAGGAGTAAGGAGGTCCCTAGTACTGAGTCAGCCTGTTGTCTTGCCTTAACTCATCTCTGTTACCCAGTTGAACAAGATAACCCCTAGCACATTTGGCTGGGATATTTTATTTTATTTTTTTCCAAGTTGAATCTTTTTTTTTGTATATTTTTTATTGGAGTTCTATTTGCCAACATATAGCATAACACCCAGTGCTCATCCCGTCAAGTGCCCCCCTCAGTGCCCGTCACCCAGTCACCCCATCCCCCCACCCACTTCCCCTTCCACTACCCCTTGTTCATTTCCCAGAGTTAGGAGTCTCTCATGTTCTGTCACCCTCTCTGATATTTCCCACTCATTTTCTCTCCTTTCCCCTTTAATCCCTTTCACTATTTTTTATATTCCCCGAATTAATGAAACCATGTAATGTTTGTCCTTCTCTGTTTGACTTACTTCATTCAGCATAATACCCTCCAGTTCTATCCATGTTGAAGCAAATGATGGCTGGGATATTTTAAAGTGGCGATCAGGATCCCAGGAATAGACACTCTACCTGAAAGGGTTAACTGAACAGGATGGCATGAATGGTATATGTCAAGGATGTAGGCATGATTCAGGGGAACTACAATGGATTGCAAAGCAGCTGACACAAAGCTTTGGCCTCCCCTAGGCCCAAAGAGGAAAGAAAGAATGGTAACACTGGACCCCTGTTGGACCTGGAGTAGTTGCTGCTCCAGGAGAGCTAAGACTTGTAGACCAATGTGGCCATTGTCAGCAATATGGCCAAGGAGGGAGGGCATGTGGGAAATAAACAATCTGCGCTCTTTCTCCTCCCCCTATTCTTTCATCTTCTGCCTGTGTCTCCCAGTGACCAAATACAACTGGGAGACAGAGGGAAAGGGAGCCTTGGCGGCACTGTTCATAAAAGTCAGCCACCCAAGGCAACAGGATCTGGGGAAGGTAGATCGTAGATCTTCAGGGCAAACAAGAATGGCCATCTCATTTGGGAATAACATGTTAGGACACCTGGGTGGCTCAGTGGTTGAGCATCTGTCTTTGGCTCAGGGCATGATCCTGGAATCCCAGGATTGAGTCCCACATTGGATTTCCTGCATGGAGCCTTCTTCTCCCTCTGCCTATGTCTCTGCCTCACTCTCTCCCTCTTTCATGAATAAGTAAAATCTTAAAAAAAAAGGGAATAACATATTAATGGCTTAGTAAGCTGTCTTGGTTTCCCCCATGCAGCTAAAATTCATCACCTGAGTCTGGGCAGGCACAGATTGCAGCAAGTGTATTGTGAAAATAAGTTTATTGACCATTCTTCCATTCTTAGTATTCCATGAGTCCAGCAGTCTAAATTCATGCTCTTGCATCAGTAGACTATCTCCTACCACTATAGTGACAATGAAAATGAATCAAAGGGCACCTGGGTGGCTCAGTGGTTGAGCGTCTGCCTTTGGCTCAGGTCATGATCCTGGGGTCCTGGAGTCCTGGGATGGAGCCCCGCATCGGGCTCCCCACAGGGAACCTGCTTCTCCCTCTGCCTATGTCTCTGCCTCTCTCTGTGTCTCTCATGAATAAATAAATAAAATCTTTTTTTTAAAAAAAAGGAATCAAAATCCTATGGAGCATTTCCTCAATAAGGATCTAACCAAAGCTTATTTCCCCTAATAATTTGAAAAGTTGAGTTTTGAATGCATGGCTTGTTTTCCTCAAATTATTAAATATCCATGATTGGCTTTGAAAAGTGTAAATGGGAGGGTAGGAGTCTACCTTTTATTGACCCGTCCAGACTGCTGGTCTTTCAGGTCATCTCTTTGCTCCCTACCCAGCACGTAACCCACTTTTAATAGATTTAAAAAGTTCTATTCCCTACAAAATGGTGGACTCTATGCACCATGGAAACTCAACTCTGGAAAAGTATTGAATTCTGATCAATTATGTGAATGATTGCTAATTCCCTGGAAAAACAAGTGCCTCAGTAGCAAGTATGGAGAAGAGGAAAAAGTATAGTTCCCTAACTGGAGCCACAGCCAGACATGATAGTGACTCAATAAGACTGGAAGTATGATTTTTCCAAAACTTGCTTATTTTTGGCCAAGCAGCTTTTAAGAGAGGTGGTGCTGTGGAAACTGATTCTGTTCTGTGGACCAAAAGCCAGCAGCATTTCCTAGGCAGAGCCATAAAAAGGCCCCAGGCTTTTATAATACCAAAAACCACACCAGGCTGCCTGGGCTCCAGTCTATTCTACCATCCCAAGGCCTGATGTGATTCCCTGGTGGTAGCACTTCAGCTACCAGCAAGCAAAGCCCTATCTTAGTACATCTTTGTACCCAGGGAAGATGAATTTCCCCACTCTGTGTCTCCCATCTCTTCAGGCTTGATCCCTCTGGTTTTAGCACAGGTCCTATCAAAGCATCGATCCTTTGTGGGGAGGGGTAACACTAAGCTGTCATCAGCTCCATACACCTGACTATGAAGGAAAGCTTACAAAAGCATAGTCCTCATATGGCTAAGGGAATGGACAAGGAGCCAGAGTTGGGCAGCATACTTGGTTTCTCTTATTGTGGAGCTTGTTAGAATAGTTATGAGTTCTGTGGCTGACTTGATCTTTTCTTTTCTCTCTGAACAGGGTCACCCTGGACAGCCAGGGCCCAGAGGCCCACCTGGCCTGGATGGTTGTAATGGAACTCAAGGAGCTGTTGGATATCCAGGCCCTAATGGCTATCCTGGGCTTCTCGGACCACCTGTACGTTGCCAGATCTTTGTCCATTTTTCCAAATGGATTTCTTTGCCTCCCAGTGTGCCCTTTTCCTGCTTTTATGGACATCTCATTCAGCATCAGTGTAGGGCAACCACTGTAGCCCCTTGTCCAATGCAGGAGCCTATGCTGACAGCATAACAACATTAAAAAGTCTAAAGAAGAATACCAGTTGCAGGAAGTGTACACATGCTCCGCTACTTAGAGGGTCATTTTTTTCCAAATGGTGCTTTCAGAGTTGGCAACATTGTTAAAGGACTAGTAAAGTTCAGAGCAAAGTACACACTTGGGCTATTTGATGTGTTCCCACATCAGATGACATTGGAAGATGCAGTACTTGGAAGGATCACATGGGATCATAGGACTGATAGTGACCCAAAGGACTTGGCAAACTTGGTCTAAACCAGTGATTCCTAACCAAGATTGATTCCCCACCCCAAAGGACATTTGGCAGTTACTAGTGACATTTTTGGCTGCCACACCTTGGGGTATGCTACTAGCACAGTACACCTTCCCCTCAACATCAAGGAATCATCTGTCCTAAAGCATCCATAGTGAGAAATAATTGAGAATCCTTACTCTACATTGACATAGTTTGCCACCCCCCCCACCTCACCCCATAACCCTTGGTTCTGGGATTGATAAAGCATTTATTAGATCCTGGTGTCACCACATTAATTCTATTCATCCAGGTAGGGCTCAAATATTTTGATCTAAAGGATATATAATAGATACCATGCTTTTGCAAGGCTTCTTTTACAAGAGACTGGAAAGAGAAAAATAATACCTTCAAGCCCATTACCAACCTTACTTGAAATAATCTAAGTTACTAAGGGTACTGAGGTGATATATTTAGCTAGAAATCATACTATTAGATTCCATAGCTACATTAATTAATTGGCTTTTTTCAATATGTCTGATTCCAGTGCTGTACCATGTTCTTTTTTTGTTATTATTAAAATATTATTGACATCTAACCTTATATTAGTTTCAGGTGTACAACATAATGATCTGATATTTGTATACATTGCAAGATGATCACCACACTAAGTCTAGTTACCACCTGTCACCATACAGAGTGACAAATCTTTTTTCTTATGATGAGAACCTTCAAGGTCTCCTCCTTCATAACTCTCTGGTACACAATAAAATATTATTTACTCTAGGGGCACCTGGCTAGCTCAATCAGTGGAGAGCACAACTTTTGATCTCAGGATTGTAATTTCGAGCCCCATGTTAAGGTGTAGGGACTACTTAAAAATAAAATATTTTAAAAGTATATTATTTACTGTAGTCACCACACTGTACATGATATCCCCATGACTTCCTTATTTTGTATCTGGAAGTTTGTACCTGTCTATCCCCTTTGGCCATTTCACCCATCCCCTTACCAGTCTCCCCTCTGGCAACCACTAATCTGTTCTCTGTATCTGAGATTTCTTTTGTCTGATTTTTTCATTTGTTTTGGTTTTGCTTTTGATTCCACACATAAGTGACATCATATAGTATTTGTCTCTGTCTGTCTGACTTATTTCATTTAGCATAATGCCCTTAAGTTCCATCTACATTGTTGCAAATGGCAAGATTTCATTCTTTTTTACAGCTGAGTAGTATTCCAGTGTGTGTGTGTGTGTGTGTGTGTGTGTGTGTGTGACATCTTCTTCATCCATTCATCCATCGATGAACACTTAGGTTATTTCCATATCTGGGTATTTATACCAAGAAAACAAAAACAATAATTCAAAAAGATATATGCACCCAATATTCATTGAAGTGTTATTTAATTAACATTTTATTGGGAGAGCAGCACCACTGCCTTCGGTGGTGACTGAGTTGTGGGTATGGGTATATGTGTAGGAAAGAGAGACAGACAAAGCACAAGCCTCAGATTCTCAGATGGGCATAAAGGACCTTGACATCTAAAGACCAAACCAATATGCGGCGGGGGTGGGGGTGGAAGAACCGTCTTACCAACATAGTATGAGCTGTTTGAGTCACAAAGGCCTCCAAATGGTGCCATGGCAACAGAAGAGGAGAGCAAATCACATCTGTGTTAAGAGAATGGAAATCCAGCAAAGTAAGGAAATGCTGCCCCCAAGAGGGAGAAAAGAAATATTGAGATAATAAACATCCCCTGACAGCCAAGGAGACAAGGGTAAAACCTAGTCCTGTCCCTACACCTCCCCTTAAGCCTAAATAGGAACTTGGGCATTTATTTTACTAAGCTGAACCCTTACTAACCTTGCTGAATCTCAAGTGGATATTCTGTCAAGCTTCTTTGATGAAAGGAGTGGCCATGAGAATAAGGAACGGGAAGTGTTAGGAAAGAAGGTGCTTCTGGAACCACCTTGTTCTTCAGTCCCCAAAGCTTAGTCCTACCTCCAGTACTAATCCTGACTTCCCCTTAGGCATAGGGACACTGATTTTCCCCAGGAGGATCACATTTAGCAGACATTAGCCAGCATCTGCTACAGAGTTAAACAGTCTGGTTGATAGGTTTGGTGTACTTTTAACATGTTCTCCATGTTAACAGGGAGACACACCAGCCTCTTAGACAGGCGTTGAAGCTGAGGTAGGTTTTGTGGCAGAAACCCAGGATGGAGATGGTTTTGTAGATATCTCTAAAACCGGAGGGCCGCAAACTGGCCCATTTAACTCTTGACGTGTGGCTTGGTTTTATATTTTTAAAAGTTTGTGTGGAGGAAGAGAAGGAGGATATAAGACAGAGCCCAGATATGGCCCACAAAGTCCAAATTATTTACTATCTGGCTCTTTACAATAAAGTTCTCTAACCTCTGTCTTAGGCAGAGCCTAGGCATAAGCTGTCAGCAGCATACCTGTGAGGTGAGCAATATATAGGCTTATGAATGACATGTGTTAAATGCAGTTGTTCAGATCAGTGTTCTGAATAGAGTCCAAGTCTTCTACTTTCTAATCCCTTTACAGACTTCTGACTTGGGGGCTGGGGCAGCAGGCTTTGAGACACAGCACCTGTTTGGGGGATATACTTTGCCCCTTAGCACAGCCAATCCTGCCATAGAATAAACCACATAATTCCAGACTCTCACGTTGTTTCCTTTATGTGATCAGATCATACTGTTAACAAAACTCTGTGTGTGTGTGCATGTCTTCACAAACATTTCTTCTTTTATTCAGGGGCTTCCTGGTCAGAAAGGCTCTAAAGGTGAACCTGTCCTTGCCCAAGGTACTTTCAAAGGAATGAAGGTAAGAGCCTCTAAGGCAGACAGCTAAGTAGACTGGCTGTAAGTTGAGTTCCCCGGGATTGGGCTCCAATAAAAACATTTCCAGAACTAGCATCTGTGTCTCTATTTAAGAAGCAGACCAAGCTAGATTTAAAAGGGATCCAGAGCTTTTTGTAGTGGCAACACTGACAGAAATGTTTGCAACCATACTGTCAAAGAGATTTGTTTTGTAGGATCTAGACCAAAAATAGGAGACAGATTAGCAAACAAACAGTTTGCATGGGTATAATTTCCTTTGACAAGCCAAGACATTTCCTGGAGGCAGATACCTTTGGTCTATTCTGTAGTCCTTGATGTCTGCATATCTTGGTATGAAGCCATGTAATGACTCTGTCCATCTGGACATGGCCACCAGCCCAGGATCCTGGCCCTGCCCTTTTCTGTGCCTGCACACCAGCCCATTACCCTAGCAGGACCCCTGGATGTCTGCAAAAATTGCCCATCAACTCTGCAGCTGGCTGGAAACTTTCATCTCTTCCTAGAATTGATAAGAACCTTCTGTATTCTTGTGACTGTACTCTTGGTATATGCTACCTGGTATCCTGTGGGTGTCTCAGTAAACTCTGGTGCCACATGATTGACCCCATTCCCTTGCAGAGTGGGAAGTGAGCTCATCATTTCCCTGGAGCAGATGGGAATCTGTGTGCCCAACATCTGAAGGAAAGATGCACCCATGTTCGCTCAGAACCAGGAACCCTGGGAATCAATTTGGAAGGCAGTGATGAGGGTGGGTGGCTGAGAACCGGAGAAGGTACAGGGTTTGAGCTCTTGGCTTAGATTTCACGGCTGAAGATAGAATGGTAGATTTGGAAAGGACCTCATGATTGTCAGCTTCATGTTGCTCATTTTACAGATAGAAAAACTGAGGTACACTGAGTCTATGCAACTTGCTGAGGCTCACATAGCCAGTTTACTGAAGAGCTAAAACCTGGGCAGTGCTCCTTCCATGCTGCAGAGAGCTGGTTTTTTACCATAAGCCAATGGGGGTAAGACTAGCAGGTGTCAAAATATAGCCATTGTCATAACAAATGCTGATTGAGTGGCTTTGCCAAAAATCACAGAGACCCTGGACCCAGCGGAACATAGCAATTTCCACAAGATGGTTACATTACAGATTCACAACAGTGGCTTAAGATGCTGCAAAGTAATTAAAATGTAATCAGAGACTGTATGCTCTGTTGATTCTCCCTTGAAATGTCTGATTTGCATTGTATACATATGGGCACTGATTCTCTGGGGATGAAGGCACACGGGAAGGTAGCTTTGCTTTCTTCCAAAAAGAGCAGGAGAATCACCAGCCCACAGAAGCAGTTTCTAATTGATAAGTTCCTAGCAAAGGTGAAAATTAATTACTCCAAGTAAAATATGAAATCCTGTTCAACCAAGGCTATAATATGTGTCTTCTGGAGTCCAGATTTTTCTAAGGGGGAAAAAAAGTAAGTGGTTGAATATGCCCAATTCATGCATTATTTAAAACACAAGACCTTGACAGAGGAGGCCCAAGCATCACCAATGCGTTTTTCTGCCCATGAAGCGTAGGTCCGTTATCTATGAAATAATACCACAGGCTTAATTAATCTCTTCAGTGTCCTGCCTTTGTCTGTTTCTCAGGGGGAGCCTGGGCTTCCTGGACTGGATGGAATAATTGTAAGTTGTTACTTATGTGTGGAGGTCTCAATGTTCTGTAGACCATCACTGCGGGTCCCTTTGCATTTTTCTTTATGGCAGCTTGAAGGGCTTTGTAAGCATTCTCAAGAAAAATCCAGACAGTTGAGGTAGAATGGGTCACACTGTTGACATTTTTCCAGGTGAGAAAGTTCTGAGAGAGTCCACTGTCCCCCTCAAGTGACATAGGAGGCAGCCTTTCAAACCTTTAGCCTGAGGACCTGCATACTCCCAGCGATGCATTAGTAAAGAATTTTGCCTTTCATCCAGCAAGCATCTGCTAACTGTTCTCTGTGTGTTCAGAATACTGTGGGTAAAACAGAAAAGGCAGGACGCTCTTCTGTGAAAGCTATCCTATCTAGAAATTCCTTTTTGGGGACTCTTAATAATAGGGAGTCCATGAGAGGCCGTGAATTGTATTCATAAGGGCTTTCTATTTCTTTGTGTTGCCACATCGCTTTCCTTTGAAGGGGCTTCAGAGAAGCTCCTTCTTTCTTCCTTCTTTCCTAAGTTGGGGTTCCTTCCTTTCTTCTTTCATTTCGATATTGTGCTCCTACTAGATACAAAGTACTCTGAGCGATCCCGGAGAGTGCGGACATGGTCTCTGAATTCCCCTCCCCCCCCCCAGAAAGACTACACACACACACACACACACCAAGATGTGAAAAACTAGTAGGACCATGGCATGAGAATCCCACACCAGCTTGGAGGAAGAGATACCGTCCACCTAAAGATATATCTCATGGGAGACTTTGTATCTAAGATGGAGAAAGGTAGCCTCTGAGAAGTGTGGGTGATGTTTGGGCTGGCCAGCAGAGGAAGCATTCTAAACAGAGCGAGCAATGTCAGAAGAGGGGAGGCAAGAGACAGGATGCACACAAGCACAAACAGAGGAGGGTGAGGACCAAGGGCATATGGGTCCCCAGCACTGGACAGCACCAGCTGAGATGGCTTGTTAACTACATATGTAGAATCACATCCATGCTGTTGGCACTGCATAGCTTCTAGGAATTCATTTCCAGCTTACAAAGGTACAGTGTTGGTCTATAGTGTTCACAGGCATGATAAATCATTTAGATAAAGGGAGGATCATTTAGATAACAAAGAGATTTGTGATCACAGATCAGATTTGTGACCCCAGGTTATTTTGTCGAAGCAATGTTCTATTTCCTGGGGACCTTGTGAACCCCTGCTTTCGCTGGACTTCACTTAGCCTCTCTATTCCTTACATAACACCTCACTACCATCGCCCCCCCCCCAGTTTTCATCAGGCCATATATTTCCCCATAACGTCTTTCTCTTCAGATTTTGTTGTCTTGCTTGTACTATTGTCCTTATCAATCCAGTTTCAGATAGTTTCTTGTTTCTCTTCTGGTTTTCTCTTTGACCCATAGAAATGTGTCATTTGATTTCCCAATATTTGGCAGCCTCCCAGCTATCTTTACAGAGTTGATTTCTAGTTGGATCTCCGTGCAGTTAGAATGAACACTCTGTATGGTTTCAATCCTTTTAAATTTGTTGAGGTTTGTTTCATGGCTCAGCATATGACACTGTCTTGGTGAATGTGCTTTGGGGTATAGTGATCTAAAAAATGTCCATTGGGTCAAAGTAGTTGACAGTGTTGTTTAGATCTTCTGTGTCCTTACTGATTTTTTAAAAATTTAGTTGTTCTATTAATTACTGAGGGAGGGATGTTAAAATTCTCCAACTGTAGTTGCGGATTTATTTCTTCTTGCACTTCTGTCAGATTTTGCTTCATGTATTTTGAAGCCATGCTCTTAGATGCATATGTATCTAAGACTGTCGTGTGTTCTTGATGAACTGACTTGATTTATCGCAACAAAATTCCCCCTCTTTATCTCTGGTAATATTCTTTGTCCCAAAGCCTACTTTATTTGATGTTAATACAAATGTCTTGCTTTCTTTTTGTTTTTTACATCACTTTAATATAAAAATATCCAAATATAGAGCAAAGGGGAATGAATTTTGCCATGAACACCCATACCATTAATATTTTACTATACTTGGGTAGCCCTGGTGGCTCAGCGGTTTAGCGCCACCTTCAGCCCTGGGCGTGATCCTGGAGACCCAGGATTGAGTCCCACGTTGGGCTCCCTGCATGGAGCCTGCTTCTCCCTCTGCCTGTGTCTCTGCCTCTGTGTGTGTGTGTGTCCCTCATGAATGAATAAATAAAATCTTTTAAAAAATATTTTACTGTACTTGCTTTATCCCACTTCTAGCCATCTATCCATCTCTATCCATCTTATCATTGATGATTTTTGAAGTAAATTATAGGTAATAGTACTCTTACCTCTAAATTCTACAGCATGCCTACCATTAGCTAGACTTTAATATGTATTTGCAGCTCTTCTTTTTATGTAAAAGTTACAATGAAATAAACAAATTTTAAATGGTGCATTTGTCGAGTTTTGACAAATATATACTCCTATATAAAAACCCATCTTAAGGTATAGAACATTGTCATCACCCCAGAAAGTTCCCTTCTGCCCCTTCCCAGCCAATCCTTGCCTCCACCCAAAGGAAACCACTGTTCTGATTTCTCTCCACCATTAGTTCAGTTTGTCCCATTCTGGAACTTTGTATAAAGGAAATAATATAATACGTAGCTTTGGGGGGGTCTGGCTTTTTTTCACTTAGCACAATGCTTCTGAGATTCATCCACGTTGTCACATGTATCAGTAGGTTGTGACTTTTTATTGCTGAGTATTTATTCTACTGTATAGATGTATCACAGTTATTTGTCAGTCCTTGTGGCAGCAGGCCCCTGGGATGTTTCCAGTTTTTTACTACCATGAATAAAGTTGCTATGAACATTCTCATGCATTCTTATGAACATACATTTCCGATTTTCTTGATAAACTCTTCTTTTCTGATATTAGTAAAACCTTGCCTCTCTAGGGCCCTCCAGGAGCACCTGGGTCCCCAGGAGCTGTAGGACCCATGGGACCACCAGGATTGCAAGTAAGACCAACCTAAATCTACCATGTGATCACAGTATTCACATGAATGCTTTCCCCACCAGGCCAGGGATTAGATATAAGCCTATGTAGCCTCTCCTAGTGGAAAAAGGCAACTTCCATTCTTAGAGGATTAAAGTGAAGCATGCTCTTATAAGGAGCTGTTTGTTGTCTTTATCGGAGTTTTTCTGACCATCCACTCTGCATTTCCAAAGCCTCCAGCTCTAGCTCAACCTACAGTACAGCCCGGGAATGGCAGATGCCTGGCGCACCTATTGCCACCTTTCACTCCTCTTGTCCATGACAGACCCTGCTAATTAATCATACCATCACAACCACACCCACCTTGAACACAGGAGAAGCTTCAAAATCCTTGCCCACACTGCACCTTGGACAGTGCTATCTACCTACCTGTCTTACGGATACCAAACCTATTTGCCCTCACTAGCATAGAAACAGCATAGCCAGTTATCCATCTGGTTCCATTCCCAGACTGTTTATTCTCCAGTGCATGAAATCTCACCCACTGATGACTTTGGCTTAGCTTTACCAAAAGCCATTATTTCTTAACTTTATAGCCTCTTGGGCAGGATGATCCATGAGGTCTGTACCACCTTAGCATGAATATGGTTATCAGGTCAATTGGGAGATTTCAAAGGAGATGTGTTTTTAAAGGGGTACCACAGGAGAGGGAGCTTGAATCTGCTATACTAAAGCCAAGATATACTGAGAGGGTGGGGACTCATCTCTGGTGACTCTCAACACTGCCCATGTTCTGTTTGAAACTAACAAGCGGGCATTCTTTTCATTTTTAATACAGGGTCCTCCAGGCCCTCCTGGCTTCCCTGGTCCTGATGTAAGTATACTTTGTCTTGGGGCATTTGGGCCTCCTACCACTCAGTCTCCTAGTTTCCCCAAAGATAATCTGGTGTGGTGAAACACACTTTCTGGTAAAAGACTGCATGCCAATTGAAGTTCCTGGCGCTTGTTTAGTAACTGATTTTGTTTTTCCTCCCTGTAACCCTGTACCCCAGGGGAATATGGGGTTAGGTTTCCAAGGAGAGAAAGGAGTCAAGGTAAATAGATTTTGGAAAATACAATCTGCATTCCATATGCTCCGAGCAACATCTCTGGCTGCACACGTGCCTGCTCATTTTAAGGGGAGCTGGATCTTTGCCTCAGGAGATGAACAGTTCCTCCTCCACATGGGTCCTCTAGTGGGGGTCCCGAGAGGGCTGCCACACATAGGCTCCTGGGGTCTTTTTCCTTCCAAATACTGTAGTCTGCCTGCTTCCTACCTGTGAAGTGTGCATGTCTTACAAACATACTCTCTTGAAATCGATTCCCTCCTCCTTCCACCTGGGTATTTTCCTGGTGTTCTGCATATTGTACTACCTTCTCTTTCCTCTTCTTTGCTTCTCCTCTTCCTTCCACCCTTCCTCTTCCTCCTCTTCCTTCTCCTCCTGTCTCTCTCTCTATCCCCTGTCTCTCTCCTCCTCAATCTCTCACCATTCTCTTCCACTTTCTTCCCCTTGTTTCCCTGTTTCCATCTGCACAAACCATATGGGTGATTTGGGAGCCTCGAGGGAGCCTGGAAGCTTGCCCTCTCCACCCTTCACAGCTGCCTCTTGTAGATCACACTGCCTCCAAGGAGCAAATCCAACCTCCGGTGTTCACACGCAGATTTCACTGTTGCTGCTTGTACTCTTGCCAAAGACTGGACCAATTATTAGTCTGATCGCTATTGCTAAGAGGTGGCCATTCTCCTTGCTCAAAAGCCTTTTTTTTTTGATGTCTTCTCAACACCCTTTGATGCATGACACTGGCAACCACAAACCTTTTCATCCATCTTGCTTCTTCCCTCTGCAGTGCTAGTACAGAATGCATTTGGCCAGACTTATAATTCTTCCTACTCCTTGGTACTGATAGTTTTGCTTCCTCACTGAGGCAAGGGCGAGGGTAAAGAGGCCAAAGTGATGGGCAGTTTATTTGTGAATTACATCCAGAGGACAAGCCCAGCCTCTGGAGAAGTGGCCAGTGTGGTTTCTGCTTTGCTTAATATTCCCTTTGATCTTACAGGGGGATGTTGGCCTCCCGGGCCCTGCAGGACCCCCACCATCCACTGGGGAACTGGAATTTATGGGATTTCCCAAAGGGAAGAAAGGATCCAAGGTAGTGAAATGCTAACAACCCTTTTCCTATTAAGACCAAAGTTCAACTCTAACAACCAGACTATACTGGAAGGATCAATGGTTCTGGGTCATGCTTTTGTTTTGTTTTGTTTTGTTTTCAAGAATTTGTTTTAATAATAAATTTATTTTTTATTGGTGTTCAATTTGCCAACATACAGAATAACACACAGTGCTCATCCCGTCAAGTGCCCCCCTCAGTGCCTGTCACCCATTCACCCCCACTCCCCCGCCTTCCTCCCCTTCCACCACCTCTAGTTCATTTCCCAGAGTTAGGAGTCTTCATGTTCTGTTTCCCTTTCTGATATTTCCTACCCATTTCTTCTCCCTTCCTTTCTATTCCCTTTCACTATTATTTATATTCCCCAAATGAATGAGACCATATAATGTTTGTCCTTCTCTGATTGACTTATTTCACTCAGCATAATACCCTCCAGTTCCATCCACGTTGAAGCAAATGGTGGGTATTTGTCATTTCTAATGGCTGAGTAATATTCCATTGTATACATAAACCACATCTGCTTTTTTTGCTTTGAAGTAAAGGTAAAGCCACCTTTGTTTTGTCCCTTATGAAAAGCTTTCTCAAAAGTCTGTGTTTGGGTGTGTGACTTCTGAGTATTTGTTTAAGTCCCATTTTCTGTGCTTTGGGTTTTTTTTTTCAGATTCAATTATCAAAATACCAAGTAACTTAAAACAAACATTAAGTAGTTGGGGTTTTTCCCTCCTGACTCCCACCCCTCTCAATACTTACCTCGTCCCCAAAACACTGTGACAAAACACATAGGAAATAAATAGTTACTTTCAAGTTATCTTTATAAAGAAGTTATTTGCCCTCAAAACGTGACCCTACAAATAAGGTACACTGTCACCAAGTGACAGTAGATGCCCTAATTCACCTTATATGAACTACTGCAGCTGGAGCTGTAGACCTGTTCAACTGCAATACGTCATGATCTCTATTTTGATGTGAGTGAATGTACACATGGTAATTTTCAAACTGTATGCTGTTAAGGTGAGTAGATATCTTTTAGTAACCTGCATTCCCTTCTTTTCCTAGGGTTCCCTTCAGTTTTGAGATTCTGTGCCTATGGCCAAGGGATCTGGGCAGGGAGAGGTGTTTACTCCCATTTCTTGAATTTTGTCTTTGTGAAAGCGACAGCTCCAAGGCCCTCTTTTGGTTTACAGAAAGCAATCATTAGTTTGGAACAGCTTGGGAACATATGAAAGATTGCCTGCCTCCCTGATCATTCTCAAACCTTAGGGAGACCTTCTATGGCACAGATAGTTAAATTAGCATATTGGGGAAGGACAGATTACAGTGTCATGGATCCCCATCCAAACTGTAATTGTTACTCCTTTCCCCAAACTGTTGATTTCTTTGCAGCCCGTAATTTTCAACAGGAAATCACACTGAATGGCTCCTTCCCCTACAAAGACAGCAAATGATCATCTTTTGTGTCTCCCAATTAGCTTCAACATTTGAGATTCTGTTTTAGACAGTTTTTGTTCCTTGCCATAGACCCTTGGCCCTTCCCATACCACAAGGGCTCCCTAAACTGATATCCTGGTGCAGGTATTAGCACCTGGGGATCCTGGGGAGTTTATACCACCTGATACCCCCTTGGTTGTCTGCTGCCCAGCCCAAGCAGCTCAAGGGAGCCATATCCTTTATGTTCACTGTTTCCTGCTGCTACTCACTAATCTTTGATTGGTCTTCCAGGGTGAACCAGGGCTTCCGGGTTTCCCAGGAATAAGTGGCCCTCCAGGTCTCCCGGTAAGTCTCCCCATTTGGTCAAAATGTATTCAAGGACCTGATTGGACAAAAGCTAGAGCAATAGAAGGCTACCAAGAAAACCTCTTCCTATGGTTATTGTAGAGCATTCTATCATCTTCATTACTAGAAGGCATTCCAGGAAATGTTATTGTTTCTTGAACCCATGAGGACATTACCAGGGTACTCTATGAGGCTATATATCTTAGCAGTTTTTAGCTGAAGCTCTAGAATTAAAACAGACCTAGGCTTGACTTCTGATTTCACTGATTTCTAACTATATGACCTTGGACAAGTTTCTTAACTTTCCTGAGTTCCAATTTCCCTCCCCCGCCCAAAAAAATGAGGGTAGGATGATAATGGCATGGTTATGAGGACTAAATGAGATAATTTTTTTAAATTTATGATAGTCACACACACACAGCGAGAGAGAGGCAGAGACACAGGCAGAGGGAGAAGCAGGCTCCATGCACCGGGAGCCCGACGTGGGATTTGATCCTGGGTCTCCAGGATCGCGCCCTGGGCCAAAAGCAGCTAAACTGCTGCGCCACCCAGGGATCCCACTAAATGAGATAATATGCATGGAAAGGACTTAGTATGTGTCTGGCGTATATTCATTGTTCATTAATCTTAGTAATGCTATCTTCACTCTCCTATATGCCCTTGTATCTTAGTGTCTTTCACTTAAACCTTTTTTTTAAAGTATTTTATTTATTCCTGAGAGAGGGAGAGGCAGAGACACAAGCAGAGAGAGAAGCAGGCTCTATGCAGGGAGCCTGATGTGGGCCTGGATCCTGGGTATCCAGGATCAGCCCCTGGGCTGAAGGCGGCGCTAAACCACTGAGCCACCAGGGCTGCCCAACTTAAACCTTTTGAGGGTGATTAGGTGCCAGGCATTCTGCTGGACAACACTAAATAACGGTCAAGGAAGTAAAAGTTCTTGTCTTGGGAAGCCCGGGTGGCTCAGCAGTTTAGTGCCGCCTTCAGCCCACGGCCTGATCCTGGAGACCCGGGATCGATTCCCGCGTCAGGCTCCCTGCATGGAGCCTGCTTCTCCCTCTGCCTGTGTCTCTGCCCCCCCCTCTCTCTCTCTGTGTCTCTCATGAATAAATAAATAAAATCTTTTTAAAAAGCTCATTGTATTAAAAAAAAAAGTTCTTGTCCTGAGGAGAATACATTCTAATGAGGGAACCAGGGAGGAGACACAATAAACAAGGAAACAGATGAATTGAGAAGTTTGTATCATAATAAGTGGTACATAGAAGATTAAAGAAAGGTTAAGTGATGGAGTGTGGATCAAGAGTGCGGTGGGCTACTTTGGGCAGAGTGGTCACACAGAGCCTCTCCGAGGAAGTGCACATTATAAAGAAGGAAGTCACGTGAAGATCAGGAAGAGAGTTTTATGCCAAAGGAACCACAAGTTCCCAGACCCTGGGGTTGGAAAGAACTCACTGCTTTTGAGCAACAGTGAGAAAGTGAGTGGGTGGAGTAGAGGGAGCAAGGGCAAGAACCAGGGAGATAGGCAAGACCCAAATCATGAAGCCCTTTGTAGATCGAATGTGGCATCTGTGTTAAATGGAATGAGAACCCATTGGAAAGCTCTAACATGTGTTTTTGTTAGAGATTTATTTACTTATTTTAGAGAGAGAGTGACAGAGAGTGGGGGAGGAGCAGAGGGCGAGGGAGAAAGAGAATCCCAAGCAGACCTCCACTGAGTGTAGAGCCCAATGTGGGGCCCAATCTCACACCTCCAAGATCATGACCTGAGCCAAAACCAAGAGTTGGGTGCTCAACCAACTGAGCCACCCAGGCAGCCCTCTAACTTGCATTTTTAAGAAGAACACTCTTGCAGAGTTTGGGGGACAGGGGTGTGAAGGATGAGGGAAGGCTGGGGCAGCAGAGGCTACTGTACCAGTCTGGGGGAGAGATGTTAGCAGTTTGCACTAGGGTGCTAGCAAGGAAAATGGAAAGAAGTGCATAGATTGAAAATGTAAAAAATGTAAACTTGTTATTATGGAACATTTTAAACATATGCCAGGAGGAGAGATGGCATAATGCTCCTGCTGTGTCCTCATCACTCGGCTTTTACATTAAGCTACTCCGCCAACTGGAAGCAAATAACAAACATGTAATTTATTTTTCATTTTTAAAAAGATTTTATTTATTTATTTATTTATTTATTTATGAGAAACACAGAGAGACAGTGACATACGCAGAGGTAGAAGCAGACTCCATGCAGGGAACCCAATGCAGAACTTGATCCTAGAACTCCGGGATCACGCCCTGTGCCAAAGGCAGACGCTCAACTGCTGAGCCACCCAGGCATCCTCAGACATATCATTTCAGCATAAAATACTTCAGGACTTCTAAGAGATAGGAACACTTTAAAGGCATAGTTACAAATCACCTGAGTGGCTCAAACATCCAACTCTTGGTTTCAGCTCAGGGTTCTGCTCTCAGGGTTGCAGTCTCAGGGTTGTGAGATCGAGCCCCACCCTGGCTCCATGTTCAACAGGGAATCTGCTTGAGATTCTCTTTCCCTCTCCCTGTCTCTAAAATAAACAAATAAACATCTAAAAATAAATAAATAAAAGCATAGTTGCAATATCATCATCACTCATCAAAAGTAATATGCTTAATATCAGTTAACTCAGAATTCAGACTTAATGATTTTCTCATAAATATATTCTTTGCAATTTCTGTGTTTGAACCAGAATCCAAATGAGGCCCACACATTATATTTGGTTGATAGGTCTCTGAAACTGCACGATGTGTTTTGAGGAAGGAGTTGACAAGATGTTCATGGAGCAGGAGGGAAATGGACGAGTTAAAGATGACTAGGCCTGCCTCTGCTTGCTAAGTGGGGATAGATGGGCTCCAGGCTTTCCCTACAGTTCTTTGAAATACTCTGGGTCTCTCTGGGTGGCCAGAAAATGGAGCCAGTAGAGCCAGAAGCACAGATTGCTTCCATGATAGCCTGTAGAAACACAGGGCCACAGGGAATCATCTGTTCGACGTCATTGATCTTAATTAGCCCAGTGTCTAATGAGTCAGAAAGGAAGAGAACTCCAAAGTTAGAGACAGGACACCTAGACTTCAGACCCAGGTCTATCTCTGGGACCTTTTCAAGTGTCGAGGCATCTCTGTCTATCTGTAGTATGGCGATGGTCATATCTACTGTCTCAAGGGCCAATTCACAATGTACACGAAGTTTCTTTACAAAGTATAAAGCTGTGCATCCAATATGATGACCACTAACCACATGCAGCCACCAAGCCTTGAAATGTGACTAGTCTGAAATGAGGTATACTGTGTCAAGGACACACGGATTTCAAACTCTAGGTATGAGAAAAATAATCTAAAATATCTCAATGATTTTTACTTCAATGTTAAAATGACACTATTTTAAGATATATTTGGTCAAACAAAATGTTACTGAAATTAATTCTACCTATTTCTTTTATGTTTATGATGTAGCTACTAGAAAATTTAAAACAACATAGTAGTTCCCATATTTCTATCAGGCACCACCGGTACAAAGCACTTTGCGAGTGGGTTGGGGAAAGGGTTTGCATTTTCCTTTGTGACCATTTCATAGAGACTCTAGTCTCCTCACATCATCCTCAGGAGGTAAGCAAGTTGGGACGGGTTTATCTCCCTGTACTGAAGAGGAAATCATGGCTTGAACAGATGGAAGTTCTTGCCCAGAGACACGCAGACAGTTATTAGCAGAGCTGAGGCTGAAATCCAGCTTTTTTGAAAGCTAGGCAGCTCAGGGCTCCCCCACACACACTCATTTCCCCATACGATACTGCCCCCTACAGTCCAGTTCCTTCTTGGTATGGTGGTGGTAGACTATGATACTGGAGGCTTTTCACCAGTATCACCAGAAGCATGCTTCTCAAATCCAAAGCCTTCATCACATCAGCTGTCAATTATCCACACTCACTGAGAAATGAGGCTGCACCGAGGATGCAAATCTCTAGGGAGTCCAAACTATTCCCCTCTAACCATTTGTTTCTTCTCCATCCCAACCATAATCTTCGAAGGAGCTGCTGACAACTGGCCAACCCGACCAATGTTATGTCTCACCTGTTTTGTCTGGCCCCGTCTGGCATAACTAAACATCCCTGATTTTCTGGCTCAGCCCCAGTATCCCTCATTTTGCCCTAGTATCCCCAGCAGTCCACACGCACATCTGGCACAGGGACTCCCATGGAGACTGTCAGAGAGAATCATATACCTGTGTGCGTTCTGTCCAAGGGCCAGTGAACACAAGGTGAGGCAATGTGGAAGAGATGAGAGAAGGGAGAAGAGACTGGCAAATCCTGAGGGACCTACTGAGTAGATGTGAGGCAACTACTGGGCATGTGGAGTGCTCCTTCAACTGGGCTCCAGGCTTTCCGTGCCCTTTAGGTGGGTCCTTTGGAGGAGGAGCCCTAGCCTCACAGACTTGAGGGGGAAGAGGAGGCAGGCGGTGGGGAGGCCCTTGGCCCTGCTTTCCTAAGGGGCAGAGGCTAGAAGGACACTTGATTTGCCCAATCTCTCACGTTTCTAATCTTAGGGACCCTTGCAGTGCCAAGCAGAAGACATCTCTGCAGTTTAGCTTCCAAGACAGTAGCACCCCTTACCCCCCTTCTCTCCCCGCTAGCCTTGCTCCCCCTTTCCATACTCCAGCACCTCCTCCTGCCTTTCCCAGTTAGAGAAGCCACCCTAGGTGTGCAGGTGGCTCTAGCCATCTCCACCGCCTCAGCTGGGGCCACAGGGAGCCTGCTTGGGGTTGGGGGGAGAGGCTTGAGCAGAGGGGGACTGCACGGTGGCCCACCTCTTGAGCGAGCATGCCTCTGAGGACCTGTGGCCAAAGCAGCTTTTTTCACTGGGCAGCAGGGCCCACACCCCCTGGCCCCAGCCTAGCATTGGCAGCTCGCCTTTTCCTGGTACCACCTGCCTCACCCTACCTCATATACTACATTACCCCTATGCCCTCATTCCTAGCCACGTGACTCAAGTTGAGTTTTTACAGAGCCACTAATAACCTTGAACCAAAAATACTAGGAGACCAGGACCCTAGTGAGTAGGCCTATGAACAGCTAAGCTAGTGCTCTAATGAGGCTTTCTTGGACATGGATGAGAAGGGGTATGGGAGCAGTGGGTGCAGGACAGCTCCTGGCAAGGACTGCCTATGACCTGGCAGGGTCCCAGGACATCTTGCTAGAATGGCTTGTTCAGCAGGGCCCTGTATGGTGCCTCCCTGCCCTGGGAGACAGACTGAGCCTATGACCCAGTATCTTGCCAAGTCATGTATGTTCTATGGCTTTAACCACCCCCCTACACACACACACACATACACACACACACAAATCATTTATTTTTTTCATTTTTAAACTTTTTTGTAAAGATTTTATTTATTCATGAGAGACACAGAGAGAAGGCAGAGACATAGGCAGAGGGAGAAGCAAGTTCCCTGCTGGGAGCCCGATGCGGGACCCCATCCCAGAACTCCAGGATCATGCCTTGAGCCAAAGGCAGATGGTCAACCACTGAGCCACCAGGTGGCCCTTGTTTTTGAACTATTTATTTTTGTACACATGATAGCACAAGCTCTCTGAGAAAGCATGAGTCTAGAGAGCCTTTCTGCTTTCTGAAGAAAGAGGACGAAGTTCCCTTGTCTTTGCAACTGTGGGCAAGACAGGTGGACAGCATGAGAGTTCCTGGATATGCTTCACATTTGGCAACAGTTTTGTTTTCTGAGTCATTCTTTTTAGCTCAACAAGTATGTATGGAACCATCTTGTATGTGTTTAGCTTGCAGTAACGTGTCCTGGAGGAGATGGAAGTGAGTGTGGTATAGACCTCCTGCTGACAAACTTTCATATACAACCCCTGTTAGTGCTGCAAGTGTCTGGGGCAGTGGGAGTTGCTATAGCTTCCATGGATAGCTCAGGGAAGGCTGCATGGCATTTGGCTTCAGAGGCCCAGAGATGTGTGCCACCAGGTGGCAGCATTCCTGGGTTTCCAATTTGAGATGCAGAATTACGATTTCACATAAGTTTGTGTTCAATTTGAGCCCGAGGTTTTTCAAATAGAAATCCCATTCAGTATGAGGTCTGAGCCCTTTGACACACAACTATAGATGCATAAAAAAAGAAAGACAAGCAGGAACCAAAGTCTGCTTTGAACTAGACCCTTCACAGACACACACTCCACCCTCCACCCCACAACAAAAAGACCAAAAAAAAGCCCACATTAAAAACAATGACGATAACAATGACAAAAACCCACTTGGGGTTCACAGACACACACTCCACCCTCCACCCCACAACAAAAAGACCAAAAAAAGCCCACATTAAAAATAATGACGATAACAATGACAAAAACCCACTTGGGCCTAGAAAGAGAAGGGCTATTCAGCCAGCTTTCAGGACCCATGGGAATGCTCAGAGTATATAAGAGAAAGAAAAAACTGTAAGTGGGATTAGAGCATTGGCTGCAGAACCAACTGAGCCAGGTCACATTGAGAAGGGACGAGGGGAGACGTGCCACAACATTTACCGCCTTTCACAGGCTTACATTCAAGAAAGCTTCACTGCCTCCTTCACTCTCACAATAGGCCTAAATGTTTGCCAGAACCTATGCTCCAGAAAGTCCCACATTTAACCATAACAACAAAATGGCCTTGATTCAGCTTGCCATGAAAGACTCCATCCACTTTGGTAGTGAACTCTTCTGGTTCTCGGGGCCCAGAATATGCTTGCTTTGGACCCAGAGGGAAAAAAGCTTCCTTACTCATTCTGCTTTTTGGATTTCTGCTTGTCCCTAGAGAGTCCCAAGTCATGTCCATGGCTGCAAGTCCTCACCTTCTGTGAGCAGGGCAAGAGGGGTTGAAGACCATCTCCTAGTGCCCTTCGGAGTGCTGCTAGGGCCTACAGGATTCTAGACCACACCTAGATAGAAATAATCCTTTCAAAAAAAAGAAATAATCCTTCCCACCAAAGAGAATGATGCAGCCATCACGCCCCCAGAGGGCAAAAGCGCTTCCCTCCAGTCTTGACCCCCAAGGACTAATACAATTTTCCATTTGCGGGTCAAAGAAACAAGCTCCTAGGTGGTAGAAGGCAGCCTATTCTCATGGAAAGGGCCCTGGAATGGAAGTTTGAAAACATGGCAGTCTCATCGATTCTGTAATGCACACAAGACGCTTAGCTGTTCTGAGTGTCTGCCTCCCCACATGTCAAACCAATGAGGTTAGATATTTAATCATTTCTATGCTATTAATCCATGGAGCTATGAATATAGGTAATCATGTTTAAGGGGACAAGACATTACTTCTAAAACCAAGAGGGAACTTTAGATGAATGGTCCAACCTTTGTTCAGGCCCTGTGTGCTTCTCAGACAGTGACAAGAGACTCAACATGGTGAGCCTCCCCAACTCGCAATGGCATTGATTCAAAGTCACCTCCCTACTTTGGATAGAGCCAGGAGACCTATGAGGAAATGGATGTTATAACTTGTGGTTTCTTTTTTTCCTTTAGGGACTTGGGACTGCTGGAGAAAAGGGAGAAAAGGGAATCCCTGGTTTGCCAGGACCAAGGGTATGAGCCTGGAGTGTTGCTTGCCCGGGTCTGGCAAGTTACCCAGTCCATCGGGTCCATGTTTTGTCCTGTTCACATCCCTATGTTATATAACTTGATGGCCACCAAAGCTTCTCTTCTTTCTCTTCCTCAGCACTCTGCCAGGCCCTTGAGACCTCCTGCTCTTCACTTTGCCCCATTTCCTTGACTTAGTGACTCCCTTAAATAAGAAATGGCTCCTCAGCCTACTGACTTTCCTTGTCCTCATATATAGTTTTCTTCTGGGCCAAAAGTGGGGTAAACGTGGTCTTGCTTTCACTACATTCTATCCTGAGGGAATGTGGGCTAGGGTGCGAATGTTGCTGTAATGAAAGAGGACCGAATATCATCTTTATAGAACAGGAACAAGCCTGGGATGGTCTAGAACATAGTGAGTGACATTTGCAGTCTACAATTTGCAGTAATAATCCCTCTTCAAGTGAAGAAATAATTGTTAGCCTGTGTGATTCTAAGTGCTTCAGGCACTTAGGTGTTAGGCTATAAGCAACTGGCCATCCTTAGCCTTAAAGAAGTAACATTTTAGAGAACTACGATTTTGGCTTAGTCATAAAGCTCGTTAAGAATCTTTTGAGTGTTCAGCAATGTTCACCTTTTACCCTGCCATTTCTGTCTCTACTTTTCTCTACTCCCTTGTCGTGAAAAGAAAGACCAACAAAGAATGCAGTTGGGGTGAGAGACAAGAGACCCTCCCACAATCTATTTAAAAATGTCATGACTTGGGACTAATGCAGACTAAGTATAATACCACCCAGCCCTTCTACCAAATTCTGCCCAATTCTTATAATGTTTCCATTTATTTTGCTCTTTTAAAATGCTCCGTGTGGCTATTCAGCTTGATGGATAGTACTTAGAAAGGAGTCATTAAGCCAGGTCTGGGGACATTCTCTTACCTAATTTTAGGAGCGGCTAAGTCCTGAACTCAGTTGGGAAACTTTGTTATGTAAGTCTATTGGCTGTCTCTAGTGTGGGCTATTAATCTTTCTAAGGTGGCTTCATTCTCTTTACAGGGTCCCATGGGTTTAGAAAGACTCCAAGGCCCTCCAGGGATTCAGGTATTTTGGTTAATGTCATTAAAAGCCCACATGTAAAGTCCTAATCGAAAGGCCCCCTTGCTTTACTTAACATGGGCATCTGTCCAAAGGGAGCCACTGCTTATAATACAAATTATCTACCTCTTTTTGATGGGTATAATCCCAGCCACTATCTTCTTTCATACTCATTCAATAAGCTGAGTATCTAGTGTTACCAATCCAGTGCCATGCAGTGGTCCTACTTCTTTATTAAATTATCAGGGTCTAGCAAGTCCAGCCTGCCTTTATTCATCTCTAGCCTTGTGGCCCTTATACCTCCTAACAGGCAAGTTGGCTACCTTGTGCCATATTGCCTTCTGGAACATTTTATACCCTCCAGAGTCGGGTAGAATCCATGCATACCCTGGAATGCCAGCCAAGATCCCTGCGCCATGTGCCCTGGTCTCATCCGAAGACCAGTCCCTCTTATGTTCTTAGACATTTGATTTAGCTGTAACTCTGTTTCTGTCATAGGGCAAGAAGGGGTCCTCAGGTTTTCCTGGGCTTAATGGACTCCCAGGAATTAAGGTAATGTTGTTGGGAAGTGAAAATCCAGGACTGGGGAGGTAGAAGGGTGAAGAATTCCCCTAAATGCTGTTTAGTCCATTTGGCTGCTTTAAGAAACTATCACAGTCTGGGCAGCTTATAAAAAACAGAAAATTATTTCTCACAGTTCTGGAAGCTGGAAGCCCCATATTGGGGTACCAGAATGGTTGAGTTAGGGTCCTCTTCCAGGTCACTGACTTCTCACTATGCCCTCACATGGTGGAAGGGGTGAGCTAGCCTTCTTGGCCTTCTCTTATAAGGGCACGAGTCCCAATCCTGAGGGCTCCATGCTCGTGACCTGATCACCTCCCAAAGGCCCCACCTCCTAATACCATCACTTTGGGTATGAAGTTTTCAAAATGAATTGGGGGCAAAAAGAACACAAACACCTGAACCATAACAAACACCTACATATGAGATGAAGTGTTTTTTTCCAGTATCTTAACATTTTAAATGTTACCCTTTTCACATGAAATGTGTGAACCCTACTTTGAGCACTAAAAACCAATAGGCCTGCCTCCGAACTACTTGATCGGAGGTAGACTAAAAGCCAGGGGCGGGGGGGAGTACGGGAGCAAATCCATCTCTACAAAGAGGAATAGTCTACTATTTACATTGTTTAGAATTGCTAAATTTTTGTCTTTATTATTGTTTTTCAATTCTTTACAGACAAAGTGTCCCCTTATTGCCTGTACCAGGGGCAGGCAGCTCCCACCTCCCCACTTGGATATGCCACTGTATCTGATTCTGATACCTGAGCCCCCCTTCGGGGGAACTTAGAACTCCTTTGACTTCCTCTGCCTGAAATCATCCACTAAACAAGGCCAGTGACAGTAGCAGAGTCTGGGCCTGCTAGAGCAGAAAAAAAAAAAAGTTAAAACTGCTCCTTCCTTTGCACCTTTTTGGTGCAGCAACATGGTCTATTCTTGTGATCTGTGTCCTAGGCCCAGAAGCAGATTATCCTGGAGTCAGGTTGTAAAATGTAATCGGGATCCCTTATTTTTGACAGGTTTGCCATTGAGTATTAGGTCTCTGGCCTGCTTTGTGTTGCCTTCATCTGAAATTTATTAGACTTCAGAATTAACCTGTGGACTAGCTGGCCCATGGAATCAGGGGTTGTAGAAGGAGAAAACTTTTATTTTCCCGAGGAACGGCTTTGAGGGCACATAGAGCTTGAAGTCACGGGAATGTTTGCATTTAACCAATTGAATCTTTACAGGGTGAAAAGGGTGGCATTGGCCTGCCAGGCCCAGATGTGTTCATCGATACAGATGGTGCTGTAATCTCAGGTGCAACTTTTCATTGATTGCAGTGAAAAAGAAAGGACCATGGGTTACATTCTATATTCCCTATAATCGTAATGAGGATATTTTGTCAATCATTGGATTGCTGCTAGAGCCAACACCCTCAAGGGCCCCTCATGGGTCCTGTATTTGGGGAAGGAAGCTAATTCCAATGTCTTTGGGCAAAGAAGCCAAGCCCTACACTCCATGTTGGCTCCACCAAGACTAGGGTTGTGGTTGGACTGGGCCTTGACTTGATGAAAATTGTTCTCCTAATGATGCTTGGGGAAGGACCGATATCCTCCCTGTCAAGGTTGACTTGACCCTGATACTATGGGACATTTGGGGTTTTATCTACATGATCCCATGCATGCTTGGGTTTGACAATGTCACAGGAGGTGGAAGAGTATCCAACTGTTCTGATTGCCTTCTACAAGCACCTGTATGCCCAGTGTCTCCAGCTACTCCTTGCTTGAGCAAAGGCTTCTACTACTATACCTCTTCTGCCCCAGTCTCCGAAATTATCTCTCCCCTGTCATCCTCTCTAGCCCATGCCCTGTCCAGTACACTTAATGAAGCCATGGTATTAATGATCGACAGTGGATTCCTGTGTTCCACTTCTAGGGAATCTATGTGCATAACATGAATAGTAGACTTTAACACCTTAGTCCAAATGGTAGACATTTGAGGCATGACAGCAGGTTGGTAATAGTAGAAGGACGTTCCTAGTACTTACCAGATCTTCCCATCGAAGGTTAGCCCTGGCCAGACTGGTTCTGAAAACTAATGAAGCCTTAGCTCAAGTAGGCCCATTATCACATGAGGCCATTAGATTCAGGGAGGCCTGTGAAGGGCGAGAAAGAGAAATCTATCCTGAGGACATCTCCTTGCAACTCTCCTTAGGCATTTTGTGGCATTTATGGGCCTCCTCTGGTTTGCTTACTGATTTTTTTCCCTCAAAATACCAGGTTATCCTGGAGATCCCGGTATGCCAGGTCTCCCAGGACTTAAAGGAGATGAAGGCGTCCAGGGCCTGCCTGGCCCTTCTGGCATCCCTGGCTTACCAGCTTTACCAGGTGAAACAAATTACCCCACCCCCTGCACAGATCTGTCCTCTAACCACGCTGGTGCCCAGCATCCCCTTCTGTACCTCTGGTTTAGATACATATCAAGCCAAAGTTAAAGGAAAGGTAGACTATAGTCATTATATTCCCTACCACCAGCCCAAGGCTAATGTACATGAGGATAGGACCTGGGTGAGAAGCTTTCCTTTGGCCTGAATAATGTAACATTGCTAGACAGGCAATCCTTTTGAGGTTTCCAGCAACCAGATGGCGGCCTGCTTTGGACTCTTCTATGGATTTTCCATCCCAGCTAACGTTTGCTAGTAGGAGCTAACAAAAGCCCAGAGGAGAATTTGTCCCCAGACCCTCACTCTGTGCTCCGCTCAGGCACTGAATGGCCCAGGATCCTATGAATGAAGGAAGCATTGGAGAAGCACACTCATATTTCATTCTGTAGTAGCAAATAGAGAAAGGCCATGCCAGATTCAGAGGGGGCCATGATGGGCCAAATATAAAGCTTCAGACATTACTCTGAAAGACATTAGTTTCTAAATTCCTTGGAAATGGGCATCCGTAAGGATACCTGTGCTTTTAAAGCAACTGCCTGAAGGAGGGATAGCTGATCTGACCCCTAAGGTTGAAAAACCCAAATGTAGGAGACTGGAGACCAGGTTTCCCTCTCAGGTTTGCCACCAAACATTGCCTTCACCATGTTCTCCCCGCCCTTTAGGCCTCAACTTCCCAAGAGGTTGGGCTAGACAATTCCTAAGGACCCTTCTAACTCTAATGTAAGAGAAGGGCAATTGGTCTTCCAAATTCTTTCCTTGGAGTGGGCTCCCAGCATATGCTGCGAATTGAAGAACCCCAAAGAACAGGGTAATGTGATCAGCATTATTGTGTGGGCTTGTCCTTCCAGGTGTCCCAGGTGCTCTAGGCCCCCAGGGAGTTCCAGGTTTAAAGGGAGACCAAGGAAGCCCAGGCCGTACCACAGTTGGGACAGCTGGCCCCCCAGGCAGAGACGGTTTGCCAGGCCTACCAGGCCTACGAGGCCCACCTGGTAAGTTGTTCATTTCGCTCCTTGGTGTTGAGATTTAAGTGCCATCCAGACTGCAGAACAGTCATGATTTTTGAGGGAGAGAGCATTTCACAGGAGAAATAGCCGGGCTGCATGATGGCCCCAGAGGGGCAGTGCCAAAGGCCCTGTCCTCCTGAGTCAGGGCCCTCCTTCTACAGAGTAGTGACCAGAGAAGTCAGAGGGTTCATCAAGGAACAACAAGGCAGGCTAAAGCCACCTCTATGGCCACACCTACCCAATGCATTCCAATCTGTGTCCCAGAGGACAACCCCCCAGCCTCTGGTCTTGTGGGCTATGAAGAATCAACATTGGCTCTCTCAAGCTCCACCTAGTCCTCAGGGCCCCAGCAGGGTGGGCTGAGAGCCTGGGAAATGGGAATCCAAGCCTGGCCCCTCAAGATGGTTGCTAAAAGCCTCAATGGGGCTTATTCTCCTTAGGTCCTCTACCTGAGTACAAGATTCTAGATTCTAAGAGAAGGGCTGGAAATAGGCCCACCTGTCTTGGTCATCTAAACCCTGAGACTACTGCATTTCCTCTTTTGTCCCCAGGGGACTTTCTGGGATAGGCACTGGGACTGCTGACTCCCTAAAGTTGTTGTGGTCATTCTGATCCTCTCTGTGTCTAGTCTGGTGCCTGAAACATAATAGCCCTTCTGTAAAACATAGCAGAGTGAAGAGCACCAATAGGGGATAAGACTTGCCACAGCCTCTGGGTCTCTGGCTCTGGTTTGGTTGCTGAGCCTCAAGGACACAGGCCTTAGTGACAGAGCCACTGTGCAGCATCACCTGCAACATGTCAATGGCTTATGTTCCCTTTTTCCTGAAGGTCCAGCATTTGAGACTGAAACCCTACAGAACACAGAGCCAGGGTTCCCTGGTCTCCGAGGAGAAAGAGGTCCAAAAGGAAACCCAGGCCCAAAGGCATAAAAGGTGATTTTCACCCTCTTGAGTGTTCTTTGCTCCCCAAACTCCTTCTTGCAGAAGGCTCTCTGGGAGAAGAGCAGACCAACGGCTTTGGGAACCCAAACAGCAGCTGTCTGGGGTCTTAAGGGGGGGGTTGATTATAGGGTTGTTGGAAGTGCTCTATATTTAGGGCTCAGAGAGCGAGACTGGTAGTTGAGGTCACACAGGACCAGGTGGCTCTGGGGCCCCTGTTCCTACCCCATACACCCACAGAAGTGGCTACCAGCAGCCCCAGCTGTTAGAGCCAGCATACACGGCAGCCCTTCTTGGTGTGTGAGGCCAAGGCCAGAAGTCACTCATCATTACCTTCAGCCTGAATGAAAGGACTCTGAACAGGTCAAGACTTGGCAATCTGTGAAAGTCAACTGGCTCTAGGAAAACAGCCATGGTCCCCACTGATGTTGAAGGGTTGATCAATTACCCCAGCCCGCAGTGGAGGCAGCGGTGGCACCTGCTCTGTCCATCTTCCTGCTGCCTCTGGGTTGTTCCTCTGTTTCATGCTCTTGAGGGGCAGATGTTAAAGCTCAAATAATCAATTCATTTTAGTTGCAGCCCAAGCCAGGGTGGAGGAAGAGGTAAGATGGCTAGCCAGCAGAGGAGAGGTTTGGGGATGGCCTAGAGGCATCAAGTGCCAGAGATCTTTCCTCTTCTCTTGCTGAATTACCAGCTCTCCTCAACCTTAGGCAGAGAGGTCCTGACTTCCTCTTCCCCTTTCTAAGTGCTGTATCAGAAACTGCCGCTAGTTAAGTAGAGGAGCTAGTTCAGAATATTTTACAAGTTCCATCTCTGCTGTTGAGCTCCAGGAAGGACTGTTTGGAGGGAAAAGAGATTGAATTGCAAGTTTTGACTTAGGCTTTTAGCCTTGGCCCATCCCTGACTCACTACAGAACTAGTGTACTTCTTGATACCATTTGTACTCCTAAAACAGGGACAACTCTACTGCTCCCCTTTCTGTATTGTTGTGCAGCCAGAAGGTTTTTTATTTTTTAAAGATTTCATTTATTTATTCATGAGAGACACAGAGAGAGGCAGAGACATAGGCAGAGGGAGAAGCAGGCCCCCCACGGGGAGCCCAAAGCGGGACTCCATCCCTAGACCCCAGGATCATGCCCTGAGCTGAAGGCAGATGCCTAATCCCTGAGCCACCCAGGCGTTCCCAGAAGGTTTTCTTTATGTCTGGAATAGTGATTGTGATCCTCAAGCTCCTTGTTCATGAGAATCACCTAAGGGAGATCACTAAAAATTAGTGATGGTTCTGGCCTCCTGAAAGTCTGCTTTATTAGACCTCTGGTGATGCCCAGCAAGCTGCCTTATAAACAAGCAACGTACCTAACTTATGCAAAAGGTCCATGGCTCATTTGGAGAACATACTGTTCTTTCCAGATTTCAGAGATTCTCAATTATCTGAAAGTAAAAAGAGGCCCCCCAGGATCTTAGGGGACCTCAGATCATGTACATTCATCTAAATTTTCATTTTCTGGCTATAGTGTTAGTGGCTCCTTGATACCTCTTCAAAGGTGCTTTGCTGAAATCCCTGTCATAAATTTATTTGGGCTTTGTTTCTGTGTACAAAAGGCAAGGGAAAAGGCATTTTGGTGAATAGAACCTCTGAGGTGCTTGGATTCCAGACTCACCTGGTTAGCATGGTCAGTGGTTTCCAATGCCAACTGCCTGCAACCAGTCTTAATTAGACTCACCAATCACTGGGCCCTCTCTCCCCAGACTGATGAAATCCACATCATTGGTACGGATAAATGTACTTTGGTGGAGAGTAAACCGGGTTTGTAAACCTAGTTCATTTATTTGAGTCTGCTCTCCGCAGGCCTTCTGATTCCTCCATTGGAGTTGTTCAAATCACAAATTACCACGGTCACATCATCTTTTTTCTGAGAAAGATAGTCCACTTTGTTTAACATTGTCTTTTTTTTTCCCACCCCCAGGAGATTTGGGCTTTTGTGCTTGTGACGGTGGGGTCCCTAACACTGGACCACCTGGGGAGCCAGGCATGCCTGGGCCACCAGGTCTCATAGGTCTTCCGGGCCTTAAAGGAACCAGAGGAGATCCAGGCTCTGGGGGTGCACAGGGCCCATCAGGGGCTCCAGTAAGTCTTACCAAACTTTGGCCCTGGGGGAGCAGTGGGAGCTCTCAAGTGCCCCTTTCTGCCTCCTCACGCACTTTCCTAAAACATAGGAAAGAAAGATGGGGGTAAAACAAAGTTTCAGGCTTTTGGCGTAGTATGAAAGAATCACATCATCTCCTTTTGGCTTTGACCTGCCTATGTTCCCTCCATCCCTTCATTCCTTCCACAAAATTATTTCTATTTTCCCAGCCCTGCACTGGACCCTGAAGTTAAAAATCAAATTAAGACAAGGTTACCATCCTCAAGGACTTCAACATTTGGAAAGGATAAGCAAATAAATGGGCAGTTGTCATCCAAGATAATGACATATTCAAGTGCCTAGAGCGGTGCCCAAACGTATCCCCAGATCTGCTTTAGGTTAGACCTAGGCTAGGTGTCAGTCCTCCGATGTCTACATCTCCTAATTATGCCCTTTTGTCTCTTTGTCAGGGCTTATTTGGGCCTCCAGGTCCTGCGGGCTCCAAAGGAGATAAAGGGGAGCCAACTTTCAGTTCTGCATCAGGGGTGCCAGGGGAGCAGGGTGATCCTGGCCCCCAGGGGCTCCCTGGGGAGATGGGAGCTCCAGGCAAGGATGGAATACCAGGTCTACCAGGTCTGCCAGGTCTTCCGGTAAGTTGATCGTTCCTGGGTGATTAGCTCTATAAATCCTTACATCTGACATCATGGGGGCTTCTTATGGCCACTAGCCCATGAGACAGGGCAGAAGGGAGTCCCCATCACTCTTCTGGCCTCCGCCCCTGATACTCTTCACTCAGTGCTATTCCTTTCTGTAAAATGGGAATCTTTTCCTGGGAATGGATCATTGTCTCAGTTGATAGAACCACTGACCTGATCACTTAAAATGCTTTGACTTCTCGGTAGCTTTTCCTCGCAAGTAATACAGCTGCTTTCTGGGCCCCCAAGGACTGTTTCCTGCCCCCTCCCCACCACTGATCTAGAAGTTTTTGTGTTATCAGATCTCCGAGGGTTACAAGCTTCATTCCCATTACCTTAATCAGAGGACATGATTGATAAACCAGAGGGAAAGAGAATCTTAGCAAAAACCAAAGCACTGGTCACACTGGTTATCTCTTTCCTCTGGTCAGAAGGGTCTCTTGATCAGTCTTTAAGTTGGGCTTTCATTCTTTCTTATGTGTTGTCTAGGGTGACGGTGGACAGGGCTTCCCAGGTGAAAAGGGATTACCAGGACTGCCTGGTGAAAGAGGCCACAGTGGCCTAACTGGCCCCCCAGGAATTGGGCTGCCAGGATCTCCTGGACCTCGTGGGCTTCCTGGAGATAAAGGAATAGATGGATTACCAGGGCAACAAGGCCTCCCTGGGCTTCCAGGTGAGTCATGGAATCAGATGGCCTTGGACTTAAAAGACTGACCCCTTGTAGAGTGTGGCTGTGACCCAAGCGCATGAAATGTGTCATAAGAAGAGGCTTGGCTGATTGTAATCACTACTTGCAATTTCTAAGGGTTTTTGTGTGGGAAAAGGATTACAATTATACTGTGGTACACTTAGAGCAATCTAGATTTCAGTTCTACTTAGAAAAAAAAAACTTCCTAACAGACCAGGTAACAGAGCTGCCTTGGGAGCTTATGAGCTCACAATCCTTAGGAAATTTCAAGCAGATGCTGGATGGCCATTTTATTACAAGTACCGTTGAAGTAATGAGTGGAAGATGGGATAGGTGTCCTCTAAGTTATATCGTAATATCATCAGCAGAAAAGAACCTTTCCTTCATTCCTGAGATATCTCATATTGACAAGAGACCCTACTTGTATCTGGTCTCACCTCTATTTCCTACCTTAAATCCCTCCCACTTATAGAGCTGCTTTTCCTCCCTGAATTTCAGGAATTACAACGAGTGACAGCCTTGCTTGTAGATTATTATAGATTTGTGAAGGTGCTATGCCAATAACTTGCCTTCTTCCAGACAGCCAGAACAGCTAGTTCTTCATCCCAACTTCTATTTCCATTAGTGGCACCACCCTTCTTACGGTGATCTGATCTGAAAACTTGAAACTCATCTCTTAGTCTTCATTTGCAGTGCTTCTTATATTCTTTCCTTCCTCTTCTTGCTATTAGGCTCTCATTATCTCATGCCTAACTTATCAAATACTCCCATGCCTGTTGGAATAAAGGGATGGCTAGAAGGAAGAATGGGTGGACAGATGGATGGGTAAGGGGTGAATGGCAACAACCTCCTAAGTGGTTTCTCATCTCCTGCCTCCAGACTTCCCCCACTGAGTTCTGCTATGAACACTGCTGCTGATTCACTATTTGTGAAGTACTGCTGCTATCATGTTATGCCCCTAGTCTGAAGCCACAAGTGGTGGCATTTTTCTGGAATGTTCTTCCTATTTTTTCTATGCAGTCGGGTTTTATCCATCTCTCAGGGTCCAGGCCCCAACTTCCCCACTAAGCCTTTTCCTGACCTCTATAGGATGTCACTGCCACTTCAATGATATATTTGCTTCCATTAATACTTTTACTTTTCCCAACTGCTTTGTAAGCGTCTGAATATTGAGGCAGGCAATTCTTTTTTAGCATTTCTCAATTTGCCTCATACAGTACAATGTTCCATAAGAGACTAATATACACTCATAGAAGAAAGGGGCTTCTCAATAATCAAGGGGCTTTCTTAGACCTCTTTTTTTCTCTTTCTACTTTGTCACCTGGAAGAATTACCCAAAAAAGAAGACAGAAACCAGATCTTGCAAATTTTCATTTACCTGAAAATCTACTTGGAGGCATTGGTATAGTGAGGAAGACAGTTCAGGTTAAGAATTGATGATTCAAGATTCTTAAAACCAAGTCAGTATTTCAGTTTACAAACTCCTATGTAGGCTATGAGGAATTTTATCAGACAAGATCATCCTGCCTTTTGCAACTCCTGGTGTCACCTATAGCTTTGCTTATATGTCTCTGTTCCCAGAGACATTATTCATGGTCATTCCACTGCCCCTCTGCCAACTGGGTCTTAATTTTAGGCCCCCCATTTGTGTAGGCGACTAAGTTTTAAACTGAGTTATAGTGACCTGGTACATACATATTTACGCATACTCAAATCTGAATATTATAAACATTCTAATTGCTTTAAAACAGGCTGAGTGAACAGAAGGAGGCCCATGGGGCCATTTCTATCCTAAATGTCACTATGCCCCAGACACAGAAAGTTCTTACAAATATAGTCATATAGTAATCTCTAACCTGGGAGATGCCTTATGCAGAAAATTGTTTTGTTACAGTACCAAGATCTTCCAAAAAATTACTTCAACTAGTAGCATCAGCTTTCTTTTTCTCTCCATGGCAACCAAGTATAACTCCTCAAACCTAGGAATTTTTTTCTACACAATTTCAAAAACACATAATCTCTGAGCCCCAGACATTTGCATTGTGGCCATTACTATTGCCATGAAAACCAAAGATGCTATTTTTTTTTGTCTGAGAGAGAGAGCACGCGTGCACACACATGTAGGATTGTTGGGATGGGTGGGCGGGGGCAGAGGGAGAGAATCTTAAGCAGGCTCCATGCCCAGCATGGAGCTCAATGCAGGGCTCAATCTCACAACCCTGAGATTAAGACCTGAGGCAAAATCAAGAGTTGGATGCTTAACCAACTTAGCCACCTAGGTACCCCCTGAAGATGCTATTCTTAATGTACTCACTCCAACCAGTGGTGGCCCAGACTAGGACAGCTGCATTGCCAGGAAGGGAATGCAGTTGTTAGAAGCCTTTCAACCAAGTGGTATGAATTATTACAAACCTTGGATAAGCAGACAACTGGCTGTTTCCAAAAAGGCTGATCCAGATGCTCATAGTAATTAATTACCCTGGTTATTACTGAAACAGCTACTGTGTCCTTGATCTTGTGTGCATGCCAGCCTGCTCTCTTTAATCCAGATAGGGAATGTGATCAATGGGCATACCCAGGCTGCAGACAAGACTTCCCATGGGCCTCAGGAAACTCCTGTCCTGGTTTAATTTTCTTATTCTCTTGATTGGTCTAGGTGACTGTTGCTGCAGGGAGAGCATTGGTAAAGGAAACTTAGTTACAGAGGGAGGTGAGAGCTAGCTCAGTCTCCAGGTTCTCACACACCAATGTTGGCAATGGCTCCATTCCTTTCTATTCACCTCAATCTCGGACATTCATGATAGCCTAAGCACCATGCTGGAGCCTCTAGTTGGGAGAAGGGGTGATCCTAAGGCAGGGGCACAAAGGCTGACACTGTCACTCCTGATTCCTGGGAGGGCATATGGGAATAGGTGGGCATGCGGTCTCTGAGAGGGGCTGATATCCTTCACCATGCATGTTGATGGCTTGGCTGATGTCTAGCTGGAGCACCTTCATTTTGTGAATTTAACTGAGACCATAACTCACCTTGGGAGGTACCCGGAAGGATGCACACATGTCTGGTGTTCACTCATTCGATGCAGAGTATAGTGAGATGTTAGGATCTTGGGAAGCACAGGCACTTTTTATTCTGAAGAAGAATTTGGGCAGGAGCAGGGAAAATTCTGACTAGTTAGATCGTGTGTTGTACTTATGAAACAGAATGCCAATAGAGCTGATTTCTGCTGTGTGGGGGAGAAGGCTCTGAATTCAAGGTTGGAAAGTAGAAGAGGTATACCATGATACCAGGGTGACTTGAACTTCTCACCTCCTCGGCATTTTGCCCCCCTGCTCCCAATACACAAGTGTGCTGTCTGTGGTGTGCAGGCCTGGTCTGAGGTCAAAGGGAAATATGCCCTTGATTCCCATCTTCCCGTTTATTATTAGTTTCCCTATCTGGAACCTTTCCAGATGCCTGTCCTTGGCCATCCTCTAAAGATGTGTTTTTATCTGGCTGTCAAGTGAAAAGAATTTATGAAACTTATCTGATGAATGGAGTAAGGATGGATGGTTCATGTTTGCAGCCAACGCAGAGATATTTGTATTCTACCCTTTGTTTCATAAGACTGAAAGCAATGGAACTGCAGTGTTTGATACATTGGAATCAACAGACTATTGAAGTAGCAAGGACATGAGAATCTTCTGCAGGGCCCCTCGCATGATACCATCTGGGGAGGCCACTCTTCAGCCTTGTCCAAAGAATGGAGGACCAAGCTGAGCACAAGATTGGCAGCCCTTACCCAACCAGGCATCTTATCATGAAGTGCTTGCCCATAGGGTATAGTTCCCTAGTAGGAAGATAGCCCTCAGGAATAGCACCATTATCTCAGTGTCTGGCAGGATGAACATGAGTATGACCACCTATGGACGAAGATCAGGCCTAATGCCCTCTCTCCAGCTGTAGAAGTGACTCCCAGAACCTGAGTCTAGAAGGCAGGAAATTGCTGCCCAGGCTACAGAGTAGTTTCCTAACTTGACTAAGGTAAAAACCAGGGGATGGCCTTGGAGGAGCTCTTTGACTACTCTTCCTTAAATAAGAGGATAAAAAACAAAACAAAACAAAACAAACAAAAAAATACACCAAACCTGCTGTTCATTGAGCAACCACTAGAGTGCCAGGCACTGTGCAAAATGCTACTGGTATCATCATGTCCTGTCATCCTCACAAACACTGTATGAGAAAAGTAGCTCCCGTTTTATGCATGGGACTCAGAGAGGGTAAGTATCTGACCCAAACAACTAATTAGTAGCAGAACTAGGATTGTAGCCTAGCCCAGGTCTCTCTGGCTTTGGAGCCCAACCTCTTAACCAATATATGATGCTGTTCAATCTCCCATCTTGCTTTAGGAATAGAACGAGTGGAAGAGAAATGCCAGCCAGTTGAGAATGCAATCTGAATCATAGCTTGTACACATATTTTTAAGAAACGCAATTTGTGATTTAAGTACAGGCGAAAGCTATAGCAGTTCACTTAAACTGTTGGCTCTGTGGCTTAAAGCAGGCCTTGAGGAATTGTTTTAACGAATAGGCAAGACTAATTTTAATTAGCATGGCAATTGTTTGTAAATGGCACTGGTGAGCCGACACACAATTTGTTCATCAGTGTTTTATTAAACTTCCCCTCTGTGATCTTATGTAGACTCTTTTTATTTGCTTTATGGACAGGCAAGTAGGAATTTGCTAGGGGAAGGGCTCTGCCTGCCAATTTCAATATCTGGAATGCTGAAATTTACTACCGATTCTTCCTGAGTAGCAGAGTTGACATTGTCAAATGAGGAGCTGAGGGAAGGGTTATCATTTGTCTGTCATGGCCAGGAGAGCAGCCTTCAGTGTTAGCCTAGTACAGAAATACAGCTACCTGTATGCTACCTGATGTGACCCAGGGTCAACCACAATAGATCCCAATCTGTAGATCCCAAACAGGGTGAGTCAGAAGAACCCAATGGGTTGTGCTCATTTCAGGAGAAGGGCAGACATGTGAGCTTGAGGAGTCTTGGCTTCAAGCCCTCTAGTCTAGTCACACGGCCCAAGTACCCGTCCTAGAGAGGCTCCTACTCGCAGGGCAAGTAGGCAGTTGCCCTTTGCTGCTGCTCCTGCATAGGCTACCTCTCAGAAATCTTGTTAGGTGACAACTTAATGCATAGGTGACTGCCTGCTCACTGGACATTGATGGTTTAGGAGGTGGCTTTCTGGCACTTGGCCCCTAGGGGTACTCTTATCTGTAAGCAATTGCACTAGGGGTAACTCCGGAGAACTTCTGATGCCAGGATCCTTCTGCATGGACTCCCAGCTGCTGGGTGGGAAGAACTTGGTTGTCCCGTCTGAGGGAATGGGAATAGAGGATCATGCTAGAGGGAAATCATTCCTGTCTTGGTGGGCTTACCAGATGCTTATGTGTTACCACTTATAGGAATCACCTTGCCGTGTATAATTCCTGGGACATATGGTCTGTCTGGCTTACCAGGAGCTCCCGGATTCCCAGGTATGGAACGAGGCCAGAGAAAGCCACTGAGCACATTTGGAAGGGCCATGAGCCCACAAAAGTGGGGGACAGCCTTGCAGCATTTGGGGAGCCATGTTCCTCCCGAGAGGGCAGCCTTGAGCATTGAGGAAACAGAATGTGTCCTGTGGAGGTCTGTGTGGGGAGGTAAGGGTAAGAGGCCCTCCAAGAGACTAGGATTCTTTAAAAAAAAAAGATTTTATTTATTTATTCATGAGAGACACAGAAAGGCAGAGACATAGGCAGAGGGAGAAGCAGGCTCCCCACCGGGAGCCCAATGTGGGACTTGATCCTAGGACCCTGGGATCACGCTCTGAGCCAAAGGCAAATGCTCAACCACTGAGCCACTCAGGTGCCCCCAAGAGATTAGGATTCTTGAGTGAACATTACAAATGTGGCCAGCCACACTGACTTCCTTTTCTCCTCACTGCTCACGTGTGGGTTTGTAGGCCCTAAAGGGGCCCGTGGCCTCCCTGGGACCCCTGGTCAGCCTGGATTGCGTGGGAATAAAGGAGAGCCCGGAAGTCCAGGATTAGTTCACCTTCCTGAATTGCCAGGTAAGGAATGAAGCTTTTCCTCACCTGCTTCTCCTTTGCTGTGACTGTGTGTCTGAATTGCAATAGCCATCCACCGATCATAGGAAGTGAGGTTTGCACTCTCGTGTGGGTGGGATGGTTTTGATTTCATACTCACGCAAGACAGAACTTAAAGCTAAAGAGCAACAGTGAATCAGAGCAGTAAGGGCCATTGGCTGGGACAAGCCTTCTTCACTTTCGGATGAGGTGATCAAAGCTCAGATGAAAGTGCCTTGCCTGAGCTCACGAAGCCACTAGTGACAGAGCTAAGACTCTACCAGGTTATCTGGCTGCCAGGACAAGGGCAAGTTCCCAGTTGACTCCTGCTAGGTTAGACAAAGAGATTCAGAAGAGTCAGAGGGAAGTGATTCATTTCTATCCCTTTGTTCACACCCTGTTGTAACCTTGTTCTACACTGCACAGGGGTTCTTAAACTGTGTTCCCTGGACTTGCAGCACCAGCATCACCTGGAAACTCGTTAATAATGCAGACTCTTGGCCTCTCAGCAGACCTACTAATCAGAAGCTCTGGGCAGGGCAGGGGGAGGGTGGGGTGGCAGTGGTGTCCAGCCATGTTGGATTTTACCAAGCACGCCCCACTACATATACCCAGGTAGTTCTCACCCACACTCAATTTGAGAACCACCCTGCTCTGCGGACAGGGCTCATCTTGGATCATACACTCCATGGTTTATTTATCCAGCTTCATTTCCTTCCAATCACCCAGGAAGAAGGAGGCATGACAGCAGGAGATGGATGACTCCAGAAAAAATTGGGCCTTTGACAGGGAGTCCTAGGTATAAGCTGTGCTCTTCGGCCCATGGAACAGCCCTAGGAGTAGGTTGCTGGGCTCTGCCCAAGGCCTGGCCTCACTGACCTAGAAACTTCTACAGTTCACATGATGCAGTTCCTGCCTCTGGGCAAGTCCTCCCAGGACCAGGGGCTCCTGACTTCCAAAAGAAGTGACATACATCATTGATATGTTAGCTTTTGTAATAGGGGAAAAAAATCTGTCTCAGAGATCTCTACCCAGACCTATCTTTTCTAAACATCCATGGCCTTTTATTTTTTTTTGCCTCTTTACATTTAGGATTTCCTGGACCTCGTGGGGAGAAGGGCTTGCCTGGGTTTCCTGGGCTCCCTGGAAAAGATGGCTTGCCTGGGAAACTTGGCAGTCCGGGTTTACCTGGTCCCAAGGGAGCCCCAGGTGACATCTTTGGTGCTGAGAATGGTTCTCCGGGGGAGCAAGGCCTACAGGGATTACCAGGGGACAGAGGACTTCCTGGAGACTCTGGCCTTCCAGGACCCAAGGGTGACCCTTTTTGATTCGCTTATATAACCATCTCCAGAAAGTCTTTCAGTGACTGCTATACTTGCATGAATACATACATGAGACTGGGGTGATGGATTCCTTTGGGGATCATGATGAAAAGTTATTTTGTTCTGTCTCTCTCTTCTGGGAAGTTTTTCTTACATCACCTGAGTCTGTCCTCCTTTCATAGTAAATCCAGAAGTAACCATAATGGATAGTCAAGTTCCTTATAAAGCCTCTGATTTGCTGCTAGGATACTAACAGCTAGGGCTGGAGCAGAGAAGACAGTGGTACCTGGGATGTACCTGGGGCCAGGCCTTTGCGCTGGAAATTGGTTTGGTGACCAGTCCCTGCTGTCGATCCAGACTGTAATCGATTATCTGTCCTTCCTTTCATTAGGTTTGCTTGGAAAGTCGGGCCTGCTAGGCCCCAAAGGTGAACAGGGCAGCCCTGGAACACCAGGCCACATGGGAGAGCCAGGGCCCCCAGGGCCTGATGGTCTATACAGCAGCATCAAGGGCAAGCCCGGGCTCCCTGGAGTGCCAGGCTTTCCAGGCCCTTCAGGTAGGTCCTTTGGAGGAGGAGCCCCAGCCTCACAGACAAGCCAGTGCTCTGGGCCCTGGTGCCCTGAGGGGCAGGGGCTAGAAGGACACTCGACTTGCCCAATCTCTCATGTTTCTGATCTTAGGGAGCCCTTGCAATGCCAAGCAGAAGACATCTCTGCAGTTTAGCTGCTAAGCCAGTAGCACGCTACACCCCACCCTTGCCCCTCCCTGCTGGTCTCGCTCCCCCTTTCCATGCTCCAGCACCCTCTTCTTGTTTTTCCCAGTTAGAGAAGCCACCCTAGGTATGCAGGTGGCTCTAGCCATCTCCACCACCTCAGCTCGGGCCACAGGGAACCTGCTTGGGGTTGGGGAGAAAGGCTTGAGCAGAGGGCGGCTGCACAGTGGCCCACCTCTTGGGCGAGCATGGCTCTGAGGACCCGTGGCCAAAGTGGCTTTTTTCACTGGGCAGCAGGGCCCACACCCCCTGAACCCAGCCTAGCATTGGCAGCTTGCCTCTTCCTGGTACTACCCTCCTCGCCCTGCCTCAGAGACTATGTCACCCCCCACCCCTTCTGGCCATGTGACTCAAGTTGAGTTTCTGCCAAGCCACTAAAATCCTCTTTAACATTCATGTTTCTGGGGTCTTCACATAAGGCCATCCAGGTGAGAAACCAGTACGTGAGCTCACAGACTCACCACCCCCATCAGCTTTGCTGCTCCAGGAATTATCTGACTATACAGTAGAACCTGGCAAGGCCAGGGGTCCCCAAGGTCCTGCTGGGGGTTCGCCCCCCCCCCTGAATTTCCTTTCCTTGTTGTGGAATCCCCTTGAGGGGGAGCCCATTAGAGTCCTGGGGCTTTCAGCTACTTGATGCTTTTCAATTCATGGAAAGCCAAGTCAGCCATTCATTTAGGCCCTTGGGGGCCCAAATACCCCTGTTGTCACTGATTTAATCCTTTGGTTTTTAATTTCCTTGCTTTGTACCTGAACATTCCACTTTGGCAGCAGCTCAGGAGGTTAATCCCATTGACCAATTTAAAGCCTGGTGAAAGAAATCTCAGAATACCTAGGAGACCAAAGGGGCCTTGGGGATTTCTACAGAACTTGGCACTAGGGGGTCTTTCAAGCTTAATGCCAAGGAACTGGCTGACTTAACCGCTTGCATGGGAGATTAAAAGGGCAGCCCCTGTATCCATGGCTCCCCGGGGGGCTGAAACAATGGCTCAGCTTTAACCTCTACTTCACCGATTGACTCAGGAAACACCCACTGTGGCACAATTCAGACTGGAAGTACCAGGATACTGGAGGCCAGTTACCACCCTGGCTCCCCAGAGCTCCATTCACAGGCTAAGATGTGAACCACATTCATAAAGGGAGGTGGCGTTCTAATTGGTAGGGGTTTGTGTGCCCTGCCCACTACCCTGCCATGCTGAGAGTTATAGCCACTGGCCTGGTGCTCTGGATGGTAAGTGCTAATGCTTCAGCCAGCTATGGAATCCTGCCAGTTAGCTGCCTGCCTAAGGCCATTGTTAAAGGACCATTTCCAACAGCCAGCCAGCCAACCAGAAGCCATGGGAATGGGCAGTGACCCAGATCTGGACACAGCCTCACTTGATGGCTGTCCCATGTTCTCTCCTGTGCTAATTCAGGACATCCTGGAAAGAAAGGTTTAAGAGGCGAGACAGGTTCCCCTGCATCAGCTGGAAAGAGAGGCCTGCCAGGGCTGAAAGGCCTTCCAGGATCTCCAGGGCTGATTGGCTTCTTGGGGAGCTCAGGCTTGCCAGGGAACACTGGGTTGCCAGGCCTGCCAGGTCCAAAGGGTAAGTGAACTGGGTGGGACTTTTTGTGGTAAAATGGTTGGACAAAGCTAGTGCTAAGGGAAGACTGTCACATAAGTTGAGTCACCCTTGCCTCAGGCTGGGTAGAACACTGGGCCCAATGACGCTGTCAGTAAAGCCCAGCACAGTCACAGCCATGCTGGGTGTACTCATTTGCACCACCCCTACCATGGAGCCCTGTGGCTCTGTTTCTATGATTGTCCTGCTAGACCACCAGAGATTGGATGGGAGGCAACTCCATTTTATACATGGGGAAATGACTGGCCCAAGGTCACACAGATGATTAGCAACAGCACCCAGCTAGGATTCATCTCCCTGTCTTCTGGTCCTAGCTTTTTTTTTTTCTGTACCACACATGAGCTCTAACTTGGCCCATCATAAGAGAGGCACCCACCTCTTCTTTCCTTCCTGTTGCTTAGTGCCATGTCCCTGTTCGGGGAAATAGTATATGTAAGGACTATTAGATTGGGCTTCAGAGTTAGAGAAACCTGGGTTTGAATCCTTTCTCTGCAACCTCCAAGCTATGTGATTTGGGGTAAGTTATTTAACCTCCAAGCTTCCATTTCCTTGTATGTCAGACAGGGATAATGATAGAAGTTCTTGTTTCTCAACAGGTGAAAAGGGGTCTGTTGGGCTGGTAGGTTTTCCAGGGATGCCAGGTCTCCCTGGTATTCCTGGCACGAGTGGAACAAAGGGAATTTCTGGGTCAGCTGGAAGAGTGGGACCATCTGGACAGGCTGGCCATGCTGGTGAAAAAGGTGAGCCGGAGGACTGAATTCCGAAATCACTGGCCACGCTGCCCAAGGCACATTCTGTTCATCGACATTGTGACTGGTGTGGCTTATACCAATTCTGTGTTCAATAATAAGATTCGGGGTTTTGGAACCCCAAATCTTGGCTTTTAAACCAAATTTCTTCTGAATTTTCACCACGTGTTGAAAGGCCTCGTCGTGCATTCCCTGACGCTCAGTGGTGGGCGGTTTGGAGTAAGGTCCAAAGTTGCTGGCCGACTTTGGGGCTGTCATAGGAGAGGGAATGCACATAGGTGGGAATTTGGGGAAACGGGTGGGAAAGGCCTGGAGGTAGTGCGGGAGGAGGAGAAATGAGAGGTCAGCTAGTGCCTGACCCCGTGTCTAAGCTTCTTCTCACAAGGGTCTCACGATCTTCCCCCACCCCCCATCCCATCCTCCACCTACCGCTGCAGGAGACAGAGGCGATCCAGGGCCAGCTGGAGTACCCAGTCCAAGACCTCCCATGCTGAACCTCTGGTTCAAAGGAGACAAAGGCTCTAGAGGCTCAGCTGGATTGGATGGATTTCCCGGGCCCAGAGGTGCTGGGGGCAGGCGACGGGCAGGAGAAATGCTCATGCTCAACTTCCTTCCTGAGAAAAGGGCCAGTAGTATAAGACTCCTCCAGAGCAGTAGTGTGGGTGGCAAGCAGGGCATCCATGAGGCTGACTTCTCGGGGGCCCGAGAGGCACCCGGACTGTGAGGCTGTCAGTCTTCACTGCCACTCTGAAATTGAAGTTTTGAACCACAGGTGGTTGTCACCCTAGAGGAGCCTGGCAGATGATGGGGCATAGGTACTAGCAGTGCTAGAGCCAGGGTGGCACTAACAGATGCTCCCTAAGGCTGAAACCACCTCATCCACCCACACCTTAAAGTAGCCATCCCCAAGTCCCCAAGGCTGCACTGGCCTGCCTATGATCCCAGGTACCTGCACCCTGGGGAGTCTGTTTTCTAAACCCTTTTCTTCTTTCCCAGGTGACAAAGGAGAGGCCGGTCCCCTGGGGTCACCAGGCTTGCCTGGAGTTCCTGGCTTCCCCAGTACCATCAAGGGGCTTATTGGGAGGGCAGGCCTCCCTGGCTCCATAGGACTCCGGGGCTTACCCGGCCTGAAGGGGTCCCCTGGAATCACAGGCTTCCCGGGAATAGCAGGAGAAAGCGTAAGTGTGCCCAGCTCTTGGTCTCTCCACCAGGGAAGGGTCTCCATAGCAGGGGGCATGCCCTGTTCCCCAATTTTCTGGCCCCTTCCCCTAGCTCACCGCAGACAAAGACCTCTCCCTGAGTCTGACAAGTCTTCCTCTCCCATCCACCCCAATTCCCCTTTCCTGAATGTTCCTTCCTCTGGGCCTTTGTTCATGCACTCTCCCTCACAGGGCAGAGTCTCCTTCTCAGCAACTAACTGGCTAATGTCCACCTGTGCTTCAGGCCCCATCCCAGGCACCACCACCACCCCAGGAGCCTCTGAGCTCCTGCTCTGCTGGCATGCTGCACTTCTCACTGCTTATACGAATCCCACTTGGTTCTGTGCAGCCCCAGTTTCCTCAATGACATTGTCAGGACTCGAGAAAAAATCCTTCCCATGCTCTCTGGTCTGCACGCCACTGTCGGCATCCCCCACTGTACTTGGCACATCGTCAGAATTCGGTGCAGGCCTCTTGATGTTTGCATTTCAGAAAGGTCGCCATTGCCTCCACCAGAGGCAAGAGGTGGCAAATTACCAAATAAGCCTGTCTGGGCTCTCCAAAGGAAGAGCGATAGAGCAGGAATAGCCAGGAGATGGAGTTGGGTTTGAATATCTGCCCCACTGCCACTTGTTAGCTCTGTGATTCTGTGCATATTGCTTACCTTGCCCAAGCCTCACTTTTCTCATCTACATGAAACAGGAACAATATTCACACCTCCTTCAGCAGACAGCAGTGAGAATTCAACGAGATGATCTGGGTAAAGAACTTAGCCCGGTATAGGGCAAAGGGGGGGCTCTAAATAAGTAGTCAACATCATAGTAGCAGTATTGAAGGAGCTGAATGAACTGGACCCCAGAAAAGCTGTGCTCCCTGCAGGCAAAGTCCCTGATGCTTTAAAAGCGTCAGCCCATCTGATGGAGAGAACACACACACACACACACACACACACACACACACACACACACACCAGAAGCGACTGCAAAAGAAATCATTCTTAGCCGGGAGCTCCTGACTCCTCATACACTAGGAAGGATGGAGTAAAAGTGGGAAAGCATTCTGGGAGGGTTCCTGGCATGAGCAAAGGCTCAGAATCAGCGGATATCCCAATGCCCAGGAAAGGCCAGGCAAATGTGTGGAGGGGGTGATCCTGGGTAGGGGGTCAGCAAGGACAGAGACCACGCCCAGAACTCTGACTCCCACCCAAGGCACTAGGTAGTGTATGCCATTATGAGGGACAGCTCCACAACTCAAACCCATACCAGCTATCAGGGAAATAACTACCAATGGCAGCTGACATGCCCACTTCCCAGAATCAGTGTATTGGGCATGAGTCAGTAAAGGCAATTTGTCCTGTGAAAATGGTAACATCAGCCCAAACTCAGACTCCAGGACCTGCACATGTACATCCAGTGGCTAAGGGGTAGAGAGCCCTACATGGGGAAGCAATACATTTTTTTTGTGCAGAATGGCTCCAGAGCTTTGGCACGGGTGGTGGTTCCAGCTGTCTGCAGAGCACACCACGTGCCTGGCCTGACGGCCATGTCCCATCCTTTAAAAGAGACTTGCCACAACAGCCACACCTCGATTTCCCAAGAATCTAATTTTGATAGCCATTGAGAAGGTATGCAGATAGAATCCCTTCCCTATGGGACGCTTGGGTGGCTCAGTGGTTGAGCATCTGACTTTGGCTCAGGGCGTGATCCCAGGATCCTGGGATTGAGTCCCGCATCAGGCTCCCCTCAGGGACCCTGCTTCTCCCTCTGCCTATGTATCTGCCTCTCTCTGTATCTCTCATGAATAAATAAATAAAATCTTAAAATAAAAAAAGAATCCCTACCCTAAAAACCATGACTACGCATTTCCATCCTTTGCTGGTTACCTTCCCTTCTGCAGGATGCCCCCCCACGCACCCACTCCACCCCTGCCACAGCATCCACAAGTAGACTTCTCTCAGGCAGTGGTTTGGGTAGGGCAGGGGGGTAACAGCATGGGAGGCTCCAAGCTCTGGGTAGAAATAATGATTTCCATATTGCTTCAAAGGGTTCACAGGGTCTCAATGGAGCTCCTGGACTCCCAGGAGCATCTGGTCTCCCAGGTTCAAAAGGTGAGGAGCGTTTTATTTCTTAATGTGTGTTTCCGGAGCAAGGTGGATTTCTAGCAGGCTCAGGGCTCTTTGAGAAGGAAACTCTGTGTTCAAGGGGAAGTGAATCGATTTACATTTCCCCTTTGGCCAAGCCCCCTTTGCAGGCGGGCATTGCTCCTCAAAGATGTGTGACAAACAGTGGTTTGACCCATTTGCCTTCCAAGATAGCGGCAGAGGAGAGCCTCAGCTCTAGACAGTCATTTTCCTTGCTGAGTCCATGCTTGCTGTCATCATTGTTCCATTCTGGTGATGTTATAGTGCCCCTCCTGTCATCTTCTCTGCCCACACTGAGCATAGTGATGTCTTCCAAGCGGAGATATGCTTCATGTAGCAGCATTTCTTGCCAGTTGCCTGATAGCATCCCAGCCTTTTTTGGGTGATTGATCATGTCTTACCCAATGCATACTTTTGTCAAGGATCTCCTCTGGCTACACTGAATCTGAAAAAGTTTTGCCACTAAAAGACCTCTTTGCTGCAAAAGGAGGTGTAACTTCTCCTGACCACTTAACCAGTATCTTCATATCCCCAGGAGATCAAGGTCAAACACTTGGAATTTCTGGTAGCCCAGGACTCAAGGGGCAACCTGGGGAGTCTGGTTTTAAAGGTGAGTTGACTGTACTCCTCCAAACTGAGGATCAGGAGAAATTGGGGAGGGAGGTCAACACCACGTTCTGTAACTTCTCTCCAGTTTAGAGAAATGCCTACCCTGATATGTATCCACTTAGAGGTAGCCCCATGGTTTCCCTGAACAAACCAGCCTGCTCTTCCTTTGAGACTCAGGGGAAAAGTCTAATTAGATCTTTGGGATGATGGTGCCTACCTTCTTGGTTTATAGTTAACTGTTTCTCAAACATCTCCACCCATTGCTTCTACTTACAGGGACAGTCAGAACAAGTTTATTTACCTTAGCAGGCAGCACCTTTCAAATGCAAAGACAGCCGCTATACTATCCTTTGCTCAGTCTTTTCATTGGACCTAGTTCTCTTGACAGTTCAAGGAGCTTTATCTTCCTGTTCCCTGTCTCCCTTAGAGAAACGCGTTGCCCGAAGTGTGGTCCAATCACTCAGCACATTTTCTTGATTTTGTAGGCGTGCAAGGAACCAATGGACTGGTTGGTGATGTGGGTCTCCCAGGAAGCAAAGGGCAAGATGGGAAAGTTGGTATTTCTGGAGACCTCGGCCTTCCTGGCTCCCCAGGTACCGTGCCACCCGACAACTGGATTCTGAAAAAGTGAAGCATGGTTAGCTTCGATCCATGATCTATTCTGAATTCCTGCCTTGGTTTCACCTTCAGGACTCCCCGGGATTGCAGGCATGAGAGGGAATCCAGGGCTTCCGGGTTCTCCAGGCCATCCAGGGGCAACTGGGACCCTTGGACCCCCTGGCCTAATAGGAACCAAAGGTATGTGTATTTGAGAGGAGACTGTGGGGAAGGGTTTCTTACCTTAGAAAAAGGACAGCAATTACTTTATATGAGGAGACCCTATCTGGTGGCAAGCCATATCTGGGGGAGTCATCCACTGGGCCATGTGACAGATGATGGGAAGAGGAGAACATGGACTCCATGGAGAGAAGGGTCAGCGAGGAAGGTTGTTGTCCTGGCCTGCGTGGCCTACCCTTAGGAGCTGGCAACTCTAGGTCTTGGCATTGACACTCTGCCTTCTTGAAGATACCTAATTATCTACCACCTGCTCTTTTTTTTAAAGATTTTATTTATTATAAGATTTTATTTAAGGGGGGGGAAGAGGCAGAGACACAGGCAGAGGGAAAAGCAGGCTCCATGCAGGGAGACCGACGTGGGACTTGATCCCGGGTCTCCAGGATCACGCCCTGGGCCGAAGGTAGCGCTAAATTGCTGAGCCACCTGGGCTGCCCCAACTACCACCTGCTCTTAAAGCTGTATTGGTTTCTAATAAGAGGAAGAGCTAGGGTGGAGGGAATGGTCCAGTCTCCCTTAGGGCATGAAGTCGTGCCTCGTGCCTCGAAAAAGACCATGACTTCACAAAGCCCTTGGGGGTGGAATCTTTTGCTGGCCCCCTCATGAATCAGAGTTGCTGGAGCCATTTCTGAAATACTGTCCCTTCAGGTTTCCCTGGACTTCCTGGTTTACATGGACTCAATGGGCTTCCAGGAACCAAGGGAACACATGGAACTCCAGGTAAGGAAGAGGCTTGAGGCCCACGAGGAGAGCATGGGCTTTTCCAGAAGGCTAGCGGGGCCTGGCCATGAGTTCTCAACTGTGGTGGACCTCATATCCTTTAGCTCATAGAGCTCCTTGCCAGCCACCCTTGATTTGTGGAGGGAGGGAGGAAAGAGGTTGTCCTATCTGGGACCAGCTCCCCTTCCCTGCCCAGTTATTTCAGGACTCAGCTTCCAGTGCAGGTCACGCAGACCTACAACACATGAACTAGGCATCAGGGCCTCACCGGCACTGAGTTCTGTCCCCCCCACCCCAACTTTTCTGTATCTCCTCCTAGGACCTAGTATAAGTGGCGTGCCTGGGCCAGCGGGCCTGCCTGGCTCCAAAGGAGAGAAAGGATCTCCAGGAACTGGTATCGGAGCCCCAGGGAGGCCAGGCTCAAGAGGGCAAAAAGGTGGCCGAGGTAAGTGAGCCCATCAGTCCTCAGAGAGGCTGAGGGAGGCCTGGCTGAGGAGCCATGGGTGGGGCTCACAGGGTCAAGTTGTGCATGTCTGCCCATCTCTGGGGATCTCAGAACCCTGTGGAGCTGACTGCTGAGAGGGTAGGCCACACCTAGGGCTTTCCTGAAAGCATGCCAGGGAGCGGTCCAGTGAGTTCCATATTCCTAGTGTCCATATTCCTTCCGACTCTCACTTATTAACCCCAGGGTCTCATACCCTTGGCCGGGGCCTGCCTTTGAAAGTCCTGAAGGACAGGGCTTGTCCACTTAGCAAGAGATTTGCCAGAAGTTCCTCAAGTCTGGGGTGGATGGCACTCCACTTCCAGGGCCCCAAGAAGACAGCATGGCTGCTAGAAGGAGCCCAAAACTGAGAGGATAAATGTGTTACTAGGACAGGCATACACACAAGCCCTAAATTAAGATCTGTGGGGTTTACTAGAAAGCAGGCGTTGCCCTAATCTCAGCCCCTGCCTTGTGGTATCATCTGACATCTCTCTATGGGCCTCCCCTTCCCCACCTCACAAATGGTGAGAAATGAATTCTAATTCTCTTCTTCCCCTCCTTGGAAATGTCCTGAAGACCCATATACATCACACTCCATGTAAAACAGGATATGAATTTAGTATAGCATCATGGCGAGGAATATGGGCTCTGAAGTCAGACCACTGGATTCAAATCCCCACTCTACCCCTCATTAGCTATAGGACCCTGAAGAAGGAAGTACTTGCTCCTCAATCCCCACCAAACCCTTAATTTTACTTTCTGGCAAAAAAGGACACCATAAGAGAATCTACCACATTGGTCTGGTGAGGAATCAATCAGGAGTGAGTTAATATGTATAAAAGCATCTAGCGTGGCACCTGGCACACAGTAGTTGCTTAAGAAATGTTGTCCATGATATTGTTCTGTGCTCCCCCGGGGGCAATCATCTTTGCAAAATGTTCTGCTCCTCCATTATAACTCTGGAGCTTGGAGTCCCACCACATTTTATTTGTTTGTATGCCTGTTTGTATAATGCCTGTCTTGTTTTCCAGGAATTCATTCCTACATTGATTCACTTTCTGCTGAATGTTATATTGGTGTATCTGCTCTCTCTGTGTTTACTCTTTCCTCTGGTCTGGACCAACCTGTTCTTTTCTAAAAGCCAGCAGCTTCTCCAGAGGGTGGGGTTCCAACAAGGTCCTCTTTCACAGGAGGCAGAAAGGAGAGGCCTTGAATAGAAGCGAACCCCAGTTGTTTTCCAACCTTGACTATGGATGTTTTGTCATTAAATTATCCATTTCCTTTCACTATCTGAGCTAATAAAAAAATCACAATTACGAATGTAGTAAACAGCACACTGTGAAGATGGATACATCTCAAGAACATGACGTTGATTTAAACACACACACACACACACACACACATACACACCCCGCAGTCACAGAGAAAGACTTTGGGTATGATTCCACTGATCAAAGTTTATAAATAAATGAGAACAAGCAATATATTGTTTAGGGACACAGATACACATGGTCAAACTGTGGGGATGCTGAATGCAAAATTCAGGAGTGCTTGCCCCTGAACGGGAGGGAAGGTGGTAGGATCTGTGAAGGGCATGCAAAGAAATTCAAAGGTTAATGCCATCTTCTTTTCCTTAAATTGGGTGGTTGGAACACAGATATTCATTGAATCTGCGTTGTTTTTAACTTGTGATTTATAAATAGTCTGCTCTTCTCAATATCTAATTAAAACATTGTTTTAGAAGTATAGAGCAAATATCACATCTCCCGCCATAGGAACCTGTGTCTGATATGATGGTAGAAATCAGTGTAAAATGAGGATTTATCCCTAAGCCAACTTCCTAAAGAATTCCCTGTCCCTATGATACCTTTATCCAGAGAACTTTGAATTATACCATTCATTTTTGCATTCACACTAGATATTTAGAGGCTGCATTTGTGGGTCTAGGGTTTTCTTAAGTCTCTGATACTGAAATGAGTTGGAAAAATATACCATTGTTCATTTTCACGGGCTCATTTAAAAGTGGCTCATTTAAAGTGGCTCATTCTTAAAGAAATACGTGAGCTTTTTTTTTTTTTTACTACTTGAGATTGGTAGTACCTTTATGTCAGTTTTTTTTTCTTTATGTCAGTTTTAATGATAGATTGGTATAATTGTAAAATCGAGAAACAGGTAAAAAGAGAAAGTAGTTCCAAAAACTGCTATGGGAGCTCTTTATAATCTGTGTGCTGCCCACAATACAATGGTGTCTTATTTATTGGTTTTTGCGTAATTTCAGCATTTATCTATAAATATATCTATATCTATGCTAGGCAGATATATATTCTATGTAAAAAATATATATGTATGTGTATATATAAAGCTATATTTTCAGGAGAAAAATGCAAAATATCTTTCTTTTCAGATGTTTACCTTTGTGACAAAGAAAAGCACTTTAAAGGTTCATCAAGACATAACTGACCATACTGAAAGTAGCACCACGTAGCTTTCCAACTTGGTTTTTTTCCTTTTGTTTCTTGTCCAGACCTATAATGGAGCCTTTCTTGAAATTTATTTTTTTTATTCTTTATATTTCCTTTGCATTCAGTTCACTAATGAGCTGGAAGAAAACCCACAATTAATAGATCCACCATCTTTCTTTATGTGTCTTCACAGATTTACTATTTAACTAAATATAAGAAATTGCACATTAATATTTTTGGCTCACCTTGTCAGAAGAACAAAAATTCAACATTAATATTTTTGGATTTTATTGTTACAAACAAAAAAAACCCATCTTGACCACCAGAATAGTTTATCAACCAGTGAGAATCCACATCTCTTCATTTGAACGTATTCTAAAATATGCCAAAATAATAAGTACACTACTTTCATGCTACAAGTATAAGATGGACTTCTACATGTGTACATATGGCTTCAATGTGTTTTCCCATCAAGACTCCCATGTATGTATTCCACGTGCGCCTATTAAATAAATCTTCCGTAATCAGTTGAAAGTTTTTGGTTTGGAACATTATAGTAGAAATCATTACACAAACAGAAAACACGTAAAGCGATACTAAAATCTGAGCAAACACGTATTATACATCTACTCTAATAAGCGGCTTTTCTCTTTGACTAAAAGAGGGGAAGAGACTCGATATAGAGAAATTTGTGGGGCTTTTTGTTTGGGTTTTTTTTTGTTTAAATTATTTATTGATTCATGAGAGACAGAGAGAGAGAGAGAGGCAGAGACATAGGCAGAGGGAGAAGCAGGCTCCCCATGGGGAGCCCTATAGAGAACTTGATCCCAGGACCCGGGATCATGACCTGAGCCAAAAGATGCTCAACCACTGAGCCACCCAGGTGCTCCCAAGAAATTTGTTCTATAGGCAATTAAGCAAGCATTCAGCTGATATGTACTACTGGAAAAAGCATTTTCCAGTTTGCCTAGCAGACCCAGAAACTAGCCCTAGAAGACACTGGGAGCCCCAGTGCCCTTGAGACCTGTTTTTTTTTTTTTTAAGATTTTATTTATTGATTCATGAGAGACATGGAGAGAAAGGCAGAGACACAGGCAGAGGGAGAAGCAGGATTCCTGCAGGGAGCCCAATGTGGGGCTTGACTCCAGGACCCTGGGATCATGCCCTGAGCCAAAGGCAGATACTCAACTACTGAGCCAACAAGGTGCCCCCTGGGACCTGCATTCTGACCCAGCAGGCGTCTGTCCTGGCTCCTGGAGCTGGTGCCCCCACCTCAGCCTGTAACCTCCTCTGGACATCCCCAGGCAGAACTGGCTAATAACTTCATGAAAACATGCCACAGGGACAGTAGGTTTAAAAATGCAGGTACTGTAGTCATTATGCCTACCTTTTTTCCCGGTTTGGGGGAAATCAGCCTAAAATATTTCCATTTCCAGTGATTCCAGGAACTAGAAATTTCCAAAGCTCCATCCCAAGCAGGCGGACCTGCGGCGCCTGCTGTGGGGTGCAGGCAAGGGGTGCTGGGGGATGGGGAGTCTCTGGGCCCCAGTGTGGGCCCTGTTCCCCTGCTGACTGCAAAGGGAGACAGAGGGGAGGAGAGCCCTCTGCTGGCGGTTTGTGGGTCTGGCTCCTACCTAACCGCTTCTGTTTCTCTGGGAGAGCCTGGCCACACCAAGCCCATGCGGCCTCTTTGATTTATTCTTTGCAGGTTTCCCGGGTCTCCAGGGCCCTGCTGGTCTGCCTGGTGCCCCAGGCCTCTCCTTGCCTTCAATCATAGTAGGACAGCCTGGCGACCCTGGGCGACCAGGGCTAGATGGAGACCAAGGTAAAGACAGGAAGCCCCAAAGCCCCAAAGAGGTTTGGCCTTCACCTTTTGTCCGCATTTTGGGGGAGGTCCGAATTCAGTCCGGCCCCATTCCTATTGCTGGACATGCATCGGCCTGCTCGGCCTCACATTCTTCCCCCAACAGGAACACAGGGGACTGGATCGGTCTGTGTTAGCTCATAGAGTTCAGGAAAGTCCAGGCACTGGGACCCCACTCACAGCCGGGGAATATTCTCGGCCCTGGGAACAGGCTTTGGCTTCCTAGCAGCCCTCTGAAGTCTTCAGCGAAGGCCACTTCCTGCTCACCTGCCCTCATTCCTCTTCTGATCTTATCCCTAGGCCGCCCGGGCCCCCCGGGGCCCCCGGGGCCCCCTGGGCCATCCTCCAATCAAGGTGACCCTGGAGACCCTGGCTTCCCTGGAGTTCCTGGCCCTCAAGGGCCCAAAGGAATCCAAGGAATTCCAGGTTTCTCCGGCCTCCCTGGAGAGCTAGGGCTAAAAGGTATGGCTGTGTGGCTGGCTGTTGGCCCCTTTCCCACTCCACAGTTAGAGATGGCCCCTTCCTGTAGCCCTATGAAGAGGGGCCAGCCGATCGTGCTCTTCTCACCCTCAAATCTGCCCAGCCTCAACCCCTCAGTTCCCCCACCAGCACCACTGTGCCAAGCCCTGACTTGCTTTCCTTTGGACTTTGCCAGGCATGAGAGGTGAGCCTGGCTTCATGGGGATTCCAGGCAAGGTTGGGCCACCTGGAGACCCAGGACTTCCCGGGATGAAGGGGAAGACAGGGCCCCAAGGTGAGTTGAGAGCACATGCCCGGCTGATTCTGAGCTCGAGGGACAGGTCTGGGGGTAAGGTGCCGACAGGAGCCACTGCTCACCACACCAAGAAAGCCTGGATGCCTGAGGCATCTATGAAGCTCCTCCAGGAAGGTGAATTCCCCACCTTGGGGACCTCTCAGCCTCCAGCAGCTCCAAGAACTAAAGGTCACCGCCACCACCAGTCCAGATGCTGAGCTCCCCTCTGTGCTCTTCCTGAATCAGCAGGCACACTTGGTTTGTGCTCATCACCACTCACCCACGTGCTCCATCCAGAAATGAAGGACACTTTCCATCCTTTCCCATCATCCCCTCATGCACACCCAGCCTATCAGCAAGCCCTGTGGGCTGCCTCTCAATGCACCTCACATTTGCTTACCTCTCAGCATCTCCCTTGCTGCCACCAGGGTCCCAGGCACAGAAGGTTCTTAAGGGAATCACTGCAGTGACCTGCTAACTGGCCTCCTGGCTCCTCCCCATGGGGCATCTCCCCCAACAATCATTTCTCTACCAGGTGGTCAGAGAGATCTAAGACATAAATCACCCACTGGCTTCCCATAGCAGAAGAATAAACTCTGGCTCCCAGAGTCCCATATGACACCCCCCCTTCATCCTCATCATCAGTCCTTCCTCTTTTCTGTTCCCTCCTCTTTGCCACACCAGCCTGATTAGCGAAACTGGTTGACCGCAGGGCCTTTGCACAGGCTAGTTCTGCTTCCTAGAATCCTCTAGCCCCACCCCACCCCCAGCTCCCTCTAATCCTTTAATGGTCTCAGCTTTAAATGTCACTGCTTATAGGAGGCCACTTAGCATTCTTTCTCAAGCAGGTTCTCCACCCCAGAGCCCCCTCACTATCCCTGTCACTGCATTGTTCATTTCCATTGTAGCACTTCTCACAACTCACAGGAAGACCAGTGGTATTTGTCAGGTTATCCATGTTTCATCTTTATCACCAGACCGTAATCTCCATGATGATCTGGCTTCTTCATTGCTCCAACCCTCAGTCTGCCAGGGCTGTGGCACATAGTAGACACTTCAGAAATGTTTTTTCAATAAATTGGTAAGCACATGGGCTTATTTGGCTTCTATTAGCAAATCGACAGGCCAGGCTCAGGATCCTAGGCCATGATGCCCACTATACTTCCAAGATCAGATGCATCCCCTTGGCCTCCTTGGCACTGTACTCTGACCAGTGAGGGAGTGAACCAGCCATCCCCAGCCCCAAAACAAAGGCTCGGCCCCACCGCATTTGCTCACAAACGTGTCTTGACTTGCCTACCATGCGCCAGGCCCTACGCCAGGCCTGGAGGAAACACAGCCTGCCATCTTCTGCCTTCAAGAAGCTACCAATTCCCTGGGGAGGCAGGTGGGTAAAGAGGATATCAGGTAAAGCATGCGGAGAGAGTCATCCTGGAGCTTTGCAGTGGAGACTGTGGGGACAAACAGCAAAGGCAGAAAGCTGGTGATTGCTCGGTAGAAAGGAAGTCTTCTGGGGACCCATGCCAGCTGTCTCCTCTGCCTCCATGTGATATTTCCATCTCTCCTACTTGCCCCCAGGCTTTTCCGGACCCCAAGGTGCTCCTGGACAGACAACAATTGCAGAAGCTGTCCAGGTTCCTCCTGGACCCATGGGTCTACCGGGCATCGATGGCATCCCTGGCCTCACGGGAGATCCTGGGGTTCAAGGTCCTGTAGGCCTCCAAGGTAAGGAGAGTACCACCCACAGGAGACTTCTGGGGTGGGGGTGGTGAGCTAAGCTGACCTTGGATGGGAGGCTGAAGCCCCCCTGGCTGGGATCTCCAGGTCTCAAGGAGCCCCTCCAGCAAGCACTTCCTCCCTTCCTTCGCAAAGCTGCCAGGCTCCTCGCCAGGAAGGAGGGTCAGCAAGGGCCATCGTACTTGGCTTTAGAGAATGTGTGGGCCGACCAGAGCAACTACTCCCGCCCCCTGGCCCCTCTGTGCTGGGCCGCTGAGGGCAGGAGGGAATGCGGTGGGGATGAAAAAGCCAGGGCTGGGAGAGCAGGGAACTCCAGCTTCTAATCTCAGCTGATGCACCTGCTCTGATAAGTTATCAGCTTCTCCCCAAGGGCCTGAGTGTTCTCATTTCCGACGTGGGGCTCTGACAGTTTCTGTGCGTTGCTGTGAGGATGAGAGGAAGGGAGGGAGAAATAGGTGTGAGGGGGCTCAGAGGGGCTAAGTTCAGAGTGATGGTCCCATGACTGAGAAGCCCGGATGCCAATTAAGGACTAACCTTAAAAAAAAAAAAAAAAAAAAAAAAGACTAACCTAGCAGGCTCAGGCCCAGTGTTCTAAAATGATGGCCAGTGCGCCCTCTCCTGGTAAGTCCTGGTCATGACATGCGAGTCCTCTAGGGAATGGTTCTCTTGGCGGACCTCCCACGTTGAGTGGGTGCTCCCGGCCTTCTCTGCTTGCAGGCTCCAAAGGTTTACCTGGCGTCCCTGGCAAAGATGGTCTCAACGGAATCCCCGGTCCGCCTGGGGCTCTTGGCGACCCTGGTCTCCCTGGACTGCAAGGCCCTCCAGGATTTGAAGGTCTGGTGATATCGGCACCAGGGGAGCAGAGTGTCTCTGTGAGGGTCTGGGGCTTTGGAGTGAGCCAAAATCTCAAATCTGAGGAACAGGAAATAAAGTTTGACACCACTAGGAACCAGGGAAACCCGACTGCACTCCATTCGCTCCCACCCGCCTCTGAGCCTCTGAAGGATGAGAGCCCCATATTCTGGAAGGCAAAGGACTCCTTCCAGGCCCTTTTCTGGGTTCTCTTCCAGCTCTCGAGAGCTATGACTGTCCTTTCGCATGGCCCCCTTCCCTGCGCCTCCCCTTTCCTACTCTGGGATTCTGACTTGGGTGGGAAGGGCGTGGTTCAAGGCCTAAGAAAATCTGAGATGAGGAATGGCTGCTACTTAACTCCCTTTTTAAAAACGTTTTTTTTTTTGTTTATTCATGAGAGACACAGAGAGGCAGAGACATAGGCAGAGGGAGAAGCAGGCTCCCCATAGGGAGCCCGATGCGGGACTCGATCCCAGGACCCTGGGATCACAACCTGAGCTGAAGGTAGACGCTCAACCACTGAGCCACCCAAGTGCCCCTTAAGTCCCATTTCATATCAGAGATGGCAAATCAGTTGCCCTGAGTGGGGGACAGGTCTGAGGCTCAATGGAAAAGTGCTGTGATTAACAAGCCATGTCTGCTGTGGGCAGGAGAGAGGGTATGATTTTGCCCTGCTACTCCCAATTCTGCTTTTGCTGCCTCTGACACAGCAGGTACTCACTCACGTCCTGTGAGAGCCTGCAAGGTCCAAGAAGTTGCCCCCTCCGCCCCCCCCCACCCCCTCTTAGAGGACTCGAGGCCAGGTGGCTGTGGGAGGGGAGCTGGATAGCATGCTTTTTCAAATAGAGACTCCGCTGCTGGATACATCTGAGTTGGCATTCCAGCGAATCCAGGTAATAAGGTTGCTGTGCAGATCCAGTGAGCTGACGTGTGTGTATACGATGTTCCCTGCTCAGTGCTCGGCGCCAAGTCAGTAGACTGCTGTTATGAGCAGCTCACGCCTTTTCTGCTCTCTCCCTCTCAGGAGCTCCAGGGAAGAAGGGTCCCTTCGGGAGGGCTGGAGTGCCTGGGCAGAGTGTGAGAGTGGGCTACACCTTGGTGAAGCACAGCCAGTCAGAACAGCTGCCCCTGTGCCCTGCCGGGATGAGCCAGCTGTGGGTGGGTTACAGCTTGCTGTTCGTGGAGGGCCAGGAGAAAGCCCACAACCAGGATCTGGGTGAGTACTGACTCTGACACCAGCCCTGGCCCTCCACCCCCACGAAGATCAGGAGCTCCTCTCCTTGGTCCTCCCAGCCCTGGGTGGGCCCACTGGTGGGTATTGGGTTGTGAGCACTAGCTATTGCATCAGGCCGATCTGAGTTCAAACCCTGGCTTGACCATGGACTGGTTGGGTACTCTGGACAAGTTTTTCCACCTCTCTGAGCTTCCACTTCCACCTTAAATGGAAACACAGCTAATTCCGGTACCTATCTCACAGGGTGGTGGAAGAATGACATGAATCACTCAACATAAAATGCTTTGGACACCGTTTGGCATGTTAAGCATCCATTACACTTTAGCGATTAGCAGCAGTAATAACACTAATATGACTTGTGGGGCAACAGCAATTACCCAAGAATTAATTGTATTGTCTACAGGTGTGCTGACTCTGAACCATAGACTATTAAATGCTGGTTTTACATAGTGGATTAATTAGGGAGTCATTCTGCAGCTTATAAAAAGATTCCACTCATTATCAAACTTCCCTGGCATGTTGAAAATAGGATTTGACCAACAGACACCAGTGTTTGTACAGTGTGCCAGGATTGAAGGGAGAGCTGTCCCCGTTCGGGCACAAGCGGTGGGATGTCAGTCAACCTGACTAGTCCAGTCCCAGTGGCGCTAGGGACCATCTCAGCCCCACCACTCAGCCGGACCTTACTGGCTCTTGCCCACTTGCTTTCCTTCCAGGCTTTGCTGGCTCCTGCCTGCCCCGCTTTAGCACCATGCCCTTCATCTACTGCAACATCAACGAAGTGTGCCACTACGCCAGACGCAATGATAAATCCTACTGGCTCTCCACCACCGCCCCCATTCCCATGATGCCCGTCGGCCAGGCCCAGATCCCCCAGTACATCAGCCGTTGTTCGGTGTGCGAGGCGCCCTCACAGGCCATTGCCGTGCACAGCCAGGACATCACCATCCCGCAGTGCCCCCTGGGCTGGCACAGCCTCTGGATTGGGTACTCCTTCCTCATGGTGAGACCCTGCCCTGTCCCCTTCCCCAGCATAGAGGCAGAGGGTGAGGAGCCCTGGGAGGTTCCCTTGGGCTGGTTCATGGGCCCCAGTGACATGAGGTAGGTAGCACAGAATGCAGAAAGGTGGAAAATGCTTGTCTTGACCTTGGCTAAAGAGCAGAGGGCAGTTCTGTTTGAATGATGGGTGATCTTGAGGGTGAGTACAAAGGAGAAGTTTGTACCCAGTGGTCCAGGGGTGAGAATATCTATGAATCACTGGCAAAGGCCCTAACATTTAATGCCTGCTTCAGTTATGCTGCAAGCGAGGGAAAGAGGAGACACCTGATCCCCGGTGGACAGGCTGTCCCCACTCAAGGCCGGGACACACTCTCATTGCCCAGGCTGGGCATGGGGACTCTTCCTCTTCTTCCTGCTGGCCCAGCACCCTGCCCCCACCTGGCCACCATCATGTCCTCCTGAAAGGCTCAGATGAGGGCCTGCTGTGTTTCTTCATCCTTTCTGGGATCTTTCTGCTTCTCCATTTTGGTGGGAAGGCTGTATGTCTTGCGAAGAAAGAGCTGAGAACATCTGTAAGCCCAAGGAGGAATCAGGTCCCTCATACGACATCCTGTGAATATCAGGAGACATTGAATGAGGAAAAGGTTAAGTTTAGGGCCAGAGTAGCTCCCAGGGAAAACCAGTGTGGCATCCATTGAAGGACCCCACCTCGCCAGCACTTCCTTGCTAAGTCATCAGGGGTGAGATGATGAGAAAGTGTCTGAAGAATTACCAAAGCCTGAGGCTTCCTCACATTGGTTTACCACCTGCAATGAGGTACTTCCTTATTTTGCTCCGTCTCCATGAATTGGGCAGTTTATCCAACGTAAAACAGGATCGCTGTACCTATCCTTCTGTCCCATCCACCACCCAGACCAGGAGATAAGTCGAAAAGCCCCTGAGCTTCCACAAGGAGTGGTACAAAAGCTTTACAAAATCGCATGTGTTTTGCTCACAAGAGCACTCTTAAGTTCTTATTCAGGCTCTCTTTACTCTTACTTTACACATAATGCTAACATTCTAGAATATCTATTTCTTACTGAAAACCTGTAGCTTTGGTAATTTGGACTGCCTAGTACGGCGTCTTGAAGCTATAAGGCATGCCTACTAAAAAGGAGAAGAGAGGGATAAAATGATTAAAAGGTGGCCTAAGAACCTACGAGCTGTGTCTGTTGGTATGGGGCCCCTCCACACCTGCCCAACACAAAAAGCAACATTCACAACAAGCCTGAGTCATGTGCAAAGCGCAAAATACACAGCATCTGCCATTAGTAAGGCAGGGCAAGTGTGTCTCGTTTGTTCCAGAAAGTTCTCCAGGTGAGGATCAAAACAAGGGAAGCTTTGATACTTCATGTATCAGGGTACAGGAAATGTCACTTATATGGAGATGAACCCTCTCAAACTTTTGTCAGGCAAGCCATCCCTGAGCGTCCAGCTCGGGCAGGTGCCCCATTGGCCATTTGCTGACCTGGGTGTGTATGCAGCCTCTTCCTCGCTGGCTGTGGTCCAGAGAATAACCCAGCTGACGTGAAGGGAGAGGGGATAGAGAGCAGAGAGACAGGGACTGCTGGCTTGTGGGTACAGTGACTGGTGACTATGGGTTAATGAATGACGTTGACATTGTATGCTGAAGGGCCCCAGAAGTGAGGGTCAGGAGGTTGGGCCAAATATGAGGCCCACTTGGGCCACATATGAGGCCCACTTGTACACAGCAAGCAACAAACACTACATGTTGCCCTAAAGGGTGTGGAACAAATCAACAACATAAGAAGTTCTAACGAAGGTCACTTCAGAGTAAGCACTATTCCTAGATATGCTGGGAGAAGGGCCCACAGTTTAGCCACTTGGAGGCGTACTGCACGCTTTCTCTTCTTGGAGTACGCAAAGGCTCTGAGAAGATCTGCATTCTAAAACCTACTGAATCTTCCTTAATCCAGCCTTTCTCAGACCCACCTGCCTGTGGGGATTTTCTGGGAGGCACTGAACATACCTCAGAATACAGTGGGATGCCAGCAATTAGGGGGGCACTGGCGAAGATGTACCCACTTGCCCAAACGCAGTGGGGTAGGAGGGCACCAGGGAGCTTGGAGGGGATGCTTTTGGCCCCAAAGGGCAATGAGGGAGGTGGAGCAGTCCCTTGTGCTATGATACAGTTCTGGGTATTCTGCATAGATGCTGGAGCTGAGCTGATCCCCCGGTGGCTGTGGCAGGTGCGGCTCACACGCTGACTCTGTCTGTTTCAGCACACTGCCGCTGGTGCCGAGGGCGGCGGCCAGTCCCTGGTCTCACCGGGCTCCTGCCTGGAGGATTTCCGTGCTACTCCTTTCATCGAGTGCAGTGGGGCCCGGGGCACCTGCCACTACTTCGCCAACAAGTACAGTTTCTGGCTGACAACCGTGGAAGAGAGGCAGCAGTTCCGGGAAGAACCAGTCTCTGAAACGCTCAAGGCTGGGCAGCTCCACACCCGAGTCAGCCGCTGCCAGGTGTGTATGAGAAGCCTATAGGAGGGGGCACCTGCCACCCTGTCCCCTGCTCTGCCCTCCATCACACAATAGGTCACCTCACAAACCCAAACAAGCTGAAGAAAGAAGGCCTAAAGGCCCTCTTGCTCATCCGTCAAGTTGTACATTGGAGTCTTCCGGGGGCTGCAATACTGGCCACCGACCACCCCGACCCTCAGGCCCGGCCGGTGAGCTCCCCCTACTGAGGTCTGGTGTCCCACTTCAGTCAACCTGGTGCTACCATTTGATTCGGATGTTCGCGTGGTTATTCATGGCTACCTCAGAAAGACCTGCGGGGCTACTGCTTTCTTAGACTGCTAGCTCTCCCATCGCCTTGATCAGAAAGCCCTTCGTGACAGCTGACAAGTCATTTCTTTATGTCCAGAGATCACCACACATTTATTTGGCTTAAACCAGAACCTGGTGTTTCCACATTCAGAAGGAAAATTCTCTAAGCATTCGTGGATGGCTCCAGCCTGCATGAGACAAGCTCTCTCTCTTTAAGGGGATCCACCGTGTCTAGTCAGGTGGCAGAAGACCTGGAACAGGGTGCCAGTAGCCCGGGGGGAACTATGATTCCTTCAAGAGTGAGCACTACTGGGCCCCAGAGTGCTTAAGGAGGGGCTTGTTAACTTCATATAGCCCCAGACAAATCACTTCCTCCTTGCTGGCTCCCTCCCCAGCCAGAGACCTAGGACTTGGCCTCATCCAGAGTAGAGCAGAGGATGCACCAGATGCAGCCGGGCCAGTCCATAAAGGGAAATGAGAACCACAACCTTTTCTCCCAGGCTGGGGGCAGTAGAGAGGTGGATGGGTAAGGAGGTGTGAATTTTGCTTTTGACTCCAGGAACAAAAAAGGCAAAGCCCTTGTCTCAGTTGCTCAGAAGTCCCTGCTTTATTCCAAATGCCATCCAGATGTGTTCAGTGTGTCAAATTGAAGCTGCAGTGTGTTGGGTCCTTTGTGTTCTGAGGCTGTTGTTAGAGACTTCCCATTAAAATGTCCATCCAACTGCCCTTTCACAGGTAGCCTGTTAAACTATTTTAAGACGTTTGTAAACCTCATAAAAATCTAGTATACTCCTCTCTTTAGCAGTTGGCAGACCTAAAGCAAGTGTGAGTTGACTATAGAGGGTATTGTATTCTGTTCAGGGGGATGTGTTTTAACCATTTCCTCCGATTATCAATTTTCCAGAATACTTAGCTATGTTAACATGAGACGATTCCTTCCAGGTGATTCTGTTTCCTTAAATATTATGTAAACTGTACCAACACAAAGTATAATTAATATAATCTGAATTTTTGTTGCCTTCACCTCCTGAGTAATAAGCATGATGTCAGGTTTGTACATTGCAAATAAAAGGAATCAAACATCAACATTTGACTCTTTTTACATTCTCTGATGAATACCTCTCTAAAGCCCATTTTGCTCCAATTTGTGAGTGCCCCTCAGAGCCTGTTACTGCAAGCTGAGCTTTATAACAAACGTTGAGGCAGGAAAAATACAATTAACGTCAAAGGGCAGAAGGCAACAAATCCACAACCAGTTTCAAAATAGGCTGACAACTGTTTTTAGCTCTGTCCATGCTAGAGTTCAAGAAACAGGTTTCCATACTTCTGGGGCTTCAGGATCCTTTATAGATAAATCAAAGGTAGGGAAATGTTGGGGCACCGGGGACATGAAGTCAGTTAAGCGTCCAGCTCTTGGTTTCAGCTCACATTGTGATCTCAGGGTCATGAGGCTGAGCCCTTGTGGGGCTTGTGTCCAGCGCGGAGACTGCTTGAGACTCTCTCTCCCTCTCCCTCTACCCCTCCACCCCCCCACATGTGCGTGCTCTTTCTCTCTCAAAAATAATCTTTTTTAAAAAGTAGAGAAATGTTGAGGTTGTTAAAATCAAACCCAAGAAATATATGCATAATTTGTATATGCATAAAATATATCTTCTGGATGGATAAACAAGAAAGCAATGACACCAGGAGCATTCAGGGAATAGAACCGAACTGTGGGGGGGGGGAGAGACATTGTCACTTCATACCATTTTGCACCTTTTGATTTTTGAACCACTGGAATAGATTAGCAACTGGAAAAAAAAGAATAAAATGGAACTTAAGGAAACAAGTGTTCTAATATTCCTGTATATACAAGCAAAACAAAAAAACTTTGGGTGCTAGCTTTCAAGCTAGTGGTTGCTGGCCTCCTTGGGAGTTGATGGAGGATGGGGGTGAAATGCACACAAATTAAGAGAGAAGGAGAGGAATATGGGAAGACACTGCTTGGGCTTGAGGTGCATCCTCACAAAAGAGGGTTTAGCAAAGCCAATTTGATGAAAATGTGCTCTAAGATTTGTTATGTTGCTCATCCTGAAATGGTTCAGAATTGCATTTGCTGCGTGGATTAAAAGTTCCCACATGAATAATTTTTTCTAATTATGGCTGTCAACCAAAATGGAGTCTAAGTCAAACACAATTTTTTTTATTTCCCCCAAACAACTATTTGTTTTTTTAAAGATTTTATTTATTTATTTTACAGAGAGAGAGAGAGAGCACAAGGGTGGGAGGAGTGGCAGGCAAAGGGAGAAGGAGAAGCAGACTTACCATGGAGCAGGGAGCTTGATGCAGGACTCGATCCCAGGAACCTGGGATCATGACCTGAGCCAAAGGTAGATGATTAACCAACTGAGCCACCTAGGGGCTCCCAAATCAAGAATTTAAGTCAGAGAGTGGCAAACGACAGCCTTCAAGCCAAATCCAGCTCTCCAACTGATTTTACAAATAAAGTTTTATTGGCTTACAGACAGGCCCATTTGTGTACATGCGGGCTACGGATGTTTTTGCACTTTGAGAGCAGAGCTGAGTAGCTATGACAGAGCTGAGTAGCTGCAACACTGAAAATGTTTACTATTTGGCCCTTCGCAAGAAAGTTTGCCCACTGCTGATTTAAAGTGATCATGACTTGGGCTGCTTGGGTGGCTCAGTTGGTTAAGCATCTGCCTTTGGCTTGGGCCCGGTGTCAGGCTCCTCAAGGGGGGGGAACCTGCTTCTCCTTCTCCTTCTGCCCCTCCCCCCTCGCTCATGCTCTCTCCGTGTCTCTCTCAAATAAATAGATACAATCTACTTTTTAGAAAAAGAATTTTAAAAAATAAATAAAAATAAAGTGATCATGACTTAAAGACAGGGTGACATCCAACAAAAATATCAGTAAAGGACGGTGACAGTGACCCATCAGATAGTAAGGTTCCCTCAGGTAAGGAAGAGATCAACCAGGGCACATCTGAGGTCATTTCTTTGACACACTGCCATTTAAAATAACACCGTGAACACCATGAAATAACAAGACTTCTTTGTCCCTGATGCAATCACTTTATTTTTAGAGCAAGAGAACAGATTGCTTCTTAGTATTCAGCCCAAAAGAGGTCACGCCTGAAAGGTGAAGAAGCATGGGGTAACCATCTCTCCTCTGCTGGTGCTTGAAGCAAGGTGTGAGTTGCTGTCTCTCTCCCAGCTACCACCTCCTCATTTCAGTAGCTGAAGTCTCGCCATGGCCAGGGAAGACAAGCTGGGAAGCAAGAGATGACTCCTAATCTTTCTGCTCCTACACTCCATGATTGTTCTAGTTCGTTCTGGGGAAGGGTTGTTATTGTTTGTTTTCTGAAAAATGGTGATTGGCTCACTCATGATTGCTATCAAGTTTGTATGCTCTTGGCATATCAGGCACTTGCTGACTATAGAGAAGTTTTGTGTACTGGGTTCATGTTCCTCTGGTGCCAGATGGAAGACAGACCTCCACATCGAGGTTCTACTCTTTTAGACGCTCAGGATCTCAAAATCTTCCTCTAGGTCGAAGTCCTCTAGTTGTTCGGTGGAGTCAATGAATTCTATGGGAATATGGAAATGAGAAAGAGGAAAGCTTGACACTCAGGTTGAAGTCGTCAGTACAGTTACTCAGCTAGTTAAGGCTATGCATTTTTTTAAGTTGTTCTGTTGCAGAAAAGCTTGTGGGGAGGAGACTTGCAGGTGAGACCGCTGACAAGTACTAAAGATTCTTTATGAAGAAGCAAAATAGGGGCACTTGGGTGGCTCACTGGTGTCTGAATGTCTGCCTTTGGCTTGGATTGTGATCCTGGGGTCCTGGGATCGAGTCCCACATTGGCCTACATGCAGAGAGCCTGCTTCTCCCTCTGCCTCTGTGTCTCTCATGAATAAATAAATAAAATTTTTAAAAAGAAGCAAAATAATTGAGCTCATTAAACACTCTTACTCACAGGGACCAGGATGGGGCTCTGGGATCTTGGAGGTATCTTTCTAATCACCCATGGCCTCTGATTTGTTTTTTGAACCAGACCATGGGAAACAAGTTCTAGTCATTCTGATTTTGTGTGGCACTTTTGTATTGAGCTCATTTTCTTCTATCCATCTGTGAAATTGGTAAAGATCAATTCATCAGAAGATTAAAATCATCAGGGACCCCATTTCTTGATCAGCCCTGCTGAGTAGCAATTGTACATTCCATGGAAAGCATGAGCTACTGCTGTTTCAGTCTTGTAAAACAACTGTTACCCAAGGGTCTGCTGGCCCAGGAACCCCTGAACAATGGCTTACCTGCCCCAGTGGTTGTCACTTCTGGCTTGGCTGGTGGAACAAAGGGAGGCCAGTGCGATGGATGTTTCTGAACCAGTTCAAACATCCTTAAATTTTCCTTTAGAATTTCCTAAGGAAATATTACTCAGCCATTAGAAACGACAAATACCCACCATTTGCTTCAATGTGGATGGAACTGTAGGGTATTATGCTGAGTGAAGTAAGTCAATCAGAGAAGGACAAACAGTGTATGTTCTCATTCATTTGGGGAATATAAATAATAGTGAAAGGGAATATAAGGGAAGGGAGAAGAAATGTGTGGGAAATATCAGAAAGGGAGACAGAACATAAAGACTCCTAACTCTGGGAAACGAACTAGGGATGGTGGAAGGGGAGGAGGGCGGGGGGTGGGGGTGAGTGGGTGACGGGCACTGAGGGGGACACTTGACGGGATGAGCACTGGGTGTTATTCTGTATGTTGGTAAATTGAACACCAATAAAAATTAATTTATCAAAAAAAAAAAGAATTCCCTAAGGACACACAGAGACAGCTGTAAACATTTCAGAGCTACTCCACATTGCTGTCCTGTTGCCTGTCCATCCATGGGTCCAAGCCGTAAGAGACTGGCCTGGCTGTTGAAAGGTGAAAACAGGGGCAGCCTGGGTGGCTCAGTGGTTTAGTGTGGCCTTCAGCCCAGGGCCTGATCCTGGAGACCCAGGATCAAGTCCCATGTTGGGCTCCCTGCATGGAGCCTGCTTCTCCCTCTGCCTGTGTCTCTGCCTCTCTCACTCTCTGTCTCTCATGAATAAATAAATAACATCTTTAGAAAAAAAGGTGAAAACAAAGCCCTAGCCAACATGCCCACCCACTACTCGACCCATCCGAAGACCCAGCCCTCTTCAGTTCTAGATCTGGTCAACCAGGAAGGAGGGATGCTGGAAAGAGTATCTGATGGAAGTCCAGCACTCACTAATTCATTGCCTATGGTCCGTCATGCGGTTCAGGTCACATGCCAGTTTCCCGGGCCTACCTCAATTCAGGGCCGACATGTTTCTGAACCATTGGCTCATGCCAATGTGTGTTAATTACGTTAAATCGGCCCCGAGAATACTAGTATGAGTTGGCATGGTTCTGGCTTTTGTCCAACACTTTGTAGTAGTATATGTCCTAATTTAGATGGCACATAGTCTTACCAGTGAATTACCATTCAGACTTTAAATGTGATGTGAATACAGTTTTGCTGCATCCTGAATTGTTAAGTATTGCCTTTAGAAAATAATTCTTCACTATGTCTCAGCCACTTATTAACTGGGGTTTCACATTCAGCGAGGAATATTAATGTCAATTATTTGTTCACTTGTGAAGAAAAATCTGCCCTCCTTACATTTGCAAGAGGCTCTGGGATCCCATCACCCCAACTTCTTTGTATTTTCTCCAGGTAGGAGAACAGCATGTCTCATGCCACCCCATCCAGGGTGCTTTTCAACTACTCCCTGTGATCGCCATTCTTTCGATAAACATTTTTATCAATGTCTCCCACATGCGTGGCATATGTTAGAAGCAAGGATTGGGGGGGGGAAGGCAGATACAAAGACTAGTGAGCCGTGAAAACAGTAAATACCCTTCTACACAAAATACTGAGAGGGGAGAATATCTGGCTTTAAGTTTTTACACAGACTCCTGCAAACTATGTTTCCTTTGATGGCAGCATGCCTGTATTTTAGAGAAATGAGACAGTTAAGAGGGAGACAAGCTCCCTAAACCCTCCTGGACTATATAAAACTGTAAATGGACCATGAAATAAACAGAAAAGCAGCTTAGTTCCTTCGACTATCTTAGCACTACCAACAGAATGAGGAAGACCTGAGATGAAATATGAAATGAGCATTTTTAAGTTAAAATGGTAGAATATTCATTGACTAGTTCATGTGACTCATAGGCATAATTAGCTGAAATATTACATAGCTAAAAATATCACTCACTTGATGTACTAAGCATATTTCAAACAAAGGTTTTGCTCTGGTTCCCCAGAGTTATGCATAATCCCCCGTATCTCAGTTTTTTTCTTGCAGTAAAATCCTATCAGGCTCAATCTATGTCACTACGTGAAGCAGTCTTGGAAAGGGACCCTACCAAATAACTTCTGTTAAGACTAAGAAAAACATGCATCTTTACCTTCTGCACGAGGCTACACCAGCTATCAAAGTCCTTTTCTTCTTTGCAGAAAAATCCCTTGGGGGGAACGCAAGAGAACATAACTTAGAACTGGTCAAGGGCACCACCTCAGGCCCTTTGGACTGCAAGATGGGGCCACTGGCCCAAAGACAGGATGTGGGCCACTCTCTTCAGATGTCTTACAGCAATAACAAAGCACTGCTCTGTCTCCCGGGTCATCACCTTACCTGGATACACACATTGATGTGTTCATTCCATTTCTCTCTCTCCTTTTTCCCTCTCCCTCTTTCCCTGTCCCTGTCCCCCTCCCTGTTCCTCTCCTTCATGCTGTGAAGTATAGTAGCTTGAAGCCAAATCTCCAAAGCATGAGGTTAATTTCATTACGCTTAAGCACACACAGAGGCACATTCATCCAGAACAGGCAATGAAACCAAGTGACAAAAGCCAAATAGTACTTTTATACTTTTAGCTAAAGGCAATACATAATACAAGGGCTTTGACCTGAAGGAAATGATCGATTAGAATAAAGAGAATCATCTCCCTCCTTCCCCATCCTCAGGGCCACCCTACAGTAGCAACAGAATGGTCCCAAACAAGAGGAGGCTCTGTCAGTGACCAGGCTCTCGTGCTCTGACAATCGAGTTAAACTGGGAGAGAGGGTGTAGACAGAACTCAGGACCACTGGCAGCTTCACTGGTGGCGTGTGTAGGTGGTAGTGTAGACAGTCCCAGTTCTAGGGGGAAAAGCCCTGCAACCTCCTGGAGGGCACACCCCAGAAGAATGAGTGCTTTCCGCCCGGAAGATCCTCACTCCATGATGTCTCCTTGACTGTGTCCCACCTTATTCCCTGTGCCTGGCTGGCAATAATTTGGGGGCAAGAAGTAAAAGGGGAAAGACTAACAGTAATAGTGACTAATGTGTACGGAAACCTCGCCATGTGCCCGGCACTGTGCTGAGCGCCTCATGCATGGTATATCTCACACAACCCTGAAGGAATGATTGTTTAGCTCCTTTCTAGGGATGAGAAGAGTGAGGCTCAGAAAAAGTTAAAAGGACTCCCCCTAAGTCCACAGCCAGTAAGTGGCAGGGCCTGGATTCCAACTCTAGTCCTGTGCCTTTGGGGTCCATCCCTTCCCCCACAACACTATGGTACCTCTGGGTGGGGGGGGCATGGCCAGTGAACACCTTCTTGCCCCCTTACCTAGCAACCTAGGTGACTCCCAGGGAACCAATCTGTAACAGGGTGGTGGTGTTGGATCTCTTGGCCCACCCAACCAGTAGATACATACCAGTGCGACGGAAGGATCCAAGTTCAAGATGTTCATTCGCTGTGGGGACTGCAGGCAATGGAAAGTCTGGTCATCAACCGTTCCATTCTCTTCGGTGTCAACAAAAGTCTGGGTTGTATGAGGGTCCAAGAAAATGAGCTCATCGCCTGTTTGGAATGAGACATACTTCACCTAGAAAGAACCACTGGCCCCAGTCCCATCCCTGTCCCTCAGGAGGAGGTACTCTGTTCTTCTTAATACCACCCTTGGTGACAATGGGAATGAGATGACAGAAAGCCTGAACCTGGGTGATCATGCTTGAAGGAGGCCAAATCTAATCATTCACTGAGAAGATTTGCCCTAGCACGTGCACCCCCTCAAAATCCAAGACCAAAAAATGGAGAGTGACAGGTTTGAGAAAAGGTGGGAATGAGAAACCACAGATGACATGGCAGGCTCTGTGAGCAGCAGTTTAGCAAAGAAGCAGTGGGTACAATCACCAGGGCATGAGCCCAGGTGCCATAAGGGAGCTTCCTGCCTCTCTCCACATTGGGAAGCATCTCTGCTCCATACCACTGGTTCTCAGACCTATGGTCAGAGAGCACATCTAGTAAGAAAAAAGCCTTGGCCTCTGAAAGAAATGGGAGTGCTGACTCTGCTACGGATGGGCTCTGACTGCTGATCTTTATTAGCTGGCAAGCTAACCGTCATTAGCAAGTTAGTGACTTCTATTGTAAACACTGCCCCGGTCACTTTGACACCAGTACAGATATACCTCACTACGAAAATTCTTACTGCACAAATGAGAGAGATGCCATACTTCATCCAATTGAAAAAGCCTAGCCCAAGAATGACCTGGGAGGAGTTTGAAATAGTAAAATCTCTCCTTCGATATTCAAAGGGTCAAGAGTCCCTCCAAAGCTCATCAGTGGCATGCTGAGTTGGCAAAAGTGGCACCTCAACCTCGCTTTCCAGGCCTCGGGACCATCTGGGTCTCTGTGCTCTAGACTGGGTTCGACAGCTAAAGAGAGATTCCCTGAGGCAGGAGGATGCAGTATAGAGAGATGCCCCACTGAGATTATCCCTGGAATGGCATCCAAGACTGTGCTGGGCCACATCTAAGTGCTTCTGCTAGCAAAGCATGTGTTTCTGATGTCTGGCAAATAGTTTAACTTGTGTCTATCACAGACCTGGGACAAACCACTCATTTCATTTTGTACTCATTTTCTTGTTTTTAAACCGGGGTCACACGAGGCCTGTTCCAGTTACCTCACAGGGTATTCTAAGAACTGGGAGGTTTCTTCTCTGTGAAATGATTAAAACACAATACAGATATAAGGTGGTCATAGCAGTACCGTGCTTCAACTCAAAAGTACTTCCCTACAAATAGATGTTTCAGAGTATGTGAAAATCAATTCCCTCATGTGACTTGCCTTACGAAAGTCAAGATTATATATATATATATATATATATATATATATATATATATATATATATCCCACTGGACCACAGGTGGGTGAGATCAGTTATATCCCAAAAGTCTCAAGTCACAAAGAAAAGCAACAACCAGAATGTTTAGAATGAAGTCTACTTACGACCATAAAAAAAGAAGAAAAGGAAGTTTTGCACAAGAAAATAGAAATCCAGAGCGGGGTTTGGATCGAGCATTCTGCCAGTGTTTCAAGTTAAGGTGCTAGGGATAATTGGATAGTGAGAGCATCCTCTCTTATTCTGGCCCTTTCTGTGAAAGTGTGTGTGTGTGTGTGTGTGTGTGTGTGTGTGTGTGTGTCTGGAGTGGACCGTTGCAGGACATGCTGTTTCTGAGAGTACTTAAAAGAGATACAGTGGAATCCCTAAAAAGTCTTAGAAGTGATGTGGGAACCAATCCAAGGTTTCTTATTGGGCCTGAGGACAAGAGGCAGCCTGCTCAACCATCTGCGGACATAGGGCTCATGCTATGGATCTCAGGTGGCAACCTTCAGGGGACAGAGATCTCCTGTGCAAGCAGGCAACTTTGAACAGACAGAGTCTCATCCTGGCACTCGTGTCCCACACCAAGAGCTTTGCCCAGCTTCCCACCAGGAAATGGGGCCCTCAGGAAGCAACGTGGCATGGCAGGCAGAGATGGCCAAATTGGGATTGAATTCTGGCTTTGCTACTTTCTGGCTGGGTGATCTTGAGACCACAACCTCTAGCTCTTAGTTTCACTAGAGTAAGCTTTGACTCACAGGGGTATCATGCTAACTCTATCGCTACATCTCAATATAGGACTATCTATCTATCCCTATATGTGTATATATGTTCTCTGTCTGTCTGTATGCCTGCCTAGCTAGCTGTCATTAAATGTCATATAAAAATGTCATTAAATGACTATCTGTCTGGGGGTGGGACTTTGCAAGGAACTTGGCACAAGACAGCTCTTCAGCAAATGGTAGTTCTTATCTATTCCCTCCCTTCAGACATTTGACCAATCCGGAACCCCCAATACAGCAAAGGGGGTAAGTCAGAAAAGGGGATTCAGGAGGACTTTAGCCAACTCTCTCTGGGTAACTTGGGGGTAAGGGAGGCCAGGTCCCCCAGCGGGTGTCCCATATATTATTCTTTGAGGTCCCTCAAAATCATTTTCCAATATGTTTCAGCCTTGCCCTTGAGTACAGAAAAAGAGAACACTGATTTTTGCCACCTTTTCTCTGACAGGAACCCAAAAGCTTAGAATCAGAAGGTATCTGTGTTTATGTAACTCCCAATACTGGATTTTGTACTTAGAGAAATAAACACCTCCCTGGTTTGCCAATTTCCCATCAAGCTGTAGTTCTCGGGCTTAGCCAATAGATGGCAGCAAGGGAGAGCGCTGAGGCCACTGTGTAGAAACCCTGCCTCAAAGAGAAGGGAGCAAAGGCAAGATGTGCAGGGGGTCAGGAAGGGTGGGGCCACCTTTCACTGGCTGAGTACTACAGGCTTGACTCTTCACTGAGGGCTCTACTGTGAGGTGACAGCACCGCGAGGCAGGTATAAGCCCTGTTTTCTTTTTTTGTTCTTTAACATAAGCTCTATGCCCAACGTGGGCCTCGAACTCACCATCCCGACAGCAAGAGTCTCGTGCTCTACCTACTGAGCCAACCAGGCGCCCCAGCCCTATTTTCTACAAGAGAAACTGAAACAAAAGAGTGGATGTTTCTTTTCCTGCTATCACACAGCTGGCAAGTGGAAGACTGTGTACAGGGCCAACGATTTCTGTTCCTAGGCCACCTCACCTCTCTGAATCTCCAAGGAGTAGGGCAGGAGGGGAGCCAAGCCCATTTCACCCTTTCCTCTGAACAACCTCCCTGCCATGCCCCATGCCTGCTCTGGCTCACCCTGGCCTATCCAAGGCTCTCCAAGCTCATATTCCTTGATGCCCAGTTTCAGGCCATGTCACTCCCTTCCCTGTGCTCTACCAGCACTAACCAGGTGTCTGGGCCCCTAGCACTCAACATGTGGTGTGTACACCAGCAGCATCAGGACCCCCCAGCCAGAAATGCAGGGTCTCAGGGCCCAGCCCAGGCCTGCTGACCCCGCATTTTAATCAGTTCACAGGGTGATCTGTGTGCACATCACAGTTTGAAAAGCGCTGGGCTAGCTCACCTTGCGTGCCAAGGGCATTAAATGACTGTGACTGTCATCACAGCTAGTGTATATGGTGGCTAGGTTTCCAGAGGCATCAATTGAGGCAGGGAATGCTGGGCTTCTGGTTAGGATCCGCATTAGGACATCAGTGGTTTTAAGGCTTAGCCCCCATTACTAGAAAAAGGATAGCTCTGTCTTGGCCTCCTCTCAGCTCTACCTGGTCATGGCTCCAAATAATGAGGCAGCAGGCCCACACAGCTGGGCCTGGGTCAAAGGACGGTTCCCAGCCTGAATGCCCAAGCCCCAAGAAGATGGAGACCCACAATGCCAGGGCAGTGAAACCCTGCCACCCTGGGCCCCACATAAAGGAGAGAGAGATGCTAAGATGATGCTGTGCCCCTGGGGTGGTCCAGTGGGAAAGCAGCTGTGAAACCATCTCATCAAGAGGCAAGGAAGTGGACGTACTGAAGAGGGATCTGCTCTCCATGGTGCAGAGAGAAGTGTTATTCTCCACTGATCAGGCCAGAGGCAGAATGAACTCACCAGAAGCCATGGAATCTCTGGGCTGGATGAGGGCCCCCTGACCAGAATTGCCTGGGCTCCCAGGCAAACCTTCTGCCCCCCACCCTTAGCCCATGACGACTTACTTGTGAGTCCTCTTTTCTTACCTAAGAATCCTATGAAATAATAGGCGTTATTTGGTTTTCCTCCTAATGCCCCTAAAGACTGTGGCATCTTAAAACACTCCTAGAGGGAAAGAGAATGCAACATTCTCAACTCACTTGTGGACTGCTGCTCACGGATCTCTGTGCTCACATGGCGGTGTGATGGGCAGGCAGCAATGGGCCCGGGAAAAGGAGTGACTTACTTTGAATGCATCAACATAGACAGGGTTGATTTGGTTTATGCCCAGGCGAAGGGGCACGATGAGCAGCAGGGGTTTCCAGGCTGGGCAGGAGGCAGGAGCACTCTTACTCTGGTTTGAAGCATTCAGAGTGTTGAGAGGGCTCTCACCAATTGTGTCTGCACTCAAGGGGAGGACACAGCACATTTTTTCTAGAAACGGAAGACAAGACAGCTGGGTTAAGAGGGGTACCCGGTCATCCGAGATATGCCCAGGGCCAAGCTAAGGGCAACCTCCTGTGACATCTCCTGCCTGGAAGGCCTTCCCCTCTGCCCCCAGGGTGTAGTTTGTGCCACCTTGCACAGGACGCCCAGGCCCACACCTCCATCCCCTTACCTCTCTTCCTTCTGGTAACTGAGCACTCACCTCCTGCCAGATAGTATGGGCTCATTGAGAAAATTTTATTTCTCAACTAGTCTGCAAGGGCCTTTGAGACAGGGACTGTATATTTTGGTTTCTCTAACCCTGTGATGGAGAGCATAGGGCTGGGTAAGTGGGGGCCCTACTATGGCTTCACTGGTTATCCATACTCTGAGTATCCTGCAGGGAAAGGGTCTGATAGTTCATTGAGGGCCAGAGAAGACCCTGTCATTGTTTTCTTCCTTTCAGAAAACTGAAAGGGTAGACAAGAAAAGGCCCAGGGGATAATTAACCAGGCTCCTGTGCTCTTCTAAGTCTCCTTGCTTTGGTGGAGCAGGTCAGAATCAGTGTCTGTTTGTCTACCTGCCTGTCTCTCTGCCTGTTTCCCCCTCCCTCCCCCTTCTCTCTCTCTCTCTCTCTCTCACACACACACACACACACACACACACACATATACAATTTCTGAATGTTGAGGAAGGGGCCTCAATCACCCACCACCCAGCCAGGTAAACAGGCTAGGGACTCACTGATATCTTCAATGACCACAGTGTTATCCATCGAAACATAAATAGCCAAGGAATTCCACTCGTCAAACAAAGCAAGTTTTCTGCAAGGCAACACACAGGGAGGTCAAAATTGGGAGAGATGGGTAACATCAGCAGGAAAGCAGTACCATCTACGCCCAGTGGCCCTAAAGTCACCAAACACTGGGCCACAGAAAAGTTAGGGATTGGGTCAAGCTCTGGCTCCCTTGACCAAGAGCACTGGAACATCCCATGTCCAGGGACCTTGGGAAGGCCAGAGTCACTGTTTTCAAACCCTGAAAAAGAGAAGCCCTGCTTTACAAGATGGAAAAATCTACCTCACAAGATGATGTTACTCCTGCTGGGTGAAAGAGAAAATGTACCAGCTTTTCTGCTCCCAAGACATTGTATTTTCTCTTTACAAAAGGCATTTTGACTGCTTTTTTCCCAAAACAGGAAACTTCCATAAAAATATAAATTATATATATACATACATATATATACACATATATACATACATACATATACATGCATATATATGTAAATACATACACACATTTTTGGGAGCACAGATAATATGGAGAATATGCCCAGGAAGATGGAGAGAGAGAGAGAGAGATCTCTTACACCCTCCCACAATGCAGTACGAAAGCTGTTCAAGAGATTCGGGCTGCAGATGGCCTTGATATGGTGCCTCATTGGCCAGCAGCTGAAGAGAAAGAGTATGCTGAACTGAGAGAGTACGCTGAACTGTGTGACTTCGGAGAAGGTTAGAAAGAAAACTCCTTTGACAGAGGGATCATCCAGGATCTGAGTAAAGCACCATGACCATATCTCCCTTATATTTCCCTCTTGCCTGTCTGAAAGAAGGCATGTTCATTCAACCTGGGTACTTCTGGGACTCTTGGGTAAAGTCCAGTCTCACTGGACAAAAGAAAGTAGCTCCCAGGAAGAGACTAATTACCATTGTACTTTAATTTCATTACTTTTGAGATATCACCTTTCCCTGATGTACTTATATTCTGTTGTTAATGGTCACAATCACAATGAATCAAAACTCACCTAAATTCTTTTAAAAAATGTATGTTTTGGGCAGCCCGCATGGCTCAGCGGTTTAGCGCCGCCTTCAGTCCAGGGCCTGATCCTGGAGACCCAGGATCAAATCCCACATCGGGCTCTCTGCATGGAGCCTGCTTCTCCCTCTCTCTCTCTCTCTCTCTCTCTCTCTCTCTCTCTCTCTCTCTCTGTGTGTGTGTGTCTCATGAATAAATAAATAAAATCTTTTAAAAATGTATGTTTCCATTTGTCTGCTGTTAAGAACTTCAGAATTTAGAAGAAAAAAGCAAATTCTGAGGGACATCATGTAAAAAAAAAAAAACCCAGCCATTTCCAGCTGAGTTTGGGGTGCAGCACAGCCCTTCTGATTCACCTTCTAGGCTTTTTTAAAAAAAGATTTTATTAATTGATTCATGAGAGACACAGAGAGGCAGAGACACAGGCAGAGGAAGAAGCAGGCTCCCTCCGGGGAGCCCAATGCAGGACTCGATCCCAGGACCCCGGGATCATGCCCTGAGCCAAAGGCAGACGGTCAACTACTGAGCCACACAGGCATCCCACCTTCTACAGTTTCTACCTGGGGCTCCTATGCTGGTTCCTGAAATACTGCCGGATCTTCACTTAGCAGAATCAACCATCCCCCAAAAGGAACTATGGACTAAGGCAAGAAAGTGGTCTCAGGGGGGTTGGTATCTTAGCAAGGAATAAAGCCAAGATACAGATTTCTCCCTTGGGTCCCCAGGAAATCCAGCCTACTCCCCACATTAGCACATTTCCAAAGCCTTCTGGATCATTGAAGAGTGGTTAATAACTGAAACAGTGCTCCCTCAGTACTTTTTATGGAGCGGATCCCACTGTCATCCTCCGGAGAGCCCAGGAATTGAAGAAGCAAGCTACACCCAAGGAGTCCAGATGGTTTCGACCTTCTGATGCCTAAATCCAGCCCCAGACTCTGGATGCCATCTTCATTCATCCTGCAAGTATTTATTGAACTCTTGTATGCTCCAGGCAGTTTTATGTGCTAGTGTTATGGTAGTGAATGAGACAAATACCATCTCTGCCCTCATGGAGTTTTCATTCAGTGGCAGGCAGTCAGGAAGGAGAGTGACAACAGGTGAGGTGGCCTGCAGATGTAAATGTTGATGCCACTCACGCCATTCCCTTCTAAAATGTCAGGCTTATGGGGCATCTCGGTGGCTCAGTGGGTCAAGCGGCTGCCTTTGGCTCACAGGGCATGATCCCAGGGGTCCTGGGATTGAGCCCTGTGGCAGGCTCCCTGCTCAGCAGGGGGTCTGCATCTCCCTCTAGCCTCTGCTCCTCCCCCTGCTCGTGCTCTCGCTTTCTCTCAAATAAATAAATCTTTTTAAAAATTACTTAAAAATTAAAATTAAAATGTCGGTCTCCAATTCTCCATCTTGCCTCTTGGGAGGTGAATTCTGCAACTTGACAGAACAACTGCCAAAGCGGACCTGGAGTCTGCTAAGAGATGACAAACTGACGCCCTTGAGGTTTGTCTATTCGTGAGTTCCCTGAGGCAAGGGCTGCATCTAATTTATTTCTAGATACCTAGCAGGTAGCACAGGAGGGCCACTCAGTAAATATTGAAGGAACAAATGAATGAGTGAGGTCATTTACACTCTACGGGGTAGGAGGGAGTCCATTGTCTTGCCTAGGCTGGCTCAGCCTCTGCCACTTAGTGTTAGCCCTCTGGCTTCAAAGTGACCCTCAGGCTGATGGTCCCCTGGAAGGCGAGCACCAACCTGGAGAGGGAATGGATATTGAGGGAGTCTTGGGGTCCCCCCCTCACCCCGATATACTGGTACAGATGGATATAACTCTGATAATACTAGAACAGATGTCCACACATGCACATTTCAAAGAACTGTCCAAGCAAAATGATACAGATGTTTGGTGGCTTAGTGATGGCAAGAACAGTTAGCTTGATGGGACACTGAGCTGGCAGAAGAGGGAGGCACAGGAGACAGTTCTGTAAGGCGGATGCCAGGCTCTTTTACTTACTTTAATACCTGTGCAACTGTATTTGGTCCAAACCATTCGCCAATTGATTTCCCTTCTCCTACACCCATCTGTGCTGTTTTTATGTGGGGAGGGGGGAAAAAAAGAGACGTTAGCAAAAGTTCTTCCGGCATGCCACAAACTCCTAATTTTTTGCATGAATAATTAAACAGATGGACAAGTTTGCAGAGCCCATATAAGGCAGGGGATGAAAGCAGAAGGTACAGAACACTGCCTCAAGACCACTGATGTGACCTTACCCATTTGATGGATAGAGTAGCAACAGTCCTTTCTATCTAAGAAGCACTGGAGGATCCGTTGGTATTCTCTGGGTTGTTCTTTCTGTTTCTCCCAGCTCCAGTCTTTTGAGGGAAAAAAAAATGTATGAAAGTCATGTTTGTAACTGCTTATTACCTCACTGCCCTCTTACTGCCACTACGATGTTACAAAGAAAACAAAGGAGTTCCAGCTAAAAGGCAGGGGCTATCGGGTTAGAACATTCCTAATTAACTTCGATTTTGATGACAAAGGCATCTAGAGACATTACTTTCAAAGTCTCTGTGGGTGTAAAGTATAAGCAAAATAACAAGCTGACTGAGGAACTGACTTAGCCCGGAGGCTGGAGCTAGATAAGTATTACATGAAAACAATGTCAGAAAAGGCTTTTCTGGTCTGTTCAGCTACTGAGGTCACTACAAAGCCCAGAGGTATATCCTTACGCCACCCTGACGCCATACTCTCTCATCTCTACACAGACAGCAACGGCTTTGGTTCATGTATTTTGGCAACATTGCCGAAAGAGTCTCACGGGGGAAGTGCTATTCAGACACACAACAGTGCACTGGGGAAATACACACAATTCACAACTGAGGAAGCTCAAAAGAAATTGCATGCTGCCATTTTTACACAACCTTCAAAGAGTCCACACTGACCTTTAGAAAAATGAATAACCTCTGTGTTTAAGGTTTCTTTGTGACCAAAACCAAAATAATCATACCTATAGGAAGTCCCTCTGTGCCTCAGGCATGCCAACCTCCCCACGCCCCCGCAAATGCTGCAGAGTCTATTTATCCCAGGATGCAGGACAACTGCAAAGATTCTCCATGATCGCCGCTGTAGACAGGATGTGCCTCTCCCATTCCCTCAGCTCTAGGAACTCCGTCTCATGGGACAGCTCTCTGGGACTTAGTTGGCTTCCAAGACACAAATTTCTCTCTCGAGGTTTTAGACACTATTTAACTTCACGACTGAAGTATTCTTGAAGCCAGAGGCCACTGTCTCCAGAATCTTCTGTTTTCTTTGCTTCTAATAGTTCTGAAATCAAAGTTTTAAACTTTGTAGCCAGCACAGTCTTCAGAGGGTGAACTGCATCCAACTTTTTTTTTTTTTCCGTTTGCTACTGAATTGTCCAAGTCTGGGGAAATCCTAATTAGCTGGCTGCTAGGTACCACTAAATGTGGACTGAAGACAGTGATGAGTGAGCACTCCACCTAAACTATGAAGTAAGTGAATAGGAAGCACTCCAAAATACTTCTTCACAGAATGGCGTCTTTGAATTTACCTCAGCTGCAAGATCGATTTCCAAATTCTTCTTGCTGTTTGCTTTTCTGTTAGAAACAACTGAGACTGCTGCTGACTGTGGGGTTTAATCTCTTCCTCATTTGCTTCCCACAAAATTCACTTCCAGGAGAATCGTCTTGCTGTGTTTTATAAATGGGGAGGAGGGTTAAAGAGAACAGATCTGCTCTGAGCAGGATGCATAGCACAGAGACATCACTGGACAAGGATTCAGGAGACCTGCCTTCTTCTGTTCCCAAATCCATGCTTTCTTGCTGTTTGACCCTAAGCAAGTCACCTTACTTCTTGAGCCTTAATTTCTTCCTCTGTGAAACCAGAATTATGATGCTACCCAGAGGAAATGGGTTCAGATTATTCTAAGCCCTGAAAAGAAGGCCTTAAAGCCCTAAAACCTCCCTGGACCTTTCCCCAGTTTGCTCTGGTAACTGCAGGTGGATGTGTGAGGCTGCACTGTGGAAGGATGTTTCCATACCTCAGAATCTCAAGGAGTAACAGCCAATGAGCTCAGCAGGCCAATCTTGTCCAAGGGATCCTCTTCCTCCCTCATCCCCAGGTCAAGCCCGGCTTTCACCCCCAAGTGCGCACACTGGCATCCAGCCAAGGTCATCCTCCAGATGCCCACGGGGAGGACGCACATGGCTTAAGAAAGACTCAAGGGTTTCAGTGAAGATGACCGGAAAGTTCTTAATGAAGCAGCCTCCTGAGAGGGCTAATTTAAGGATTCCCTCATCATCGAATGGATATTGGCAGCGAACCCAAACCAAATAGTGCCAGCTCCCTCATTAGGCACTTCCTTTAGGTCACTTCCATCCTTCACCAGGCAGACATTTTAAAGGAGGTCAAGAAACAGACACACCGCCACACCCTTCTTCCTGTTCCCTTTGTTATCTGACCTGTTTGGACTCACTCGAACAATAGTGAAGTTGGAAACTCTAAATGACACACCTGCCTCAACGTTCAATTCCATCCCAGGAAAGCAATTCTGGCTTGGTGAGTCACAAGGAAATGCTGGCTGTTTCCTTCTCATGGGAGGCTTTATTGACTTGTCAGCCCTGCCACTTAGGCTTGCAAAGAGCCCATTAGGACCTTCAGCTCTGTTACCTAGTATTCCTGAAGCTCAGCCCCAATGCTAAACTGCCAGCAGTTGGTGCTCCTGCAGAGCGTCTGAGGGAGGACAAATTTAACTCACCCCTTCCCAAGTGTCTGCAGATAAGCGCCTGGGCCAGCATCATTTGTCCACAGCGTAGCATACATCCCCAGCCAGCATCTGATGAAGGGCCTGTTCCTCCTGTTGGCAAAATGGATGGGAATGAATATGAGTTCCTTAAATTGCCTTTTCCCGAAACACCAGCATACATGGGAATCATACGAGACAGACAGACAGACAGACACACGGACTCTGAAAAGAGAGGAGAGAGAGAGAGAGAGAGAGAGAGAGAGCGCCAGATAGCAAACAGGGTTGGTTACAGGGTGGAATTTGCAAAGATAATGCAGAGTTAACTGAAACAGTTTCTATGGCCAAAGATGAAACCAACAAATGCACGAAACCTGTCCCCTATGTATTGTGCTTGGAGACTTCTAGGTGTGCATCCAGTTGTGGCAGATGACTGCCAGGTACAGCTACCAACATTAACCCCCACCACATCATTATCTGCCTGAGCCAACCTAGCTTTGCATGGCTCACTTCTCAGGGAAGCCAGTCTTAATCTTAGTTAAGGAAAAATGCGGCCAAAGGTAATCATGAGCATGGTCAAAGAAATCCGGAAGGCTCCTGACTGTGCTCAATATCCAGCAGAAAGGTCTGAACAGCAGGAAGGACAATGAGGAAAGGTTCTGAAGTTAGGCATCAGAAGGACCATCTCTAGGTACCTGATCCAAGTTTCAACTATAGATTGGGAATGACAGCACATATCCTGCCGGTTACTGGGGGATATTATAAAAACTAAAGGAGAAAATATCTGTGAAAGGGTTCTACAACCCACTCAGGATGATGGAGATATCTAGTGTTATGAGCAAAATGGATGGGAATGACTAAAACCAGTTAAGAAATGAAGAAAGACAACAGGTTCCCCTCTAAGAACACTTGATATAAGAACAAAAGTTCCATGTATGTGGCCAGCCAGAGCTCAATATCCTTTTTCAAGGGACCAGTGAAATCAGGTAATGTGGAGGGCAGAGGAGACCTGCTTTCATTTGCTTTCCATCCCCAACATGGAAGTGGGAAACAATGCTATGAGCACAATCTTACCAGACTAGCTTTAAGGAGGGTTATCAGCCTCATAAGACAAGTGGGCCATAGTGGCCACCCTTCTCCTTTTGTTGTGGGTACCGAAGGAGAACTGCTACAGTAAGACGGGGAGGATTGAGCCTACCCCTTAACTGGATGGGGAACCCTCTGGCTCTCCCTAATGGCAGAATTACAGGCCAGATTAGTACAGGAAAGATGCAATGAAGCCCACATAAAGAAGAGATCATCCATTGCCAAAACACTGTCAGAGGTAAGCTGCAAATGTTCTCAAGCCTTCTAGAGATCTCTTCACCTACAGAAAGTTAACAGTTTAAACCCAGGGGTAACTTGATGGGATGAGCACTGGGTGTTATACCATATGTTGGCAAATCAAACTCCAAAAAAATATATACAAAAATAAAATAAACCCAGGGGTACTAAAGATCATTCTTTGGGCTGTTTCCAGCTTGGGTACTTCCTGTGGAGAGTGAAAACTGTCTGTGTGGCCTTGGCTTGGGACACTTATCAGAAAGGAGGATTTCACCCAGTCACTAGGTCCAGTCCTGCCTCAAAATCAGTCTGACAGATTTTTTTCTCTTAGGAAAATAGCTTCTACCATTTGGATTTGATACTCTTTTCCTGCAGGGCCATGATGCTAGGAAGAGGCCACTATACTTCCAAACATTTTACAGATTCTTCTCTAAATAGAGCTTAGTCTCTTAACTTATAGATCTGTCCTTTTTTCCTAGACAGCAGCTGGTACTCTAACAGCCTATCATTAGCTCCAAGGAAATCTATAATAATTCACCTTCCAGTAGCAAGGTGCTTTCATTCCATAGGGGAAGAAAACAAAGGAATTCTCTTCTTTCTTTCAAGGTCTAATTGTCTTTAATAATCATGTAGCTCCACAAAGAAGTGGATTGGAAGTTAGTAAATATTAGCCAAATTAGAAGCTTGACTTTCTCCTTGCTCCCAGAAGTAAAAGAAGGAATGCAATCTGGTGCCCGAACCCTCGGAGGTGGACTCAAAAGCATACTACTGTTACACAGGAACACCAAGGAACCATATATGATGAGGTACTTTGGCAATGAAACTTTCAAATAAAATTTAAGACTTAACATATTCCCCTAAAGCAAAATCTTCGCCATAGTGAGCTGTTAATTCTGAGTATTCTGTGAAATCACTGATAACCTCAGGCAAGCTATCTACAAGGAAGAAAGCACAGTATAACAGATGATATACCTACCAATTGGTGAAAATTTCCTTCTGTATGTAAACCATAGACGAGCTCTTATATCAGACAACAGCTTAGATTTTTCTGTAATTAAATGTGAAATTACAATTAAATCACCACATCTCATATAAAGATCTTAGCCTTTGATTTCTGAGTCAGCAGCAAACTCACTTTCAAATAACTAGTCAATTCTAATGTGATGGGGCTAGGGAAGCTCAGAGGAAACCCAATCTCATCTTTGCCAAGTGATTTCAGCATTCCTTTTCTTTCTTTTTTTTAACATTTTATTTATTTATTCATGAAAGACACACACAGAGAGAGGCAGAGACATAGGCAGAGGGAGAAGCAGGTTCCATGCAGGAAGCCCGATGTGGGACTCGATCCCTGGACTCCAGGATCATGCCCTGAGCCAAAGGCAGACACTCAACCACTGAGCCACCCAGGCATCCCTCAGCATTCCTTTTCGCCTAAGTTTTGACAAGAGCTACTGGCCAGGGTGGTTCCTGTCTCCTCACTGAGCAACAGCCTGGCAGGCACTAACACTGGGGGCATGGCCAAAAGACAAGGAATAGAAAAATCAAAGATAACCCACTAACAAGGCAACCAGCCCCTACCTGAATGATGATTGTTGGTTGGATCTCTCATTGGTACCTGCTGTCCATTATCTAAACTAGGTGTGTGTGTGTGTGTGTGTGTGTGTGTGTGTGTGTGTTGGGGGGTTCATGTGTGTGCATGCATGTATGTTTAACCAAAAAGGAGAGATCCCTGCTAAGCAAATTCAATGTGTAAAAGTACTACCTACTGCAACTGGCATTTGAAACCTAAATGGATATATAACATCACAAATGCTTTTGCATCTTTCTTCAAAGCATTTCTTGCATTGTGATCAGCTGCTTCCTATCTCTTCTGCTATGCTAGGACCTTCAGAGAGGATCTCTCCTCATAAACAGAAAAAGTAGAGCTGACTCTCTCCAAGTTCAGGCTTTTCACCCAGAAAAACTGGGTGCTGGGTTGTTAACAGTTTCAGGTGAAAAAGATCTTCCCCAATCCAGAAGTATATAAGGGTAGGGAAAAAATATTCCAGCCTCTTTTCCACCTAGCTGCAGTAGCTAAACGTTCTATACAAAGTCAGAATACACTGAGATGGTGCTAACAAACAGCAAAAGAGCTACGAGACTAGGTGGCAGTATTTTTAATCTAGACAGAAAAGGACACAAGGGGAATGAGAAGGATGTAGCCCAGGCATTACAGACTAAGTACTGATTAGTGATACTAGGAGTTTGGGGCATGGTTTTTGAAAGCCAAGGCTTACAGAAGTCAGGGGTTCTTCTTTAAAGAAACGAATTCAAATACATCTGACTTTTTCATATCATATCAACACCTATGACCATGTGAACTCCCTGCTATGGATTTTCAGGGCCTTGGAAGGGACTTGTGCAAGGAAGGGGTCTAAGGCTTGAATTCCTCTGGCCGTGAGGTATATATCCACCCATGGGTGGCATTAATGGTGACCAAGGTAACACTCCACCAACCCGACAAGGAAAAATGGATAGGACCTTAACCTCGGGCACCCACCTCACTTGGGTTCCTACAGACAAATACTAACAAACCTTACCCGTTTTGAGGAGATGCTGTTTCCCCAAGATCCATACCAGCTCATCTGAATCTGGAAATTCTTCTAGGTAGTCAGCAAAAATAGTAATCTGGTTTTCATACTTGGATAAAACTGAAAGAAAAGGAGATAAACTTAAAGCAAAATGTAATAGAGAGGGTTTGCTTCTGTGGCTTACTGATTATTACCTCTTTCCTGGAGGTGAAAGGTCATTGGCTGGAGTCTCATAGAAGAAATACTTTTCTTCAAGGATCAAAGATACTCACAAGACCCCAAGATCCTTTAGTAGAGGGATTTCCTTCCGACCACCCATCTTCACCTTCCATTTCTCACAATCCCTTTTTGTAATATCTCTGAATATTTAGTCACAGTCATTTCAGAATCTTTTCATCATGGTTGTTTTTTTTTTTTTTTTTTTTTTTTTGTGAATAGCCACTTACATAGCTTCTCCTAGCAAGAGTGTGTCAAGGTAATGCAATAATACCTAATGCTTGTATACCCAACTCCTGCCCATATCACAAGGAACACTGTGAGGTTTCTAGCAGCCAGTGGCTCTGGAAGGGACTGTGACAAACCTGAAAGATTACTCAACTGTGAAAATGAAAGATTTCACCCAGAAGCCCAGATGTTCTCACAATACTTTTGCCACTTTATTCACATATGATCTGCAAAGAAGGATCTTGAAGCTGAAGATAAAAAGAACTTGTGATTGGGATTCACAGCTGCCTGCAGTTCTCTTAAGATAAAATAACCGAATAAAACATAATTACACGTTGCGAGTTCACAGGCCAGACTCTCAAAACTTAGGACCACGTAATGTGGGATGAGGTAAGACTCACTTTTGTACCACTTGTGGTGAAAGAGTCTGCTAGAAGAGTAAGGACTGGCTTATGAAAAGGTCCTATCTCAAAAATTCTCTTTAAGTAATGTTCTGAGAGAAAATAATATTGTAGGTGGTAAATAAGTTTCCAAGCCAGCCAACAAAAACCTATTTTAACTTGTAACTGGAGAAATCAGATTAATAGTCCTATTTCAACACACTGCAAGTTCAAAGCTAAGACATCCAACACACATGCCTTCTCTGAACTCTGGGAGGCTCCCCAGCCCGCTATGGGGGAAAGAGGTCAGAGAGAGTAGGGGTCCTTTTTTGCAGCTCTGAGCAGCTGCAGAGACTCCCAAAGCAAGCCCTGAGAGCCCTATGGGAATAGTTTTCCTGTAAAAATGGCATTGTGAGATATGTTTAACCCACTTAAAAGGACAAATTGTTTTCTTTTGGCTTTGCTTTCTAAGGTAGGGGCATGCTGTTTTCATAGAAACAAATGTTCCTAAATATAAATGAGTCCTATCTGATCATGAAAACAATTTCACCTGCTCAAAATACTTGGTTGGAGGCTGAAGTTATACTTTGTATAATTTTTGCAAATTGAAGTTCTAAGTGTGTTAAGGTATAATTTTAGAAACACAACTACCCAGGGATACCCGCTTGTCTTGAAACTTATTACAGAAGTCCAATCTTCCAGGGATTTAAGTATCTTTTCTCCTCGGGATGCTTTAATCATCAAGGTTATAATCTCTGGCAGTATTTCAAACCTAAAGAGGTTAGAAAGGAGGCAGCCATTTTGTTCTCCAGTGAAAGCTCATCACTGCCGAATCTGCCAGAGAACCTGTGCCATCTTAGCCTTTCTGCCACTAGCCTCAGCCCCTGGCCCAGGCCCAGGAAATACCAGGCTAAAAATGACCACCCATGTCAGGCCATCCCCAGGAGGTGATGGGACTGAGGTGGCGTAAGTCACACTGTGTACCTTCCCACCCTACCCTCTACCCCTCACAGGCAGGAGCAATCAGGTTAAAAGGAACATCCAGTGCAGCCTAGAAACAGTCAAAAAATAAGTAGCTAGAGAGGGGTGTGAGAAAGGGGCAACCTGTCTGGCATTCCCCTGGTAGGGGTGAGGAAGGGCAACACTGGATGAATGTACAGCATGTATGCATAGAAGCCTTGGGTCTTTTTTTAGTATTGGCCCAAAACAAACAAAACACTATTTCTCTATCACCAACCCTGTCCCAGTGAGTCATGGCCCAGCCATCTGGTCAAATTAGTACAGCCCCTTAAAGCCTGTGAGAACTGTGCTGCTTCATTTGGAATGGCCCTGACCAAAATGGTAGCCAAAGGATTGTCCTCTTGCTCTTCAGCCCTCCTCAGGCCAGCAAGAAGGTCATTACCATCTCTATTCTTCCTGATTCTTTCTGTAGAACATGGACTCCCAGAATGCAGTGTGTCACGCTATCACCAGCCCCAGGTGAAGCTACATGGATGAAGCCAATGAAAGCCGGAACAAAAGATGAGATTAACAGAAGCAAAGAGCAGTAACATGGGGAGGATATATATGAGACAGTCTGACAAGGAAAGGGGACTAGGTCTTCCACAAGGAAAGATAAAGAAGGAAACTGAGGAGCAGAAGTGAAGTCGCATTTCCAACAGAATCACTTCTGATGAACACAGCCCTTCTTATTGTTTTAAAGATTTTATTTATTTATTCTTGAGAGACACACAGAGAGGCAGAGACACAGGCAGAGGGTGAAGCAGGCTCCCTCCAGGGAGCCTGATGCAGGACTCGATCCCAGAACCCAAGGATCACTCCCTGAGCTGAAGGCAGATGCTCAACTGAGCCACCCAGGTGTCCCAACACAGTCCTTTAAAAAAAATTCTCATAAACTACCTTTGTCTTGCCTTGAAAGCAATAAACAAGACATCAGCCCCATACGAGTTTTCTGCCCTTTCTGCCTATTCAAAGAGATAGGAACTGTACAGGCAGAGCTACAAAGACCACAGCTGGAAGGACCTAGAATTTGCTCTTACAAGGTCTGATGAACAACAGGCTTCACTCTCTTGCATTTTACTTTACTAAATGATAATTGCACTGAAGTCTATGATCTCCACTGGGTTAGCTCAGTGGTCAGCTAATAACTGAACAAAGACTTCCTTAAACTCCTGGAAGCCAGCAAGTCTCCCAGTCTTGGCCAAGAGGCTCTGTGTACATGTTGGGACATGCCTTCAACACAGCCAGGCAGCTGATAACTCTGCCTTAGCCTTCCCTTGTGCAGAGCTCGGAATCAGCCAGAGTGAAAGCCTAGAGCCCCCTCAGGCTTTCCTGACCATGCACACAACCCTGAGCATGCAAGACAGTCTTCTAGATTCCTGGGGATATACCCAAATTTTTTAAGCTCCCATGGACATGTTATTCCTTAGCTTTTTCTTTTGAGCTTCTTGGTTATCTACAGCCTCAAGCAGCTATGAAGTTAATCAATTGCCTCTGTAATAGTTTTCTTATCATTTTATTTTACTTTTAATTGAAGTTTAGTGGACATACAATATTATATTAGCTCTAGGTATACAACATAGTGATTTGACAATCTATACATCACTTGATGGTCACCACAATAAGTGGAGTCACCATCTGTCACCATATAAAATTATTACAATATTACAATATTCCGGACTATATTCCCTATGCTGTACTATTGGTCCCCACGATTTATTTATTTTATAACTGGAATTTTGTACCTTTTAATCCCCTTCACCTATTTTAGCCATCTCTCACCACTTTCCCCTCTGGCAACCAACAGTTGTTCTTTGTAATTTATTAATCTGTTCCCGGTTTGTTTGTTCACTTGTTTTTTAGATTAAACACACAAGTGAAATCATATGGTATCTGTCTTTCTCTGTCTGACTTATTCCATTTAACGTAATACCCTCTAGGTCCATTCATGTTGTCATAATTACCAAGATTTCATTTCTTTTTATGGCTGAGTAATATTCTATTATATATATAATGTAAAGATATATATAATCCCATTATTGAAATTATATGATTATATAATATATATATACATATAATGTAGATACACACATCTTCTTTATCCTTTCATCTATTGATGGATAGTTGGGTTGCTTCCATATCTTGTAAATAATGCTATAACAAACATAGAGGTGCATATATCTTCTCTAATTAGTGTTTTGTTTTTCTTCAGGTAAATATCCAGAAATGGAATTACTGTCATATGATATTTCTATTTTTAAGTTTTTGAGGAACCTCCTCATTGTTTTCTATAGTGGCTGCACTTATAATAGTTTTCCAAAAAGCCCCTGTCACTCTAAGTCAGAGCAAATAAAGTCAGCCTTGCAAGTGGGGTCCTCCAAGGAATCACCAGAAAGATCAAATAATGACAATTCTCTAAAAATGAGGCTCAGGGTGCCTAGGTGGCTCAGTTGGTGAAGTATCAGCCTTCGACTCATGTCATGATCTTGGGGTCCTGGGATTGAGTCCCATGTTGGGCTCCCTGCTCATCAGGGAGTCTGCTTCTCTCTCTCTCTCCTCTGCCCCTCCCCCTTCTCATGCTCATGCTCTCAAATAAATAAATAAAATATTTAAAAAGCTAAGGTAAAAATGAGGCTTTACAGGAGCTCCAAGCGCATTCTATGTCCTATAATGGCTGTCAGGCTACTGGCTTCCCCTGTGATTGGAGGCTGTAAATTCTCAGGGCTCCTGTAGGGCTGGAGAACAAGGGATAGGCATAGAATGAGTGAAAACACCACAAAGCTTGATATTCTTATCAAACTGCAGCTGTTTTTCTTGAATAAATACTCCCCCAGATTGTTGCAAGCCTTTGGTGGATTTCCACAGTTTTGAAAAGGTTAATTCTGACCATTTTTGCTAGTTTTTTTTTATTGCTATTATAGATGGAATTTTCAAAGGTCCATACACTGCCATTTCTGCTATGTCTTAATGTTTTCCAGTCATTGACTTTATTTCTAAGGGTTATTTCATAAAATTGCAAGCAAATGAAAAAATGGCTTTGAACAACACATTCTGATAGCGCTTAACAGAGACACTTGTACATGAAGGCTCCTAGGTTCTGTGGGGTTTGTGTCCCACAAACAATACAAATCCCTCAAGTGAAATCTCATGGTCACAGCATCTCAGGGCCAGAAGGGGCCTAAGATACCATAGCATATCTCCCTTGAAGGCCACCTGATTCTAAAGGCCTGCCAGGATATTGCTGATGCCAGAACAGCCTTCTCAGCAGAGCATACGTATTTAACATACTATCAAGTA